CTATTATTATGACGCAAGTCTTGCATCGTTCTATCTAAAGCTTCAACTGAAGTTTTTTGGGACATTGACGCTTCGTCCTAAATAATTAGACTGTAGTCTAATTATTCCTGTCCTGCATCAATTTACCAGTACCACTTTGCTTTGAAACGTTACAGACACTCGTAGTATCGTTACTATCATATTTCAAAGGAAGTTTAAATGTAGAATGAACTGTTCGGCCCCCTATTAATAGCGTAGCTGCAATGCCAGATGACGCTACCGCAAGAGCAATTTTTCCACCATATCTTACTTTTGCAAGAAGTAAATTTATCAAAAAAGTTTTACCCGTGCCTCCAGGAGCATCTAAAAATAATGTTTTGCCTTCATTATTGTTAACAGATGACATCACTGAATCATATACAATTCTTTTTGTATATGTTTATATATTTGTAAGTTCATGGTTTAATTGATTTTCATTTTGAACGGACAGTAATAGTTGCTGTTGATCATAATTTCTCTCTCTTAAACACTCAATATTAATTGTTGTTCTATTTATGTTTATCGGTAAAGGAAAACCAAAATGTACAATAGATTATCCCGATAAAACTTCCACTTCTTTTTTTAATTCAAATAAAGCTTCATCAAATATACTTAGGTCAAAACTAATATCATTTGATGACAATTCCTGTGGTTTTCGATGCAGTATATCGTCGGCCATACTTTCACGATAATTTTGCTAAAGCATCAAAGGATCAGTAATTTGACAAAACGTTAGCATGATAGCAAATAAACATCTTAGTGATTTAGGTGTACAAAATATAGACGCTTCTGACAGCGTGTTTCCCAATGAGACTCGTCATCCAATAAACCCAACGCTTTGCATGCACCTTGAAAAGTACCATAAATTACATTTTGCACTGTGCGAAGACTTTGAAAAGAAGTTGGACCTTTAACTATATGGAACAGCATCCTCAAGTGAAAACACTCGGTATTGTTAGGATGATTTGTATATACCCTGCCCAGAGCATCGGTTTTTTTGACGCCAGGGTGCCCTTCCACCACAGTTCCTTGTTTACGCCGATTAAACTTTTTACCAACCTGATTCCATGTATAGTAACTTGGAATTTTATCATAAGTCAACGTTTTAGCAAATTCATCTTCTACGCATAATTTTAAAAACGCTGTTAGTGTCGTATCTCGCGGATTATCAACAACATCACTTACATTACTTTCTGAAAAATATACCCTTTGACCATTTTCTAAGTGAACTGCGAGATGGATAACAGTTGGTGCTCTCTCGTGTATACTAAATGATAAAATCCGCCAAACTGCATCTGAGCTACAAATACAGCGACCAGACTGATATTGGTCCACTTCATCTGTCGACTGCACGCTAAACGTAGCTTGGTCGCTGCCTTTATTAATATATTTAGTTACATATTTTACCGGCTTTATAGAACTTCATAATTCTACATTAATATGATCACCAAATACTTTAAGCAAAAGTTTGTTGTAGGGTTCAATTCATCTGTTGTCAATTTCATGATTTCGAATAGTATATATTTTTCCACCTTCTTCGGGTAATAATCTTCTATACTTTGGATAGCTATTGTCACCAGAAGAGGTATTGCTCTGAAATTGTTTTGGGAATTTCTTAGAACATTTCCCCTCAATCATGCATGGTGAGTTATGGTTAAAAGTCCCACATGGTCCATGAATCATGTGCTTTACAACAATATCATACAGTTCTTGATCTTCTTCTTTGTTTGGTATTTCAGCTGTAATTACACTGTCAATTTGGTCTAGTTGAATTTTGTTTGTAAGCCAAAGAAGAAGGTGTATATGTGGTAACCCAAGCTTTTGCCATTCAACCGTATACATATAATACCGTGGAGGGCCAAATTTATGATGTTTATTAATGAGAGTTAACAGCTTATGCACCTTTAAATGAAAAACTCGATTTACTATGTCGTATCTGTCTTGAAGTTTTGAATTAGTATGGATATTATTTAAGATCTCGGGCTAGTGTGGATTACATGTCATCGTGATGAATAAATCTGGTTTACCATAATTTTTTACGTAAGTCATTGCATCCTGTATTTTTTCATGAAGATACCACGGTCCCCTCGTAATACTTGATGGCAATATAACTAATTGTCAAATGTTATTGCTTTGTTCATTTGAGTGCAATGCGTCCTGTAGATGAATATAACTTTCAGCACGTAATGTCTTTTGATTGTGTCTTATAAACGCCAAACTCTCAGATTCGATTTTGGCATACTGATCAACTATATATTGATTAAATAACATGCCATATCTAAGTAGATGATTTGAATTGTTCTGGCGTTCCATTATGCGATAGCAATAATAGTTCATACATGAAACTTTTTTTTGTGTAGGAACTCTAGTAACAGGATTGACTTGAGGGATATCTATCGAGTATCCATCTTCAACGTAGGGGAACATTAATGGATATTGAAGACTGTCGTAGGATCGGTGCAATTCAGAAATTATTTGAAGATTGTCATCACGACATCGCAGTACAATGTTTCTTTTGTCGAATTGTTGTCCTGTAATTATAACGGCTACTTCGCTCGTTGACGAAGCATTGTAACGACCGCGATGTTCACCATTCGGAACTTTGTTAGAGTGAATTACCAATTTATAGTCTGTAACATTAGAAGGAACGCTTTCAATGGCTGTTTTAAAAGACTTTACATGTCTATTATGAGTATTTAACATGTCTTGTAGGGATCTCATTTATACGATGTCGAGGATCTCTCCAGAATTTATGTTACATCGTGTAGATTCAAACAATTTTGAATAGCAATTGCAATTAAATGTATTTTGAAAACGGGTCTCATCTATCTTGGTCAATTTATCATAGGGATATTTGTTTTATAAAGTCTGTTATATTTCTCTCCTAAATCTAATATGCTCTTCATAAAATGATTTGCTGTTTTTTTACCACGATTTAAAGTTAATTTTGGTTAAATTTCGAATTTTTTGATACGTAATGTAGGGACATTATTATAATCTATTTTTACATAATATACATAGCCTATAGGCTTATGTCTATGGGTCGTAACAGTTTTATCAATCTGTTGATATTATAACGATTTCCAAATTCATTCGTAATCGACGTATACTACTATTGGCATACATTGCGTTCGTTTAAAATGTATGAACTCTATAAATGGAGAGTCTCCTTCCTCAAACATAATAGGTCTACCTAACTTATGTTTGCCGCATACCTTTTTATGTTTTTTTAGTCCTTCTACCCCTATAACCTTTTTAGTATATTCATTATCTCTAAATGTAGAAAAGCAACGTTTACATATAATTAATTTAGGACAAAGCTTTGTTTTCTGACTGCGAGCGAATCTTGAAAAATTTTGAATGTGTATACTTAAATATGTATCTATTAATTTAGTAAACGCATTTTCACTAATCTCAACACATTGTATATTATGATATATGATGTTGACTATGGTCAACATCGTAGTCCTATTCATCTTCTCCGATCGGATCTACGTAAACTTCATACCTTAGAGTAGGGTGACCATCAGTAGAGCTTATCGGAGTTATCGGATTTATCGTTATCTGACTATGCTTTCGATTCTATCTATTTATATCACTGAAAATACGTTTTGTGAATACGNAGTTTGGTTCCAACAATCGTTGAGTGTTGTCGACTTGTTGATAATCGTTAATATAATATTTTACAATTTTAGGAAAGTAATCTATTAAAATGCCTAAGCGAAGGTGCGTATTTACTCCCAGCTTAAAAGTTGACATTCCGTTTTTAAGAGATAGTGATGAAATCGGAAAAGTTTTATTTATTGTATGTAAATCAGTTTTTTCAATAGAAAACGGTGGTCGTTCAGATATTACATAACATGTTAAACAAAAGAAACATTTATTGGCCGTATCAAGCAGTTCTTCAAATAAGGTAACAAATTATTTTACTAATGTACAGTCAACAAATGAAAGCAAACGTATTGCGGCGGAAGAGGGTTTTTTTGCATATCATACTATTATACACAATCATTCATTCAGGTCTATGGATTGTACAACATCAATTATAAAAAAAATTTACGAAAAAAAATGTTCGTGTGCTCGTACAAAATGTGAATCTATAACTGTGAATGTAATAGCTTTTATTATTTATTAATTAAGTATTAATAAAAAAAAATTAATTATTATTCATTTTGTCCTTTATTATTTTTTTTTTTTTGAAATATGGTCACCCTACCTTAGAGTGAGGTTACAAAGTAAGCATTCATCGGTAATTAATTCGATATTGAAGTTGTTTTTATATGTATTTAAATCTAAACTAAACGAAGCGTCATTAAATGATTTGCTACTTTTTACGATTGATAAAAACTTTAATGGTGAATATTTCCTAAAGTTCTTTTTTAAACGCTTTATTTGTCGTTCTATTTTTGTTGTCTCTTCTGTTATTTTTGTTTTTTTTTCTTTTTTATTTCTTTCTCCTTATTATGAATAAACTCGGGAATGAACGCGTATTCTATTATAAATTGAAGCGTTTTGGATAATGGTTAAATCAACATTTTTACTGAAAATTCGTCTAATCATTGAAGTATTATAGACAAAAATCGTATTAATAATCACACAACGTATTTATTTGACTTCAAATTCGCAACTAAAATTTGAAAATAATTTTATATTAATAATATCATAGATTACGAAAAATAAAAAAATATTAAAAAGTAATCAAATTAGAGAGGTCAAATTTATCGATTTCATGAGTCGTTTTTCTGCGGCATAGAACATAGAAAGCTAAACTGCTAAAAAGGTAACATAGTTTTAATTAATGTGAATAAAAACTAATAATAATTTAAATTTAAATATATACAATATACGTTACACATATTTTATATTGTTAATATTTCAAAATATACCTAAATACATAAAAATTAATTGAAACATTATAAATTATTGATTTTATATGTATTAAAATATCTACTTGTAGATGTTGTCTTTTTATATTTTGTTACACTGGAAGGTTACGGATTCTGGTCTCATGAAATACTCTGAGTAATAATCTCTGACTTCAATCCCTTGAGATTGTACTGCCGGTCCTCTATTAGGTAAATCATCCACCAAATAACTTGTAATTCATATACTCAAAATTATAACCATCTCTTTTGCGGATAAATTTATGTAATATACAACAAGCTTTTATGATGTCGTTCGAAAAATCTGGTTCAACCAATAGAGACGTATGTAACACTCTCCACTTATTTGAAAGTACGCCAAATGCACATTCAACAAACCTTCTTGCTCTTGAAAGCTTATAATTAAATATACGACAAGTATTTGTAAAGCCGGTGCTACACGATGCATTTTAAGTATTTACTCTTTTTTACTTTTATTCAGTAACTGGTAAGTATCTTTTTGTTTGTTTATAGTATTTTGTAGTATTATATAAATAAATTATACAATGCAAATTCACATAAGTTGTACTTAAAAAACGCCGATTAAAATATATATTCAAAAGTTAATAAATCCCCTACCTTTCTAAAGTTGTATCATTATCGTATACAAAATGGAGTGGAATAATGAATAAACGCTCGAATTTCTGGAAGTGTATGAGAAACATCCAGTTCTGTGGAACAGCTCATATCCAGGACATAAGGATAAAAACATTCTACAGGATGCATGAACTGAAGTAGCGAATGAGTTAAGTGTAATAATGACAGTTATTGCGTTGAAAAAAAGAAAGAATCACTGGTGTCGACATACAGGACTTTGAGGAAGAAGGTGGATTTAGAGACTACCGGTACGGGGTCACAAGAGGTGTACTTTCCATTGTGGTTTGCCTATAATGCGATCGATAAATTTATTAGAGTCCAAAATACGAAGATAGCCTCTCTGAATTCAGAGGTAAGTTTAATAGATTATTATTGGGTATATGTATTTATATATATATATATATATATATATATATATATACCCATTACATATATATATATAATCTTAATTGAGAATTTATTTATTTATTTACATTTTAATTTATAATCTATTAATTAAATACAAAGTTAACTAAACGAAAATAACTATAAATCACTAATCAATATAATTTTGCCATTCTACTGCTTCACTTATCATACAGTATTCTTCAAACTCTCGCCGAATGTCCTTTGCTTCTTCGTAGGGTTTTCTGGGTTTGTTTAACAGTGGATTGAAAGATGTTATCCCTTGTAGATCATTGCGCCATGTTCCGGGAATAAATTCACCATCCTCTTCATAATCGAAAGTACCAGTTGGGGTATAGTTTTTTCTTGATGTTGCGCGTCTTCGTAGAAAATTATGAAGTACACAACATGTCATGCATATTAAAGTAGCTTTATCAGGTTGTAGTAACATACGAGGTAGGTGATCTGAATACTCGGAAAACTGATGCTAAAATACCAAACACATTTATCACAACTCTACGTGCGCTGCACAAACGGTAATTGAAAATCCTTTCTAAACTTCCTTTGGGATGATTTTTTTCATAAGGTTTCAGAAGAGTACTACTCATAGAAAATGCATCAAGACGTATAAAAATATATGACATCTTCTTGTGTCGTTCTAATAAGAGCTCGGGAGGTGGAAGCAGAAGTTCGTTACGAATTATTTTACGAAAAACACTCGTGGTAGTATACACACCCGCATCATTCATTCTTCCTTGCGCATCAACATCAACAAATGTAAAACAATATTTTGAGTTGAAAAATGTCATAAGTATAGTGCTGAATAACTTCTTGTAGTTGAAGAACTCAGATTCACTGTTAAATGGAGCTTGCAACAGTACATGCTTCCCATCGAATGTGGGAAATCCCAATGATGTTGGAATCCATTTACTATTGTTTTTCATTTCTCCTATGATTTAGGCAGCTGTAAAATACAAATATTTATAGTTCACAAATTAAATGGAACCTTATTGAATAGCTATTTTTTTTTTTTTTATGCATCATAACTGTAACAAATTTTTTACAAATTAGCATAGACTTTAAAATTTTAAAATAACAACTAATTTATTTTTAGGATGTTGTTAATGGAAATATATATGAAACACACAATTTTATGCAAAATGAAGGAAAGTCAGAGCATACTAATTTTGAAGAGGATGGCTTAGAATCTTCTTCACTTGTAGATAATGCAATTCAAATTGCAAGGAGAGACACTCAACAAAACACGAATATGTTCTCAGTCCCACAAACACCAACTATGAAGAGAAAACAGAGAAATGTTGATAGCCAATTAGTAAGCAAACACTTAAAACAAGCAAGTGGTGTTTTGCAGAGTTTGGTTATTGTACCACAAAATCAAAAGATAACTGACGGTCCTGAGTTATATGCACAGCTATTAGTCGAGAAACTTTGCAACTATCTCCCCAGAATCGTCTACTACTGGAACATAATATTGATAACATGGTTTTTGAAGCACTCATTCAGCAAATTTACAAACTCAAAATCATTCTCCCAGAATTATTACTTCTAATATTGCTTCATCTCCCTGTCCATCGCTGGAAAGTTATATTTCACCTGAATCGGCATATTCATCACATCAATTTTTTCATACACCTTCTCCATAAGAACAGTCTACTAGTGCATCCTACACAAAACTTCTCACTGCTAATCACGTGTACTTACGACCATCCCAACCAAAACATAAGGAAAGCATAAACCTAACTGTCTCACATACACAATCAAGTACTGTCCTTGACTTTTATGCAAATGCTGAGCTATTTGTAGATGGTAACCAGACAGTAGCAACATTGAGCAAAGACAAATATTCTACCACCATAGTCAAATATTCTTTTCGAAAAGTGCTACACTTGAAATACACAGCAAGATTTCTGGTAAAAAAGTTTTTTTTTTTTATTTATTAATATAATTGTGTCAATACACTAAGTATTTTTACAATGTTTTTATTATTATATAATTATGTGATGTATAGTAGATTTGGTTAGGTTAGTCTGGGTCAGAGTCTGAGGTTGAGGTGTCTTCATTGGGATCTAGTAGGATGTCCTGAGGTAGCCGAGGTTTGAGTCTTAGATTTGTGGATCTCTTGCCGATATTGTAGTGACGGGCTTCGTCAACTTTGTGGAGTTTTTCGTGGAAATTTTTAAATTATTGTGTTATCCAGGTAGATAGGTGTGGTATTCCTGTATCGTTGTGCAATTGTTTATTTCTCATGAACCAAGGGACCTTTAGGGTTATTCTTAGGAATTTGTTTTGGAGGGTTGGTAATTTTTTAATTTTTTTTTTGGAGGCAGATGCCCATACTGGGCATGCATAGGTTACTAAAGATCTTATTATTGCTGTGTAAAGGAGTAGAGAGCATTTTATTTGTATGGTAGAGCTATGATTTAATAGGGGGTACAGTATTCGTAGCCTAGTGTATCCTTGGTTTAATTTTTTGTTGATGTGTATTTTCCAGTTAAGTTCTTCGTCAAGGTGCAGGCCCAAATATTTTACTGTGTCGTCTTTGTTATTCCAGTTGATTTCTTTGTTTATTTGAAGTAGGGTCGGATTTATGTATTTTCTGAGTGTAAATATTTTTGCTTCGCTTTTGGTTGGGTTTAGTGTTAGTTTCCTTTTTGAGAACCAGAGGGATAGTTCATCTAGGGAGCTTTGTAGGTCTCTTGTTGAAGATTCAANGAACATTGCTAGATGGCAGTGTTGCGGTGTTGGTATATCATGACAGTAGACATTGAATAGAGATGGTCCTAGCACAGATCCCTGTGGAACTCCAGTTGTAAAACAACTTTCAAAATGTTGGGCAAAAATTTCACATTTTTTAATGTTAGTTTCGTACTTGGCTAATCCGTTTTTTAAAGGGGGAATTGTTTCACGCTGTTTAGTGATTCTTTTGGTAGCTATCCAAAGACTTGAGTCATTTGGATTTATTTTTGATACGTATGCTTTGTAGGAATTATATCTTAGATTATCCAGTTCCCATTTTACTCTTCTTGTTAGTTGATTTAAATGTTTTTTGACTGCTGGAGACAGGTGTGTTTGCCAGATTCTTCGTGTCTTATGTTTTTCTTTGATTAGGTTTTGTATGTGGGATGGTATTGGCATGTTATAATTGTGAGATTTTTTGTAATTTGGTGGGGCTAGTGCTAAGTCTATCGATGATTTGATGGATTCTTTAAGGTGTATTATACCCGAGTTTATATCATTTGTATTTGAGTACTTTCTGTTTGGTTTTAATATTTTATCTATATTTTCTTTAAAGATTTCCCATTTTATTGGCCGATTTATTAGTTTTGGTACGGGGGGGGGGAGTTAGTTTCAGCTTTTATTCTTAGGGTTGTTAATACCGGGACATGATCAGAGTCGAGCTCGTTTAACACTTTGTGGTATAAGTTTGTATGGAAGTTTGAGATTAGTGCAATATCTAATATGTCCGGGGTAACTCCTGTTCGGTAAAAGGTTGGACATGGTGGAGGGGAGACCATGATGTTTAAGTCGGACGTGTACTCGAACAATTTTAGTCCGTTCGGGTTTATTTTTTTACAGCCCCAGATTGTGTTTTTGGAATTAAGATCTCCTAGGAGTATGGTGGGGGTATTGCAGAAAAGCTTGGGGAAGTGAGTTTTTCATTCTCTTGTTTGGTGGGTTGTATACTGATATAATTCGTAATTCATGTTTATCTGTTATAAGATTTATAGCTACTGTTTCCATCTGGAGTGTGGGCGGCAGTATTATTGGGTTACGTTTTAGATTTTTTTTAATCATTATTGCTACTCCTCCAGAAGAGTGTGTGTATTTCCTGTCGTTTCTATATATTTCGTAACCGGCTATTTTGAAGGTTTCAGAGTCTTTTAGGTGTGTTTCGGTGATACTAGTAATGTCGATTTTGTGTCGTGATAGACATTCTGCTAAGGTAGACCTTTTGGATTTTAGTCCATTAGCATTCCAGTTGACTAATATGATATCCTTTACATTAATTATGTTCATTTTGGGTTTTTAAAGGTTTCAATGGGTTAGTTGTCATTTTGTTCGTTAATGACGTGAAAATGTTCTGAATGATTGTTTGGACGCTTTGTAATATATTCTTGATAAATTCTGTAATTGTCGTTTGGAGGTGACCATTCAGGAGGTCTTGGAGTGTTTCATTGGTGTTTTTGTCGTGATTTTAGATATATCGGTTTTGGTTGTTTCTGCATATGATTTATTGTTTGAATTTGTTTGTATATTGGTTGTGTCAGTTGTAATCGGAGGTATGCTTATATTCTGAGGTTTCTTTGCAATTGTTGGTTTTATTTTTTTTTAAATATTTTTATAGTATGTACATCCTCTGTAGTTGGCCGAGTGGGGTTCGTTGTAGTTTACGCATTTGGGTGGAGTTGTTGATTCTTTGGGGCAATTTGAGTAGTGGTGTTTTCCATCGCATTTTACTCATCGTGGGTTTAGGCTGCATGATTTGCTTATGTGTCCAAATCTTTGACAATTGGTACATTGTGGTGGGACGTTGGGTTTGCGTCGTGGTTCTATGGTGATTATACAGTTTAAGAATCTATTGAGTTCGAATATCTTGTTTGCTTCTTCCGTTCTGGTTAGCTGTATGGCTGTTAGAGGGAGTGGAAGTTTATTTTTATTTGATAGTCTTGTGACTGATTTTATAGGATATTTTAGGTTTTTGAGTTCGTTAAAGATTTCCTATTCGGTGATTGACATTGGAAGGTTACGAATGACAGCGGAGATGTCCTTTTCGCTTTTGAGTCTAAACGTATAGTATTCGTATTTTTTTTCTTCGAAAAATTTTGTTATCGCTCGAAAGTCATCGATATTCTCAACGTTGATTTTAATTTTGTTGTTTTTATTTGTCGCTGTGAAATTATTATGTAGTAATGGCGAGATTTCCTTTCGGAGTTTTACATAATCTGATATGTTGATAACAAATACGGGTGGTATTTTTTCGTTAATATTAGTATTGAGGTTTTCTGTTTCCATTTGTAGTTGTGGATTATTAGTATTAATTTGATTTTCGTCAGTTTGGAAGTTTTTTAATGGCTCGTAGCGATTTGGCGAGGTGAAAAATATGTTTTCGGTTGGTTTGAATTTGTTTTTAGCTTTTTTGAAAGGTGATCTGAATTCTGTGTCGAAGTTTCGGGTAGGTGATGATGATGAATCATCAACTTCGGAGATTAGTCTTTTTTTGTTTATGATGATTGGTGGAACCTTTCGATCTGTTGATTTTTTGTTTTTATTGGTTTGCGTGAATGTAGGCATATTCATTTTGGCTGTATGTTGTTTGTTGGACTACGTAATAATCTGCTGGGCTTATCACCCGTGCACGGTGGATTGTATCTATGCAATGTGTTGTGTTTGAAGTGTTCTTTGGACTATATATTAATAAATGTTTATACATTACCAGATAACGACGTCTCGGTCGCTGTTATAATTACTGCTATCGAGAGCTATTAAATACGGTGCGCGGATTAACGTGTTGACTCTACGGTGTCCAGACACGTACAGGTAAAAAAGTTGTTGACAGCAAGAAAATGTCGTCAAAATTTGATATTAACTCTTATATATATAAAAAATAAAATAAACTCAACCTTTAAGTTTTCTCTTTAGTACAAAGTAGGACTTATAATGAACCTCCTGTTAAATTTTAAAGAATTTCTGTTTGGTCTAACAATTCTATCCACAAAGTTCCTACTGAATAAATATTCTAATATTATACAATTTCGAATTGGAATGCATTGCACGAATACTACGAAAATATTTTTTAAAACAAAATATCCGGTTTAAATGTAATAAAATATGAACACGCACAATTAGTTTTTGATAAACCTGTTTATTGTCCTATTACTGCATATTGTATTCTCTAACATTGTTAGAGAAGTGTGTGAATCTCTCTGGATCAAGTATAAAAAAAGTTGCTTCCCTTCAATCACGGAAGAACTACTAGTAAACGTTGCAACAGAATTTAAAGAACGAGCTAATTTTCCACACGTTATTGGTGCCATTGATGGGAAACATATTAGAGTAATCAAACCAGAGGGCGATGCATCAATGAATTTTAATTATAAACATTTTTTTTCCATTCTTTTACTAGCGGTGTATGATTCAAATTACAAATTTGTATACATTGACGTAGGGGCACAAGGAAAATCAAGTGATTCAACAACTTTTAAAAACGCAACGATTTAAAAATTGTTAAAAACTAACAAAATTAAATTACTTTCGCCTAAAACTCTTTCAGACAAAAGGTCATTTAAAATTCCGTATTTTTTAATAGGAGATGAGGGATTTGGACTTTGTCAGTTTCTTCTAAGGCCATTTGGTGGTAAATATTTACCTATGAGTAAAAAAGTGTTTAATTGCCGCCTTACGAGGGCCAGATGATATATTGAATGCAGTTTTGGAATACTTAGTAATAAGTGGAGAATTTTGCATCGTTCACTTAATGTTGAAGAAACTTTGGCAGAAAATATAATTAAAACGTGCTGTCTTCTACACAGTTTTGTAAGGGACAGAGATGGCTTTAGATTTGAGGATACTATCGCTGTTAGTGGATTGATTGATAATACGACAGTGGACAACTCTCAACCAGGAAATGCAACCAAATTCGTTCGAACAGAACTTAGTGATTTCTTTTTGAAAGAAGGACAAGTACCGTGCGAATGAATAAAATTTAAATTAATTGTTTTCTAGCATTTTAATTTCTATTTTTTTATTATTATTATTTATCATAATTAGTATTTTAAATGATTGAAATGATTTATTGTATTATTTTTATTATTATTTATATTCATTACTATTTTCCATTACTTAACATTACATACATAATATTTCTAATTCCACCGTATTGTTATTAAACTATTAAAAAAGTCGATTGTTGATAATAACTTAAGCATTAAAATAAACAAATAAACCCAACTGACTTCTAGTATTTGTATTTGTATTTTCATCTTATATATTACATAAGGTATATATATAATTATATATATTGTATTTTATTTCAATAGGAAAATATATTATGTTTTACTTACCAATTAATCTTTTTTCAGCCTCAGACATATCATTGAAATTGGGAACAAATTTACTAATGACTGTTTCCCACGCATTCCGTTTTGCATTTTTATTGCTGTAGTTATCATGCTTCAGGTCCCATATAGCGGATCAGTTTTCTATTTCACTTATAAAATCTTCAATATTTATATTTGCACAATCAGACGCAATTATTTCAAAATATAGTAAAAGAATATTGACAGAAAACTACACTCTGACTAATAAATACTGAAATTAAAAAAAATTAAAAACAATAATTGATAACGTTTGATCAAACACGTATTAATCGCGCTACCGACGCATTACTAACGCGCTACCAACGCGCAACCAACGCGCTATTAAAAATATAAAAAAATAGTCGCGCGATTCCAGTCGCGTGTGAAACGCCCAATCTAAAAATACGTTCTGTTACGAGAAGCGCGACTTTTAGACGCTGCGTTCTGCGGTGAAGCCAGCCACTCACACCGACTGTAGCACTTCCAATCAGTGGCTGTGGTCATGTGTGAAACCATCCGTATGCGTTTGTATTTTTCCGAAATCAGCGCTGCTAAGTAGCACTGGCGAGTAGCTTCGTGTGAAGGAGCCCTTATACCAACTTTTTCCCATTGCCACAGTAAAGGAGTTTTCTCAATAAAATATTTTGCCAATGAACTCCTAACATCTTTTGCAGCTCGTTTATAGTTGTTGCTGCCCATTTTTTTGACAGTTTCTAGACCATTCACGTGTTCTCTCTATTCCTCGGGGATAATATTGCCGTTGTTAAAATCCAACTACTTAGTACTCCAACTCCAATTGGTCAACTACTTGTAGAGGTATATAGCTATTTGGAATAGTTTTACGTAGCCATTTGTGTATACTGCAAACTGCATATATTATTATATTTATAATTTTTGGCTGTAGATCAATTGGCTTAGATAATATTCGGAATCGCCACACCAGAATTCCAAATGCGTTCTCCACAACTCATCTAGCACGTGAAAGACGACAGTTAAAAATTATTTCATAATTATTAAGTCCAGTTTTACTATATAGTTTTAATAAGTTTGTTCTTAATGGAAATGCATCATCTCCAATAATAATATATTTTTCGGGCATTCCAAATTTATTATTTTCCAATTCGATATATAAAGTGCTATCACGAAATATTGCACTATCACTATCTTTAGCTCCTATATCGATGTATGTAAAGCAATAATCACCGTCAACCATTGCGAACAATATAATACTATAGGTTTTTTTATAATTTTAAAATGATGAGCCAAAACCAGGAGGTCGTTTAATTATCACATGTTCTCCGTTGATTGTGCCACAACACATTGGAAAATTCCAACGATGAAAAAATGTATCCTTTATTTTCCCCCATTCTTCAGCAGTCACGGGCACCTGAGAATTTTAAATTTAAATTAAGTTTATATTGTATACTAATTGTTTTTAAAAATATAATTATAGAGTTATTTTTTAAGATATTATATTACAAGAAAACTCTATGTAGAAACAATCAAATTACAAAACAAGGCTAAAAGAAGAAAAGAAATATCCGACTGACAAACTTGAAAATGGCAGTTATTTTCCAAAAGAAAAGATTTTGACAAATATTCTAATAATTGAAATACCACAACAGTTCAATTATTCATGGCCTAAGTAAAATGTTAAAAAAGAAAGCATAAGAGAGGAGATACAATGTCAGTAATGCAATTTTAGCATTGTCCTTAAATAAAACGTCACCAAAAGGGTATCGATTTTTACCAACTTTTTTTGCCCTATCATCTCGTAAAACTCTATCTAGACTATTAAATAAAGTATAATTTCACCCTGGAATGAACTTGTACATCATTCATAAATTAAAATATCAATTACGTAATTTAAAAGATATCGATTGAACTTGTATTCTTATGTTTGACAGGATTGACATTTGACAGGAAAAATGAAATTATTCATAGATTTGAGAACTAAGATAAAGAAAGAACTACTAGTACTATAAAACAACTAAAAGAAGAAACTAATGAATACTATTTAAGACAAAATTTTAAAAATCGGTTTTTGGATTTTTTTTATTGAGGATGTGGAAGTAGTATCAGTTTTTAATTCACTCCATTTATTAAAATGCATTAGAAATAATCTCTTGACAAAAGATATTAATTTTACATATAAAAGTGAAAATAATGTAGCTTATTGGGAGTACATTGTAACGCACTTCGAATTTAATAAAAATAATGAAATAAATGGGTTATCTTTGTCATATTTGAGGGATGAACATGTTAAGCTGCTCAAGTGTTTAATCAGCAGGTTACAGTAACACTTAGGATTGAAGTAAATTACGATTAAACAAAAAATTGTCTACACTAAATACAAACACTAACTACTATGTTGTTGTTCCAAGCTAAAACTATTAAAGCCTCTCCCAAATTTTTCTCACATTACTCCGGTTGTAGGTATTAGTGTTTTGCGTTCTATGTCTTAAATAATTTGTAAATAGTGCGCGCGCGGACCGATGTCCCTACGAGTCTGTCCGCCTAAAACTTTTCCCTGAAAAAGAATTTAAAGCGTTCTCCATCTATTACTCAACCGTCATAAACAAAAGTCTAATTTTATATTCTTATCAGTTCAGAGGTCGACAACGACAATATTATTATCTTTTATCGTCCGGTAACTGCCGGAACTACGAACATCTTGGGAGCAAACTTGCGCTAATTAGAAGCGTTCACTTTTGTTATGTGTGATTTAAGACCGTGGTGAAAACATATTTTTTATCACAGTATATACAAATATTAATAAAATATATTATGAATTATGTATGAAGAGCATTAAGACATTGACATTACTTAATGGTGAAGAGTAAGTTTTCATCTAAACAAGTACTTAACCTATAAAAACATAAACTGTTTTCATCCAGTTTCGATTTCTATTCTTAGAAATCTAAAAGTAAAACACAATATCACTATAAGTGTGGCATACCTATAGAAAAATAAAATATTTTATTATTCTGAGCTTAAGAAAAAATCTCACTATACTCCGTCTCACAAAAGAAAGGTACCGTGTTTTAACGAAAACCGGTCAGTGACGCGCATCCTCACGTCACTCCTCGTTTAGACCTTGCTTATACCCAGTACACGTGAGTTAGTGACGCGCGGGGATTCAATGGCGGTGGTATGGAGCTCCGTCAGCACGCGCGAAACGGTACCTTTCTTTCGTGAAGAGCCTATAGCAAAAAAAATTACATATATTGTCGTATTAAGTTTTTTGATCAAAAATGACTTAAAAAAAAAAAAAAAACAATCATGTTACAAGTCATCTAAATTTGATTCATAACAGCTGTGAAAATTATTTTTTTAGTGCTAATGAGAAGACTAATGCCATGATTGAAATCATGGTCTTAGAAGATCTTCTAAGACCGTATTTAAAGATAACATTTATTATCACAAAAATAATGAATACATTTTTAATGGCAGTAGTATTATATTATATCAATTACCCTCATAGATACCTTGATATATTTAAAAATATACCAAATTGTTTCATGTCACTCCGTAGTTTTAAGTCACCTCAATTGACAGTTCCATGGAAATGTACAAACATTTTTTGTTTGGAAAGTATCACAATTTAAAAATGCTAATATACGAGGTCTAATCAAAAATTATCGAGACTGATAAGATAAATCGTAAACCGGTTTGAGTATGAACTTGCACGTACTATATTAATCAAACTTTGTATGTTGGAAAAATATATTAGGCATAGATTAGATTAAAATTGTCTCAGTCGACTTCTAGGTGCGATTAAGTAAAGTGTGTTTTTACATCCTGTCGGATTTCATTATGAGCGAAAATATTGAACAACGAATGTGCAATAAATTTTGCCATAAACTGGGAAAAACGGCTACTGAAACCTACCAAATGTTATTTTTAGCTTATGGAGATGAAACCATGTCCCGTGCACGCGTTTTTGAATGGTTTAAACGATTTAAAGAGGGTAGAACAACTGTTGAAAGTGATGAACATGAAGGACGCCCGTCAACAAGCCGCAATGAGGAAATGGTTTAAAAAATACGAACAGCAATACGAGGTAACCGTCGTTTGAAAATTATGGAACTTAGTAATGAGTTTCAAATCTCATTCGGATTAGTTCAAACTAAATTGACGACTGATTTAGATATGAGAAGAGTTGCAGCCAAATTTGTTCCAAAACTGCTCTCAGATGAGCAAAAAGAAAACCGAAAACGGATCGCCACTGATTTGCTAGAGCGTTCCGAATCTGATGAATTTTTTTTAAAATCAATTATAACTGGTGACGAGACTTGGGTATATGGCTACGATCCAGAAACAAAGGTACAATCTTCGCAGTGGAAGACACCTGATTCACCACGACCCAAAAAAGCTCGTCAAGTTCGGAGTCAAGTGAAGGTTATGTTGACTGTTTTTTCGACTACCAAGGTGTTGTTCATCATGAGTATGCTCCAAAAGGACAGACCATAACAAAGGAGTACTACATTGATGTTCTTCGCTGTTTACGAGATGCTGTACGAAGAAAAAGACCTGAGTTTAAAGAGTCTGGTAGTTGGAAATGGCATCACGATAATGCACCAGCCCATTCAGTCCATGTTGTGCAGCAGTTTTTGGCCAAACATGATATCCCAGTTGTTTCTCAACCCCCCTATTCACCAGACCTAGCTCCATGTGATTATTTTTTATTCCCAAAGATAAAAATAGCACTTAAGGGTAAACGTTTTCAAGATGTAGATGAAATAAAACAAAATGCGACAGAACAGCTACGAGGAGTTTCTAAAAATGACTTCCAGAGGTGTTTTCAAAAATGACAGGAACGTTGGAGAACATGTATAGACTCAGAAGGAGAATATTTTGAAGGAGATTAAATGTAAATATTTTTATCTAATAAATATATATATTTTTTATTAACAGTCTCGATACTTTTTTATTAGACCTCGTATGTATAACTTTAATAGTTTTTCGTTCGTAAATAACTTACCACAAGAAAAATCTGGACATTTTACAATAATAATATTTGTTTGTATTGACGATTTACATGTTATAAAGTTCTTTTGTAACTAAAGTACTTGTCACAATAACCACACTTAAGATTTATATGTTATATTCATATTAAATGTTATAAATTATTACATATATTCCAAAAAATAAAGTCAGCACACAATTTGGCATTAAGCATACAATCGACAAAATATTAGCAGTGTATTTTAATACAATCTTAAGTTTCAACTATTTATTTTGACAGATAACATGCAATAATATATTGTACTGTTATTTTTAACCTTTGAAAACAAAAACGTTTAAGTATTTTTTCTAAGGATTTCTAATACTAAACAATAAACAATAATTAAGTATCTATAATATTACACGTTTAGCAATTATAAATAACAATTTAACATACTGTATTGTTAAATTGTATACAAATAATTGATTTTTTATACAAATTTTAAAATTTTAAAAAACACCATTTTTTTATGATTATATGATTTTCGTGCGTTTCAGATGCAACGGGACGCAATAAAAAAATAGCTGAGAATTTCCTCTACAAAATGCATATATTAAATATAGTTTAAACTTGAGAAAATGTTAACTGCAGTCTAAAAAAAAAACCGTTCGATCTTTATGTCTCATAACTCATTAAATTAAAATAAAAAATATATTTTTTTTTTATTATTTTAATATGCGACTCAACAATTAGGTATTTTATTTTTTTTTTCATTTTGTTTGTTTAAAATAGCCAAAAAAATTAATGAACTATCGGCATTTTTATTTACAAAATAATAGAAAAACCAAATTTGTCTAATTCACTTAGTTATAACTCCAGTTCAAAAAATGTTATGAAACTGAAATTTTGTGTTTACACTAATAATGATATCCTCAAAAGAAAAAATTAATTTTTCGAACATTTTTATTTGCTTCTTTTTGCCACCTAAATTTCATTCCCAGACCACTGTGCATCATGAACCATATAGTAATCGAAAAACGATTCCCGTTCTTTAATGTCGCCTTCGAACTTCGGCAACGAAATAGATGCTAGCCTAGCTCTCCTACCTGGCTCAGCTGAACTCGTTGACATACAGTGCATAGTCAAACCATGAAACCAACTATCAGCTCTCTTAGCATTGATTAATTCCTACATGTCTGTTATAATACAGTAACTCAAAACTTTCTCTTTCGCGTTGGTGTCTTCCACAATGTCAGCGTCGACAAGCTTCAGTTCACATTGACAAACAAACAAATAATATAAAATGAAACATAAAAACAATTATTACACTTATTGTGCCATACCGAAATATACGAATAGCGATAACCCGAGAAGGCGACGATAGTGGCGAGTAGATAGGCCCATGAGATTGTTATTTTTATCGTTAGTTATAAAGTCGTATTTGACCGAGAACAACGCCACCGAGGCACCGCTGATATGTCAACACACCAAAAGTACTGTCCGTTCATGTATGAAATACTAATAAATGAATAATGAACAATATATTCAATAAAATAAATATTCCGTAACTTATGTCTATAACATAGGGTGACCATAAAAATAAAATAAAAATACGGGACATTTCAAAAAACAAAATAATCTGATGAATAATTTTTTTAATACATAGTAGATACATGAAAACAATTTTATTTTTATATTAATGGTGAACTAGTTAAGAATTATTATAGATGTATTGTATAAGTTGCCTAACTAAATATAATAATATAAAAAAAACAAATTTAAATTTAATGAGTACTGTATCATGTTTTTGATATATATATAAATTACTTGATGCAATTAGTTCAGCTCTAAAGTATACAAAAATATTTATTTTGATGACGATGGTTGGTCTTCTGCTATTTTTGTATACTTTTGTGCTGAACTAATTGCATCAAGTAATTTATTTTCTTTTAATAAAATATTATAAAAATCATTGCAAGAATAGTTTGAAAAATGTGTTTTCACTATGATAATTGATTTTATAGTTTCAACTAAAAACGATTTTTTTCGTCCGTCCATAAGAAATTAATGGTAGAAAAAATCCTTTCTACTGCAGCATTTGTACCCGGCATTGCTAAAGCATATTCTAAAATTGCTGATATGTTAGTTGTGTCAATGTTATGTTAATAATTTTATCCAATAACTTGTATTTTTTCAAACTTTCAATTATGTAATTTGATAAAATATCTGCTGTTTCTCCTTTTAAATTTGTCACTTCAAAAACTTAAATTTGTACTCCCAAATTTGGATTAAAATAACGTATTAAAATGGGTACGATTTTCAGATTTTTATGGTTAAAGAGAATCTATCATGATTATAGCAAAATTCATATTTTCTAATTCCTTACAAATCTGTTGCATGGCGAAAGGAGCTAGCACATTTAAAACAATCGATTCAGCCTTAGTTCGAGCACAAGTGAATTTTTTATTATAAATTTGTTTTAAAAGAGATGATGTGCAATCCATCGATCGAAATGAGTAATTGTGTACAACTGTATGAAATGCGAATATACCTTCTTGTGCTGCGGTACGTCTACTTTCGTCAGTGGATCAACTATTATTCTTTAAAAAAAAAGAAGTTACCTTTTCATTTTTTGATGCAGCTGATAACGCCAATAAATGTTTTTTCACTTTTGTGGTGTGTTGTTTTATATCTGAAAGTCCACCATGTTCTTTAGAAAATACCGATTTACATATTGTACAAAACACTTTTCCAACTTCATCAGCATCTTTTAAAAAAGGAAATTCGGATTTTAAATTAGGAGCAAAAACACATCTCCTTTTTGGCATTTTGAGAAAAAAATTAGCAAACTGTATTTTCTAAATGACACCACTACGACTGAACACTATTACTTTGACGGACAAAATGTAGACTGAAGGAGTATAAATATTAATAACAAATAACATTTACAATGTTACATAGACCTAATAATATTGTGTAATAATAATAATAATAACGCGACCAGTTTGATTTCGGAATTTCAGCGGAATTTCCGTGTGGCTATTACAAACAAAGATTAATACGGCAACGGCATTGAACGTGTTAATCTAATGATATTTGATTCCAAACTATTATTCAATGATCATGTATCAGCGATTAAAAATAAAGCTTTATCTGTATTTGGTATGATAAAAAGAAACTGCTCCGATTTTCGTGATCCACTTGCTCTCAAATGCCTTTATACCTCACTAGTCCGTTCTTTNACTTAGATTCTTTAAATGCACGGAGACACTTATCATACAGTACGTTCCTCACCAAATTACTAAATAATGAGATTGATGATTCATTTATATTAAGTCAATTAAATTTCAAAGTTAATAGCCACCACACTCGTAACAATCATTTATTTTATATTCCTCATTCATCTAAAAAGTTTACGTCACATGACCCCATAAATATTTTAATGTCTTCGGGAAATAGTTAATTATTTTATTAAACATTGAATGTATTTTTATTATTATTACTATTATTTGATATATTAATCTTTTCATTTTTTATTATGTTATATTTTATTATTTTAAATTATATAAATTTATAATTTCTATAAGTTATATTTTATTGTTATCTATACAAATATATTGTGAATTGGACTTTTGTCCGTATTAATAAATAAATAAATAAATAAAATAAATAAATAAATATCAAAATATATGAAAATGTAACACTATTATGGTATTATGACATAATATACGTTTTATATCACTGACAACAATGTGACTCAACAATTATAATCAAAATAAGAATCTAAAAATATCTACACCTGAAAAATAATAGATTTTAATATTCTATATTGTATAATGTTGTACAAAAATATCGTAAACAAAAAGATTTTATAGTAAAATAAATTTCAAAATTATAAATTAACGGTATGGAAAAAAACGGGATTTAATACGGAACGGACTTCGAAAAACGGGACAAAATGCGTCCCGTATTACTTTTATCGGGACAACGGGACACAAAGTTGAAATACGGAACAAACCCGTATAATACGGGACGTATGGTCACCCTACTATAACACCTTAAAATATCCGAGAACCAGCTACAGTTAGAGCTACGCTCCACAACAACAAAATATTAATAACGTAGAATTTAATCAAACTAAAATTAATAATGTTTGATAAATTTAGCTTTATTAAAGACGAAACAATCATGAAAATTATTAATAACACTTAAACAAAATTCCTCACTAGGACTAGACCAAATTACTGTTAATACTTAAAGCTACCACTAAGAGCAATTTTGCGTTTTTACGTCGCGCGTGTTCATTTTATTTTTCATTTGCTCCTTCGATCGTCGATCAAGATGACGTCCAGAAAAATGTTGTTGGCTGAAAGTGCTGCTTTATTTGATGTAAAATTAAATTTGGTTAAGAACTGTTTATGGATCCATGAATTAAATAGACATAAGCTATCTGAAGGAGAATTTCATACGCTGTTAAGTAAATTAAAAAAATATCCAGTCAAGTTTTGTGAGTACTCTTGCATGAGTGAATATTTCAACTTAATTTTCTTCTATTTTTAATTGGGATTCAAAGTCGGCCACCCTAGACGTTAAAACACGTTACTACCTAGCATTTATTATTTAGTGCCCTTTAGTGCTTTTTTTAGTTGAATTTACACCGTACATTTGTACTTATTTATTACCTACCTACCTACCGCCTAAGTAACAATGTTTAGGCAGTTTGGGAACAATTGGAAATTTATATCAAATATTGCTAGCTGTACATTCGTAAAAATACATCCTTTTAAGTATTTTTCTCTTATTAGTTTTTACCCTATTTGTCAACATTTACCAAAGGTAGAGTAAGGTACCGGGAGAGTATTTTGATATACTCCAACAGGGATTAACTCTTCAAAAAAAAAAAACACATTCCTTTTAAGTAAATTCATACAAATTATGTATTACGTATCAATGTTTCTGATATTGTTATACATAAAATTAATCAAAACAATATACCATAAATACGAAGTTAACTTAAAAAAAAAATTCACGACATTAATACGTTAACGTGGCGGTGGAATACCTACCGACTCCACTTATAGTGTACAATACACATACACACAAAACAATACGTTATAGTGTAAAATTATGAATTTAGGTAATAATTAATAGTATATATTATATTCTGCAATGTTAACAACAATCACGAAAACAATTAAATACGCATCAATTGAAATTTGATTGTTGGCCATTGATAAAGGTTCAAACAGTGCTAAAATGTCAACAACAAAAAAAAAAACACAACATTTAATAATATCACTAAATGTTTTAGTTTAATAATTGATATTAAAAATGATTGTCTTACCAATGTCTTCAATTGACCGGGACCATCCGATACGTTCAGCTTTGTTTTCGTTGATCAGCCAATGTTCCAACGGTTTGAAGTAATCGATCAAAGGCTGTGTGTCTATTTCACTCGTTTTTCCTCCGGTGAGTATTCTTATGACTTGCGTCCACGGTTTCGAGTAACCCATTGACATTATATCACTAAAACACATACATTTAAGCGTAATTATACTCAAAATTGAAACGCGTTTATTCTAATTAGTGACATATATATGATTTTATATATATATCAATATATCGTATATACGATGAAAAAAAGGATAGAAGTCGGAGACGGCATAAAGGAGGAAGCGTAAACAAATTTGCACCTTTCTCTAGTACCTCCAAGATAGTTTAGTAGGTCTCATTATTTTAGATTCGGAGCATAACGAATAATCAATTGGTTTTACTACGATGAAGCGTGTTTTTTAGTACAGGGCGTACCGAGTTTGTGTTTATGTCTGTGAAAAACGTTTCTACCAGAAATCTTTGTCCAAGTTTCAAGAATAGCCTATTTTCTGAAAAAAATTTTGTCTAGTTTGTGAGTAAGCAATTCGTTGTTTGATACTCCTTATAATTTTCCTAATAATTAAGGGAAAAAACCGTAGGAAATGTGGCAAAGTATTATGGATTTTGGTTTTTCATTAGTTAACAGTGTCAAATTAACCTAACCAGACGTATGCGACCGGCTTTAAAATAATATTACGGTAAAATAGTAGTCATATAATTTTAATAACAGATACTTACCAAGTAAAAGTACATATAAAACCACAAATATATTAAATACCTATAAATAGCTTAAACATAATAAGAATATTTTGAAAATTTGATTACGTCTACAAAATGTCAATACAAGTATTTTGTGAAAAACCAGAGATATATAGTTTTTACCCGAATAACAAAGAAAAACATAAATTCCATATACTTAGCCGTATTTCAAACATTTTTTCCCGGGCTTTCGTAATTATCTAAATAGTTTTCTAAAAAACTATACGGGAAACAAACAACGACTATCTTGCTCATAAATTAGATAACATTTTCAAGGAGAAAAAAATATTATTCTTGAAATTTGGAGACTGATTTCTGGAAGAACATAAGTTTGCAAAAAGATACGGACATAATTCACCCGATAGGTGGGCTACTGTCGTAGGTAAGAAATTGGGAAGGGAAAGAAGAAATTCATTAACGCAACGATTAACCATTGCTAACCAAAAACGATTCTGAGCGGAATTCCGTTAACAGTATTGCTTTGTTATATTTACAAATTATAATTTATAGGCCTTAATATTTACGTATTTCATTAACCCTTCACTACATGATTTTTTATTAAGAAATAAAAATAATATTTTTTAATAGATTAAAACCTTTAGAACTCATTATATTTATTAAAATTATTTAGTTATGAAATCTAAGTACTCTATTTGAATCAATTTTAAAAACAGCATGTATGCACTTTTATATGCTGTTGATATAATAAGTAAAAAAGCTTGTATTTTTACAATTTATATACAATTTATTAATAAAATAGCAGTTAAAAAATAAAATTATGAATACATGATTATTATTTAAACACAAATTAAATTTAAAAAAAATTGTCTAAAAATAATAAAAATTCAGTTAGGTATAATGAAATAAATCTAAGCAATTTCTTTCTGTATTACAACATAAAAAAATATCACATTTAGTGCACTTAGCGAATGATTGATATTTACATTATGGTAGTTTACAATAGTTTATATACACGTCCAATTTTTTTCAAATTCAATTCTATGTTAATGCTCATCCAAACATATTTTGGTTGATGGAATTGTTGCAGTTGCTGTCCTTTTATTTATTTTTTCAAGCTCCTTTAGCATTTGTTTTTCTTATTTATAAGGCTTAAGAAGGAGATACTGTTTGAGATATAAAACAGCTTTAGTTGGACACAATTGCTCATTTAATGATTGGTTTTTTTTGATAGTTACAGAGCCAAACTTTTTGTTAAGTGTGTCAATAAGTCACCGAACTTTAAAAACCCTATCACGATTTAAATTATCTCTTGGTAAACCTAAAGTATTGTTGTAAAAATACTTACCACCTAATATTTTCAAATAAATTTACACTCATGAAATTTTTTTTAATTTTATTATGAGTATTTTCTGACCAATATGACCTCGTATTTGGTAAATGGACGATTGACATCATTGTAATTAAAAAAATATCCTACGTCGTTTATCGTTATTTTATTTAGTTTTTCATGATTTTGTTGAGTACTATAAAGCGTAGACTATTCGGTAATATGTGCTAATGATTCATTATAAAAAAAATAACAAAATTCTCTAGGTGGTGTCATTTCTTTTATTTCTTCAGGCATTGGTTTTTCCCCAATAAATTTTATAAATTCGGGATTCTGTGAAAAATGTCCTTTTCTCCAAATCGGGTCCAACCTTTCCATTGAATTTTCCTTCCATTGCTTTCTTTAGAACTCCATTTGATCTCTATACATGGCCTGCCCACTTAATTCGTTTACTCATGAGGTACGCATTGATACCAGGTTTTTGATAAATTTGTTGTACCTTTACATTATTTCTTCTCCTGTAAACTTAATTTTCTAGTATAGGTCCATAAATCATTCTAAGAACTTTTCTTTCGAAGCAAGCCATTTTTTCTTCATCCTTTTTAGTAATCGACCATGTTTCACACGCGTATGTTAGGACTGGCCGTAGAAAACGAGTACAAGCGTTCCTTTGATCATCTAGAGAAGAATTTTGATTTTTTGACAATTTTTTTCAAGGCGTAGTAACTCTTGTTAGCGGCTCAATTTAATTTTATTATGCGTATTATTGTATTGATTTAAGTTCGCCCCATGATATTTGAAATTGTTTACTTGTTGGAAGGTGTAGTTTTCTACAACTAGGTCCGAGTTATCTCTTGTTCCCCTAGTCATAACTAAATATTTGGTTTTGTTTTGATTTACTTCTAGACCCATTGATTTCGCTGCTTTAATTAAATCATTGGTTCTTATCGCTACATTTTGTCGCGTACTGCCTATTATTACTTTATCATCTGCATAGGCCAGGAGCGTACTGTTGGACAAAACCTCCATGACTTGAAGCATTGGCATTGACCTAATCACCTTCTCAAGCGCTAGATTGAGAAGGACTGGCGACAGAGCATCACCCTATTTGAGTCCTGTGCTAACCTAAAAACTGTCAGATTTACTGTAACCCAACTTCACTTTGCACACCGTACGCGTGTTGCAAGCTCTTATGATATCGATAGGTTTTTTGGGGATTCCAAATTCATCTAGGGCCACTCACAGTTTATTTCGAACTATGCTATCGTAGACCTGCCTGAAGTCAATAAAGCACATGTGGATATTCTATCTTAATTCATATAATTTTTCCATCACTTATCTGATTGTGAAAATATAGTTAGGGGTGGATTTTCCTCTCAAAAAACCACTTTGATAGTCTCCTTTTAAGTCTCTAGAGTATACCTCCAAATTGCATAATAATGCCAGGGATAGGATTTTGTAGCATGAGTCTAGAAGCACAATTCCCCGGTAGTTGCTTGTATTCATAAAATCGCCCTTTTTGTATATGGGACAGATATCGACTGTTTTCCAATCTTCGAGTATTCGATTAGTATTCCATATTTCTTTTAGTAGCTCGTGAATTTTGGTCACAATTTGTTGAGTACTGATCTTTAATAGATCAGAGTTGATATTATCTTCACCGGGGGCTTTGTTTTGTTTTAAGGTCACGATTATATCCTCTACCTCCTCACGCTTAGGTTCCTCTAGAAGAGGCTTTGCCGTATGAAAGATCATACTTACACTTTCCTCCCTTATTTCTTGGTCGACAAATAAAATATTTTTAAAATGTGCTTGAAACTTCTGGATGATACCTTCTTCATCCGTTATCAGGTTTCCATTGTGGTCCTTAACCATACGAGTTTAAGCTTTAAAACCTTCCTTTATTTTATCCTGCATTTTTTGAAGAACAACCTTGGATTGAGCCTATGTTCTTCTATTTTTTGAATAAGTCCTTTTTCGGCTGCTCTTTTTTCCTGCCTTAATATTTTGCTTGCAACTTTTTTGGTTTTTAACAAATTCTTCTACATTGTCAGGAAATGGGTCTTGTATCATTTATAATCTTCCTTCTGTGCGTCTTTCTATAGCTTCCTCGCACCGTTCATTGAACCATGAATTCTTACCGTTGAATACGTTTTCTTTTTTAAATACCTCTGCTGATTTGTTTATTAAGTCTTTAACTATGTTCCAGGTTTCTTCAAGGTTTTTCTCTGTATTTGAAATTGCTTTTATCAGTTCATTATTTAGATATTCTCGGTATGATTTCAGTACCTCTTGATCCTTAGGTTTTTCTATTTCCAGGCGGATTCTACTTTTTAGTTTTTTTTACTTCCAACTTATAGCCGGTTTGATTCTAAATGATGCTATGACCAGTGGTCTGTGTCTCCATCAGTTCCACGGTAGCTTCTAACTTATCTAACACTTGATCTGTGTCTCTTATCTATAAGTACATGATCAATTTGGCTCTTAGTAATTTTAATAAAGAGTCTTTTACAATAAAACCCACTCCGTGTTCATGTCTACCATTACCGCTTCCATTATAAAAATTGTCATATTTTCTGATTTGAGATGACTAGATTCTGGCCATCTCACTTCTTGGAAGGTTACTATATCTACAAACATTTCTTGACAATACTAGTAATACATTTTAGTGCCCCGATTTGTACAAATATCTTATGTTCCATTTTTAAAATAAAAATACTCCAGGTTTTCCAGTTACATTTATTTTCTTTAAAAATCTGTCCGAGGCTTAGTAGTTGTAGTTTGCTCAACAATTATTTTTTACTATGACGGGTCATTAGCCCGTCGATAAACCCCCAACCTGGAGGACCATACTACCCCAACTAATTAAGGCCAGGGGAGGGCTATCGCAGTGCACTTATTAAGATACACCGGGAGATAGGGACGCCACTTTCTCTACGCCTCAAGTATTTTTTTAAAAGCTAATAATTATCTCGTGGATCTACGATTTTTACTTATAGGTATTTGTGTAACAAATGACGAAGCTGAATTAATATATTTCATACATTTTCCCGTTTTTCCTACATTTTTCCCCGGTTTTCCCTATTTTTTTTCACGGTTTTCCCATTTGTTATGAAAACAGATGGGAAAATCAAAAAATTATTTTCCTTAAGTGGCACATCAGTCAAATTTTCTTCCAGAAAAAGTGCTATACGTTCATAATCTAAAATTAAAATTTAAAGACGCCGAGTTGTAATAAATGTTATTAAATTTTAACATTTGGTTTTTCTCAATTATTATGAAAACTACTTTGAATATCAAAAAATTTCTCGATTGGAGATATATTTTTGGTAGAAAAATATAAATTACACAAATTAATTAGAATAAAATAGGTAACGCCGTGGTGCGCAATAAATATTTGTCCTTTTTACCTATAATTTTCTTTCTGATTTTTTCCAATTATTTTACAAACTCTTTGAAAATAAAAAAATTACCTCTTCGATGTATCAGTGGAAATAACCTTTTATAAATTGTCCTATAATATAATATATCGGAGTAAGTTTTTTAACGTATAGAAAAAAAAAATAAACATTATATTAAACCAATAGATCTCTTGCTAAAAATTATATTTATTTTTTACATCCGTGTCACCAAGGTAACTTATACAAATAGCACCTCCAACCCTTTCGTCACCCATAATATCTCTAATAAATTATGATATAATAATCATTTATTCGCACCTCAACACTCGACCAGCTTCCCTCGAACGGTATATATCACACGTATGCAACGGACCAATGTGACCCGATGCTGTGCAAAGCGCCTCATGTATTTGGAATTGTAGAACGATGCTGATGAAATATCTGTAATAATATTATAAAATATTAAAATAATATGTAAGGTATGAACGTATTCACGTATTTTTTTTTTTACATCGAATGGTTATTTTGTTGTTCATAATCATAAACCAAGAAACAAACATTCCATACATGATTATTTAATATTTTTTTCTTCCAAAATAAAATATTTGATTGATAGATTCGATGTTTGTTAAAATTCGCTTAATATTAAATGATCATTGAATGACTTTATTTATCAATGCTTCATTTAAATCAATATTATAAATATAATGTTCAACAGTGGAAGATCCAGGGGAGGGTAAATGTGGGCAATGTGCGTCCTCCCCTCCTTTTGATTCTAAATATACTTTGAGCCTCAATATACTACAAGCTTAATTTTCATTATGTATGAGCCTTATTATATGAAATTTCATAACCACTCCTACCCTCGTTATTTTGACTGCACTTGAATTGAGTAATAATAATTAAATTATTTAAAATATTATTATTTTCAAAAATAATATGTAAAATTTACTTAATTGTATAAAACGTTAAAATTAATTTTTATTTTGGATTTAATATCCTAATTAGAAATTTTTTCTATATTTTGTAAGAAGTGTTATTTCGGGACCTTTTATTTTTTCAGAAAAATATTACGTCAGAAAGTTTTTTGAAAAAAATAATTCGTTGAAAAATATTTCATGGGAACCGTATTTTGTTGGAAAAATAATTCATCGGAAAGTATTTTGTGGAAACCGTTTAATATAATTTCATCATAAGCACTTCGTGGTTACAATATTGCATGTTATCGTCGTTGAGAAAAAATTATTTCCCGATAAAATTCTTTCGGACTAATTCTTTCTCCGACAAAATACGGTTCTGACAAAATATGTTTCCAACTTTTGTCATATTTTTTATTTTTTTTATTTACGAGTCCTACAAAATATTTTTCCGAAAAAATACTGTTTCGTCAAAATATTTTTCAATATTGTATGCCCCCCCCCTCCTAATTCGACCCAAACAAGACAAAATAAAAAGACAATTAGAATTACTAATCCATGCAATAACTGACGTAGAATTAAAGAGCAAGGTGAAATGCAGAACTGCAACTAGGTAGGTTAGGTTAGGTTAAGTTGGGGCCTAGGTATAGGTAAAGTTATGGGGAATCTGTATTCTATGAATATTCTCATAAAATATTAAAGCTACCTTGGAGGTGCTATGCACCCCCACACCTGCACAAGTTGCATCAATGTTGAAACATTATGTAGATATTAATAATAACATGATTAAATTTAAAAAAAATATATTAAAAGTAAATACCAAGTAAAACAAGTTATTGAATTTGATTAGCACCAACCAAAAATTGATTTTTGAATTTAATTTTTGATGTGGAGAATCTCAATGCAGCATTAAGTAATTATCGGATCATCGTAAAACATGTCATTGCTTTTTTAATATATATTATTAACAAATAAAAAAATATTCAATTTCTTTGAATTTGTTTCACAAAAACCCGAATAAAACTGCACTAATTTATGGGCGTTGTATAAATTGAGATGATTATATCTACAGTATATAGGCCAAATATCTACTATAATATCAAACCACGATATATTTCGTTGAGAAATGTCCTAATCGACTTATACAAGATGGCATTTTCTACTATAGTAAATGATTATAAGATAACCAGTAAAATTCTGAGTACCTATTTAATTTTGAGTGCTTGCGTCACTGGTTACTGATTTGATATTAAAATGATTACTCTAAGCAATGTGAATACTATTTCGCAAAATCCGCCAAAATATTTGAAAGCTTCTTTGACGATACCTATGACGTATATAATTTAAACATACTTTATATAAGGGGTGTCTGCAATAACGTGGTATTTTGAACTTGGATCGAAATCCTTTTCATCTCTTGCTATCGGTGGTATAATCCCCTGGTACAACAATCTTAAATCCCACCAACGGGCATTTAGATTGTTCACACCTTTCGAAAACACGCTCCATCGCCACTATAATAATAAAACATCATTTTTAACATTTATTTGATTACAAACCACGAGTAATAATTTTTAAAAATCAGTATTATTGGTTAAAATGTATTGTATGTAATATGTATACACTTTACACATTATAACAACAGTATCAAGCCCTGCTTCCCTAATTCTATTGGCTTAAAAATATAACTACTACGTGTATTTATTTAACATTAAATCTTGGAATGTATTTATTACTACTAAATAACAAGGAAATGGTTTATTGAAGACAAAGTGTCTGTTTTGAAATCGGAATTAACGATCGGAAGATAGGAAGATATACCCCCCGAATATCCACTACAAATATTTTTTTTTCTCGTGAAAAATTAACTTTTTATTTTATTATTTTCAGAAAGTTTCAAGAAAACCATTATGTAGAGTTTATTTTTTTGAACATTTTAATGTTGAACCGATAATAATAAACCGATGTTATCTAGGAAATAATAAAACCGCGTTACGCAAAAACATCGGTTTTCACACCGATTAGTAGAATTTAAAACGGCTGTTACTTTTGATAATATGAAACTATTCATTGTATATAAACGTGTGATACATTAAAATTTTAGGATAAATAAGGTCTATAGAATGGCTATCTTAAAATTATCCAAAAATAATAAAGTCAATAATTTTACTAAAAAAATAATTAATTCAAATTAGACAAAAAAAAAAATCAGAACTTAATAATCTTTATTATATCCGGAGATATCCAAGGGGTATCTATATATTCGAGGGACAGCCTGTATGTATATTGTATATACATAACATGTTAATAAATGTACTTACCAAATCAACTGAATAGGCAAAAGGTAGATAGGCTATTTTGTCCAAAGCCATTTCCATTAAAAAATCTATTTGGCTTTCTAAAACAAAAAAATTAAAATTAAAAAAACCACTGTTATAGGTGAGAAATTGAGATGGTAGGATACATAAGGTTATTTCATTTATATCTGTAAACAACAATAAATCATTGCTTGACGAAATACGATTCCGAGTGCAGTTCGGTAATACATAATTTGAAGTTCCGTAATATTTTTGCGATTTTCATTTAAATTTGATTTCAAAACTAATGAAAAAAAAAATTCGTCCGATAATTTTTGAAATTTGACCAAGTTCAGGTATGTCTAATATAGCTATTATAACTATGTTTAAATCTCTACATGTGTTTATAACCGAATTACTGAAAAAGCTCCTAAAAATTAAAATTCCTTAAAAGCCCAAAAATGGCTCCAAATTTTTGGCCATAATACTGTAAGAAAATAAATCAAAAAGGATAAAAAAAGGTATCGTGAGATTTTTCGATTAAATTGTTTTTTTTGGTAAAAAAAAGTCGTACGTGTTTTTATAAAAATGATGAAATCGTGAAATTGTACGTTTTTTCACGTTTTTTCCCACGTTAGTTTTGATCTTAATAGTATTTCGGTATTTAAATATTGTTCAGACTTGGGCCGAATATGATCAAAATTATTCCTCATAATTTTCAAACGATTAATAAAATCTAAAATTTTTTTATTACAATAAGTCACATCAAATATTTTTGTTCGCATTATATTAAAAAAAAAATATTTCTTGAGCTAAAATATTACCAAATATTAAAAGAAAAAAGTTGAAATCAAAATCTTGAATTGTTTGAAAAATTCTCTAGCACATTTTTTTTAGCACATTTTTTTTTATTTTTTTTAGAAAATTTACAATCTGTATTACATGACACAATAAGTAAAATAGATGACTTGTATAACACTATATACATAAAAAAAAATACATATGAAGCACATGATGAGGGAAATCATCCAACGATGGTACCCTCTAGTAATTTATTTTTTTGTTCATTAATTTAATAGGTCACGGCACCAATTTATTTTGAGTCGGCGTGGTGGGTTGTTAGGAAGAGTACGAGATGCTAGGTGAGTGACTAAAGGATTGGAATGTAGTTGCAGTTTGGAGTGAATTTGTTATAGTATAATTTAGCTAGTTGGTCAACTGTTGGAATTCTTAAATCATTGTGCAAGGTTTCATTTGTTACGTACCATTGGGCCGAGGCTATTAGCCGGAGAGTGATGGACTGGAAAGCTTAGATAGTGCGGACTTGAGAAGGTTTGGCACATACCCAGATTTGCATACCGTACGCCCAGATAGGTCTGAGTAGAGATTTGTACAATGTGGACTTTGTGTGTATTGATAGTTTAGATTTAAGAATCGGCCTGAGTAGATAAAGGCGGTAGTTAAGGATTTTACGTTTGGACTTGAGATGAGGTAACCATGTCAATCTTTTGTCTAGTAAAATTCTCAAGTATTTTACCTGATTCGATGAAAGAATCTCGACTCCTTGAAGTTGGAGCGAGGGAAGGTTGTGTTTACGTAGTGTAAATGGCACATGGAAAAATTTATCGGGATTTATTAGAATTTTCCACTTGGTTGCCCGGGTGTTTATTAAATTGAGGTGATTTTGAAGATAGCTTAAAGATTGAATAGGGTCTAAATTGGAGAAGAGTATAGCTGTATTATCTGCATAAGTTGCTATGGTTGTGTTTGCTGTTTTTGGAATATCTGATGTATATATGTTAAATAAATCGGGTTATAGGTCACTTCCTTGTGGAACACTGGCAGAGATTGAAAAGTAGGAGGATATTGAGTCGCCCTGTCGAACTGCAAATTTACGATCATAGAGGTAGGATTGGATTATTAGATAGTAGGGAGCTGGGAGGAATAATTTTAACTTTTATAAGAGGCCATCGTGCCAAACTCTATCAAAGGCTTGAGCTACATCTAAAAAAACTCCTGGGCAGTATTCTTTATTTTTAAATGACGTTTGAATTTTATCAGTAATTCTGTGTATTTGAGGTATTGTCGAGTAGGATGTCCTGAAACCAAATTGTGTGTGGGATATTATATTGTTTGAATGAATGAGTGGTCTAATTCTTTTAAGAATAATTTTCTCGAACAATTTAGCTAAAGCTGATAGTAGACTTAAAGGTCTATAGGATGACGGTAGGCGTTTGGGTTTACCAGGTTTATGTATAAGTATTACTATAGAAAATTTCCAGATTTGAGGGAAGTGAGAGAGTCTTAACATGGAACTGTAAATAAATGTGAGAAGTAATAGAGTTTTATTGGGTAAGTGTTGTAATATTTTATTTGTAATTAAGTCATATCCAGGTGACTTCTTTGGCTTTAGTTTGCTAATTAAATGTTTGATTTCATTTGGGGTTGTGTGTTTTGCTGGGAGAGACATTGGTAAAGGACTATCAAGAAATCTGGCAATGTTGTCGAGGTGTGCAGATTCAGAATTAATTCTAGCACACTATAATGTTTTACTTTCATTGTCCTATTGTTCACCATTTTCTATAATTGAAGCCACAAGGTTTAATACTTCTTGTCTATACTTGGGCATCATTCTAACGAGTCTACTGTTATAATTCAATCGAGTTGGGGCAACTGATAGATCTCTTTTTTTTAAATTTCTTGTTCGAGTGCATGAATTCTTTTTGTAGATTTTGAAAAAATTAAAAAATTAAAACGTGTTTTGATTTTAGACTTTTAATTTTTAAGTTTTGGAGTAAGCCAATTTTCCTTTATTTATAATATTTTATTTTACATAAAATGAGTTATATCCAAAAGATTGTTGTAACAATTGTGCAATAACACATTAATAATAGTAACAATTATTTAATTGTAAATCCAAAGTACTTATCAACGAATCTATGTTATAAATTTTAGAATTCGGGAAGTCGATGTGGTGATTAGACAACAACATTATATTATAATCAAACATAAAATACCAATGAACACGAACATCAAAAAAAAACTTACTCACGTAAGTAAAATCAAATGTGCTTACAAACATTAGCTTAATACATGACCTCCTCTATGACACTAGTCCAGAGTTTTCCAAATACCGGGTCGCAGAATTAATAAAATTCTCATATTTTATTTTATTATTTATCATTTTTAAAATTCTGATGTTATGTGCATATGTACTTTTTTGTATATTTATTTAAAATTAAATACATATACATTAGAGTATTTTAGAATTTTTTTTTTACAAATTTTGACAAAAAAGGTATATTTGTTTTTTCTAGATATGGTAAAATTTTTAAAATATTTGTGTCATCATTGGGCTATTTATAGATATTTTTATTTTGCTAGTTTTTTACGTAATTTTTATTCGGTGGGTTAATTGATAAACCAAATAGAAATGCTTGAAAATGTTTAATGGAAGTTCATTACAAGTGGTACTTTGTGAGGCAAAAAAATTAAATGCAATGTAAAATAATTTTTTTATAAGAATTTGAATTTCAAATTTTGACGAAAATGATAAATATAACAACATGTATCTGTGATGTCAAATTTGTTTTCAAAATAAAAAGTTAGCTGTAGTATGACGTGTTAATATTTTAAGTATCTCCATTTTGAATTTTGATATAAAATTCATTCTATTGAATCATTTTCAATATTTATAGTAACAAATTGTGTTGCGAGTTTTATCTAACTATTTCTTCACTTTCTATTTGCTAACAAATGTTTAAAATTATATATTTTAAGGATAGTAATTGTTTTTTTATGAATGGTAAGTTATTTAAAAATTTTCACCCACATATGTTTACTAATGAATTACCAGTAAACATAGTTTTTAAATATTTGCTGGTTCTAACAACTTGGTTATTCAATAAATGTCAGTACCTAAAGAATTTATTACCAAAACAATTTATTAACTTAACTAGTAATCTGCGTAATTGTACTATTCATACGCCTATTAACTCAACGAAAAATACGGGAAATGTTATATATATATATATAGGGTTTGGTTGTAAGTAGGGTTATACATTTAAAAAATTAATTATACTCACTATTTACATTATAGTCCAACAACCAATAAACACTTACAAAATAAATCAAAAAATATTAATTCATCATAATCAATACAAATACTATGGAATTATGTTACAGGAATTAAAAGATTAAAAATTTAGAAAATTGCCATATTGGAATATTGTTAACAACCTTCTCGCAATGATTCCGGTGGCTGTGATCAGGTATAGAAATATGAAATTAAATTGTATTTAAATTTAAAAAAAAAAAGTATACTTTATATATATTAATAAGTATACCATAATCGTCCGTTATGTTGTTTAGTAATCCGATTCTATGTAAATGTCGTGGTGTGGATACTGAAAGAATAATTGCATCACTCAACGCTTCATGAAAACCTAATAATGTACAATTATTTTTTTTTAGTTTTTACTATTTATATACGAAGAAATAACACATTTAATAATGTACCGACCCGGATTCGCGCCTTCTCTGAAAAGAAGTGGCTGGTCTGTATAATGAAGATAATATTGAATATGCGCCATTTCGTGATGTGTCGAAAACAGATCGTCCATTGTAACTTCGGTGCACTGTTTGATCCTGAAAAAAAATTTAAAAAAACATGACACACTTGATAGTTGAAGTAAGATTTCTGGTAAAAAAATTGTTTACAGACGGATAGAAAAAAAAATACAAACCATAGTAAAGCTAATAATATTTTCCACGCTACTTACAGAATCTAAAAAATGTTTGTATTTTTTTTATTATGCGGAATTACGACGGATTATATAATATATACAACTATATTAGTATTATGAAATACCCTATGAACTTCGTCATTAGATTTACTTTACCGATATGTCGTATAACCGGATATATATATATAAGTAAAAAAAAATGGATAGATGGGTGTGACATCACCACCGGCCACGCCTAGATTTGAATCTAATCCCAATACGAATATAATATAAATGAAGGACCACAACGAATAATAAACATCTATACTAGGATTGGCATAAAAGTTTAATTACGGACCGGGAAATTTACAAAAATAATTTAAACAAACTTTTTTTTTAAAATTATACTTAATTATAAAATGTAGAATACAATGTAATATCATTGAAAATATCCTCTCAACATTGGCGTTATGACCAGGAATACCATATAAGTATTGAGACATCAAAATTAAATTACGTTTTCTTTTCCAATATATCAGTTTTCTGAGAGAAATGTAACGGTAATATAAATGTATTTGTTTTTTTTTTTCCATTTTCACCATAATAATACAGTTCAATGATTATTATCAGTAATGATAATCTTTTCATAGAATAAATGACGTGTCCAACATGAAATTAAAGGTTTTAGAATACAAATTTTAAAATAAAATTTATAATTTTTGGTACTTATTTCATTTACAATTTACGACCGGGACCGAAGTCATAAATTGGTAATATGTCCCGGTGTACCGGGATATATTACGCATGTGCATTCAGAATTTAGCGGACTGACTTAGTTTTGAAGTTATAGCTTTTTGAAGTTATGCGTATATTAAATAACTCAATAACAAATTTATAACGTGTTTGTCGTAGTCTAGTTATGGTGCTTACCAGTTGTTATTCCATAGATCGCAAGTACAAACCCTCAAATATTTAAAACCAAAGAACCGATGCATTTTGGATGCTTTTAAAGACCCAACTCATCACTCGCTCGGACTATTTTAATCGACAAATATCCCTCGATTTGTTGTGCAAAGTTTTGTACCAGAAATCTAGCCCCGATGAATCAAGTGCAGCACTTTTTCTTGAAGTAAATTTTATTTATATGGTACGTTAAGGAGGTCATTTTTTGATTTTTCAAGCGATTTTCATAATAATTTCGAAAACCAGGGATAAAATGTCCGAAATTTACAAAAATAATGCTTTTATACTCAGTTAAAAATATTCGTAGTAAATTGAAATTTAGACAGAAAATGTATGTTTGCCTTATCTAAACATAGTAAATCTATAAAACATTTGAGCTTCATATGGGCTATTTATAGACAATTTAATTTTGTGACTAATTTTTATTTAGTACCTACTCTGTAGATATTTTAGACTAAACAGATAAAGATGAAAATTTAACAGAAATAAAAATAAAAATTCAATTAAGTTAATGTAGTATTTTTTTTTTTAAGAATTAATATCAAATTTCAATTTTAGTAAAAAATTATGTGGAACAAATCTAGTTATTGGTCTATTGTATATATTTATTTTTCGATAATATGACATATCTGTTGTAAAAATACAATACTATTAACCTCAGAATCGTTTTTTATATATTGAATTCCCCTCTATATCCTACCTTCCCAACTTCTGATTTACTACAGTAGTCCACCCATTGTGCGAAGTATTTTAACTATAGTTAATAATTTATTTTATATGCTATAAAATATATTTTTAATTCATAACTTTGATTAAAATTACAATAATAGGTAAAATTAAAAATTGTGTAAGCTCCTATTATTACTCTCTAGACCATCTGAATCCCCATTGAAAAAATCTTAGCTACGCGATTGTCAGCATACCTAACTTTTAAATTATGAGTGGAGCGACGAATGTATTGATTTTATAACGATGTTTACTATTATAATTTTTTTTTCCTGTGAATAATTTTTCTACTAGCAAGTTTGCTCCAATTTACAATGATAGCACTTTTCCGGAAAGATAATCTGACTGAGGTGGTATTTTATAGAGTTTTTCCAATAAATGAAAAAAAAAAACGTAGGAAAAACTTAATTATATTAAGAATTATAATGCATAATATGTAATTATTTTACCGTAATGTCACATATATATATTGTTAACAAAGCAACGCTATTAACCGAACTCCGCTCAGAATCGTTCTTCAGCAATGGTTAGGTTAATCATTGCATATACATTAAATTTCCCCTCTAACTTCTCAACTTCTCGCCTACAACAGAGGCCCATCAACGATATATGTCCGTCTTTTTTTATTATATCAATAGTGGTAAAGTAATTTGTAATATAAAAAGTTCTAAATTATCAGTGGTAAACTATTTTACCATCCTATATGTCAAAAATTGTTCATAAATTTTTTTTTTTCAAATGTTTTTAAAGTATACATATGTGTGATTTCAGGTCAAACAGAAAAAAGAAATTTTATGCTTTATAAAGCGTTAAGATTTTCACGATTCACAATACTAAGAAAAAAATATAAAAATAAAAATATATTTTATTTAAATATAAATACATATTTTGATATTGAAAGAATATAAAACTAAAATTTTGCATGTTTTACTCATATTTTTATATAATTTTTCGAGCATATTTTCCAATGTTTAACAGAATTCTAGGCTATTCTGGCTATTTTAACACTTTATAGAAAAATCCGCGCTCAAGTTATAGATAACAATCTTCTTAAGAAAATACGTAACTCACATTAATTACCCATAAAATATAACCGCTGCTTTTTATAATATAAGTACATATACCAATAATTGTATTTATTTAAAAATGATTTACCTGTAGTCATATTTATTGCAAAAATCCCAAGCAGACGCTTTGCAAGAAACCGGCCTGTTTGTTGGTTTTTCCAAAATCGAATTATGCCAAAATTCCACCGGCATCGCTTTTAAATTGAGTGACGAAAAAAATTCTTCAGCAATTTGAAACATCCTATTAAATTAATATTGTAATATTACGTTTATGTGAGCATATAATACCACGATGTATTACATAACATATTTCAATAAACAACTATAATATTATTGTTAATTTATTGATACCTATGGGTTACATAGAGAATTTATACTCTTTACTCAACTTATGTTGTCACTGTTGCATGGACCCCGTAATTTTTTAAAATTATTTTACTTTAACCTTTAAACTTACATTGTTGTTTTTTTATTGCAACATATTTTATGATAACATAATATTACCTAAATTTAATGATGTGGAATGTGTAGCGCTATATAAGACGTTAACAAACTAATCAATAATTTACACTTTACATTTAAATTCAATAATAAATATCGGAAGAAAATGTGTCATTAAAGTCCATATTATATAACGTTATCATTATACTATAATATTCCTAGGTTTACGAATTTTTTATACTTTGTGTATTAAAGTTATAACTTTTAGTGACATTTTAGACATACTTATGATTTCTAGTGACAATATATAATATATTTAAATTTCGATTTGTACTTTTACACTACTGTATTTTTCACTACGTTTATTTTAAAACATGTTTCAAAATTGAAACAGTGTGCAAGTAAATAAATTGTGTAATCATTGTCAACACAATTTATTAATTTATAATAGTTTATAGTTGACTACATTATTAGTTTTATTTCAATTATTTTAATTTAAAACTATGTTATTATAATTTTTTTTTTTAACATAAAATACACAGAGTCCAAAAATTGTATCTATAATTTGTACTTCCAATGTGCTATAAATGATATATTATTTTTAATTATCCAGTTAGGTGTGGTATTGTATTATTTTAATAATGCAATATTTAAAATAATAAAATAATTTTTAATAATTCAGACATTAATTTGTACATAATTTTTACTTAACAGTTAATTTACTATATTTAATAGCCACTAAGTATTCATATGTTATACTTTTAGGTAACATTGTATACATAGAAAAAAAGGAAATAGAGCATGTTTGCAACGTTGAGCTCATTTTCGTACGCAATCATGTCTTATGAGTCAAGTACTTACATAAATTGTTCGCAATCGTAGAGTATATGATGTATACAATCGTAAATCACCAATAATAATTGTTTATTTTTAGATGGATTAGAAAAGTGTTTAAGTAGTATTGATAGATCTTACAGCACTATCATAATTGTGGTGTCATAAATATTGATACTTTAAACAATTCTCTTACATTAATATAGTACCAATCTAAGTATATTGTCAATTAAAGGGTTTGTTTCATACATAAATAAACATACTCGTATCTTCAATACTGCACAATTATGTATAGATCATATATTTATTTAAATTATAGATATTGATTGGGTTAATAAATATTTTAGATTATGAGTGGGCGAAGAAGCTTATGATTTTACAAAGATGTTTATTTTTTTATTTTTCTGTGAATAACTTTACCACTAGAATTGTTGCTCTTAATTTTTATTATAGCAATTTTTCTAAAATTAAATTTCACTAAGGAGGTACTTTAGAGAGGTCGTTTTCCGATTTTCTCCGGAGTTTTCTAAATAAATAAGAAAAACCGGAAAAAAACGAAGGATAAACGAAAAAATTTAAGAAATGTAGGCATTAGCTAAAAATATTTTTTTTCCTGTGGACAACTTTTCTACTAGAAATTTCGCTTCAATTTATAATGATAAATAATGATAAATAAAAATTTTTTTAAAAGGAAATTTGATTGAGGAGGTACTTTAGAGAGATAATTTTTCGACTTTCTCAAGAGTTTTTCCAGAAAATGTTTAAAACCAAGAAAAAACATGGAAAAACCGGAAAAAACGAGAAAATCAGCATATTAAAAAAATTACATATATTGGTGCTTTGTCAACAATATATGTATATGTTATGGTAGCGTTTATCAACCAGGGGGTCGCGAACACCTTGACTCGGGGTCGCGCAGGTCAAAAATAATAAAACGCTGATTTACAAAATGTACCTTTTTATTTAAATATTTAAGACTTTTTATTGAAAAAATAAAAATAAAAATAAATAATTAGTGTGATCTTTGAATTTGTTTTAAATTTAAAAGTTGCTTAATTTGTGGTTCAACATCTGAAACACATAAAAGTAAGTTATTTTCTAGTGATTACAAACGATTTATATACTTAGTTTTTATTGCACCATGGATGAGAATCCTTTTTGCATAAATAAGAAGTAGCGAACGGAATCAAAATTTTCAATGCCTCTGTTACCAAACTTCCACATTCATTTTCCGGGCAATCCAAAACTTATTTAAATCTTGAGATGCAAATTGTAGCTGTAATGTCTTATCAGCTGATAATTCTATCAGTTGGTTGTGAGTATCAANACTGCAACAATATTTTCATCAAATGGATTAGGAACCCATCTATTTGAGAAGTCATTGTCGTTACATGAGAAATATTCGAGTAATTGAATTTTCAATTCTCTTAAATGTGTTTTCATGGTATCCAAAACACGATCAAGAATAGGACTTGAATAAGACGATCTTTAAAAAATATTTTTAATTCATTTTGCAACTCAAAAATCCGCGTTAAAACTTTTCCTCGTGACAACCACCTAACTTCGGTATAGAAAAGCAGTGACTTGCGCTTGGAGCCCATTTCTTCACATAGTGTGGAAAACAATCTGTACTGCAGCGGTCGACTTTTAATATAATTTACTATTTTTATAGCTTTAGATAATACATTTTTTAAATTATCTGGCATTTTTTTGCGGCAAGTGCATGCCTGTGAAGAAAACAATGTGTCCATTCAATATGTGGCATTAATTCTTTTAGTTTTACTATTAAACCACTATTTTTCCCTGTTGTTGCTCTTGCGCCATCAGAACACACTGAAATACATTTGTTCCAGTCCAAATTTTCATTTTTTGTTGTTTTAATAAATAATTCAAAAAGACCTTGTCCAGTAGCATGACCTGGTATTGATTTGCAAAAAAGCATATTTTCTTTAATTGTCCCGTCACATTCGTAGCGAACAAAACATAAAAATTGTGCCAAGTCTGTTGATTCGTCAAACTGAATAGAAAAATACTCACTTGATTTTAGATTTTGTACTATTTGATTGTGCACATCAGTTGACATTTCATTAATTCGTCTTGATATTGTGTCATTTGAAAGTGGAATAATTTTTAATTTGTTTGCTTCTTCTGCACCTATCATAATATTGACCATATCAATAGCAGCGAGTAGAATGAGGTTCTCAGCAATCGTGTGCGGCTTTGATTCCCTAGCTACCCTAAGTGCTACTAAATATGATGCTTCAAGTGTTGCAGTGTTATTCTGACTTGATTTAAGAATTGATTTAAGTTTGTTGATTTTTTAAAAAAAATGATTTACGCTCAAAAAAATCAATTGGTTTTTTTACTAAAAGTGGGTGATTTGTTTCCAGATGTCGAATTAATTTTGAAGGTTTCATACTTTCTTGAGATAAAACTTGAAAGCAAACAACACATTGCGGCTTATTATCAAGTGAAATAAACCCATACTTAAAATACTCATTGTTATATGACCTGCATTTTTTTTTCGCTGGTTCACCAGAAGTAGACGGAGCATTACGTTTTGTTATATATTTATCCATAATCATTAATTCAAATTACACAAAACTAAAAAGACGCACTAAAAACCAACTTAATAAACGCAATATCACATGAGTTTAACAACACGAGCGCCGCGCGACTGTCATCGATAAATTAATCGTTTCATAACACACAAAAATAATATTAAAAATAACAATAATAAGCAGTCGATTAAATGTAGATAGCTCATCAATAAAACGGGCACTACTCCACTAATGGAAATTCCTAATGACCCGATACAAACTTGATAAGCTTAAGTTACTAGATATGGTATTTATAAATTGGTATTTAAAATGTCATATTTCGTTTGGTTAATGATAGGATATTTTTACTGTTTAAATTTTTACCTAACCTAGATAGAGGGGGGGGGGGCTCGCGAAGTGTTGACTATATTTTATACCTATTTTGGGGGTCGTGACACTAAAAAGGTTGAGAAACGATGTGTTATGGTATGGTAAAATAGTTACATATGGAATTAACTTTACTTTAATAATATCACAACAATATCAAAAATATAGAACCATACAACAATTTTCATAACCAAGCAATATGATTAATTAATCAATACTTAACTTGAACAAAATTCAAAATTAATGTGTTAGATAGAAGTTTAAGGAATCGAGAAATAATCATTAAGTAAATATTATATTTATATATAAAGCACAACAGTATTTGTATTGTGTATACCATTAAATTTTAAATTTATAATTGATTACAGCTGTTAAATTTACTGGTTAAAACAAGTTAAATATTTCACTAAAGAGTATAATTGGCTATACATGCATAACAATAATTTGGGCTGCAAAATATGTTCTAAGGCTAATCTAAATTAAATAAAAGTACAAGGAATACATGTTTCAAAATAATGGAATGGTGGTAAAACAGAAGTTAGTGATAAGAGTGAAAAATTGCTAATCATAAAAATAATCAAGTAATCTAATGTCTTATGTTTTTATAAAGTTATTATAGGCTTAAGCATTATGTAGACAGAGTGAGTTACTCCAGTTATAAAATAATGTTAATATTTGTGTACCAACTTTTAATAAACAATTTGGTCTAAAAAGCTGTATATTTGTATGTTCTCAAATATATAGACATCTCAGTAATAAAATTTGAACAGCGTATTTTTACGTATTTATATTTAACATATTGTTTAATTATTTTTTAAAAGAATTAGATTTTTCAGTCATAGATTTGTTGTAAAAATATTTGAAAAAAAAAAAATTGATTTTTCTTAATATTCTTTAAATTCTACAATATATTCTTTGTTAAATTTTCTATTTAGATTATTAGGTTTCATAATTATAATTGTTTATATTATATTACTTAAACTACATATATAATCCCCAAAACAAGCATCATGCTTAAAAGGGAGTAATAAACATGACGTATCTTGTATTATAATTCTCAATTGTAATTATTTATGTATAGTTTTTTTAAATTAATTTTTATTATTATAAGTATTATTTAATATTATAATATTTAATTTAATATAATATATGTGTACATAGAAAAAATTATATTAATATGAATATTAATATTTAATAATATTGTAAAAAAAAAAAAAATTTTGGGGTTTCCCCGAAATCATCTTCAGGTAATACCTTATTAGAGGAATGTTTAAAAATGGATACCCATGAGTGCTAAATTATGTATAGGACTCCGATTATTAACTATAAGATTGAATCGATTTAAATCACAAGTACTAAATTTTTGAATAATAACTTTCTTACTTTAAAGGCGTATATCCTTGGCGTAACATTTCACTGGAAACATCGATACGTCTTTTTCGTGGAAATGGAATCACCAAGTCTATTATGTTTTTCCAGTTCTGTGCCCACATGTTACCTAATTGGGGAAAAAAGTATATTATTTGTTATAGTTTATTTTCCGTTTTTATATGAATGTAGAATTTAAAATATCCACAATTTTATATGATTTTAATAATGGTTCCTGACATTTTTACTGAATCAAATTTCCCGAACATTCTTTTTCCGGATGGTCGTTTTTTCTGGATGGTATATTTCCCGAATACTATTAATTGGTTTTACCTGAATATCGTTTTTTTTTTGAAAGATGTATGGAATTACACCTTTCCCGAATACTAAATAATAAATAATAATCTTGTTTTCAATTAATTGTTTCATTATTACTACATTATGTTAATAGCAGAAAAAAAATTGTTTTTATACAAATTATTATAATCGTCATAAAATAATTTTAATTTAAATTGATTAATAATACACAAATTCACAATTTAAATATGAAGTTATATGAAGAATATTTTGTTAATGTTTTATTTGTTCTGTGTTGGCAGTTTGTGTTTAATGTTATAAAGAATTTTATAACTGAGTTTATTTTTATAAAACTATTTTATTGTTATAGCATTTAAAGGAAATGAGATAAATAGTAGTCGTATTGATGAAATATTTTCCAAAAATGGGTTTAAAGCCTGGTATAGAGTGAATAAAAGTTTTTTAAATCATAAACTCCTCAAATCTCATCTTAATTCTTCTATAGCTTTATCTGCATTTTTAAACTCAAAACCAATCAAAGAAGAAAACTTAAAACATAGAAAAATAGATATTTCTATATATTTGACAAAAGGTGAAATAGTATTGAAAGGGTTTATAAAGGTATACGTTTGGAAGAAGCCGATTAAAATCGCAAAGCATAATCAGTGAAGATAATATTTGTGAAATGTTTTGTTATTTAGGTGAACATTTTATTTTTATTTTATTTAACTATTACTGACGAAAAATTGTGTTAAAAATTTAAATTGTAGTCAATTTGTCAAATAAAAATTTAAAAAAATGTTAGTTACTCAATAAAAATAAAATTAAATGTAAATTATGTAAAGAAAAATTTCCAATAAGTTAAGTAACAAAACTAAAAACAAACTAAATATATTATAAATTTAATTTAAAAATGCATGATTGGTAATAATTTTTTGTTCGTTTTGTTACAACAGGTATACAAATTTGATATTAACAACCTTATACATTGGTCTCTGACTATGTCTAGTACCAAATTCATCTAATCCTAATCTAGATGATGGGCATTATGATAATACAGAACAAGAATCATCATTATCAAACATTGTCTGTAAAATAAGATTATGTTAATACATTATCAGCTAACTGACCCATTAAAATGAGGTTGATGATGGTTTTATGTAAAGAAAAATTGATAGATCCAGATGCTAAGTTTAATGATATAGTTTACAGCAAAATTTTTATTCTAATATCAGACAAATTGATAACACTGTTTCGAAAAGATCTCAAACATTATCAAATACCAAATCCTCACCGAAGTCCAATTTGACTAATTCAAATAGTTCTATTTATTATGAAAGAGAACTTGAAAATGAAAATGATGTCAATCATTTAAAATTACCTTACATTTGATCAGAAATATATTTACAATACAATTTTGTAGAATATCATTTCCCAAAAGAATATTTAAAAGTTTTAAATTTAACATCAATAATAATAATATAATTAAATCACAAAATATTGTATATGGAATGGTAATAAAAAGAGTTGTTTCAAAAGGCGAGTCCGTGGATTATCTGTTTCAGGATATTCATGTATTAAGGTTTCTGATGCAATTGGTCAAATTTACAACAAAACTTCAATTCTAATAGAAGACAAATTGATAGCTTTAATAGGAAAAGATCTCAAACATTATAAAATACAAAGTCCTCTCAGAAGTCCAATTAACATAGAAAATTTAAATAATTCTAAATATTATTATGAAAAAGAACTTGAAATGAAAATGTCTCAAAAATTGATAACCAACATTTGTTATGACCAAATAAAGTTGGTCAAAAGTATATTTATAATACAATTTTAGAAAATATTAATTCCCAACACGGTGGTTTATTTTTCTTAAGTTTTTTTTATTTTTTTTTAGATGTCAGATGTCAGGTGGCACAAGCAAAACATGTGCACTAAATTTAATTAAAAATTAAAAATTAAAGCTCCAATATAAAAAGTAAGGACTAAAATATGAAAAAAAAATTAATATAAAACAGTTAATTATTATTTACTAAATACTAATTTTTTCTTTTATGCAATTGTATATTTACAATTTCATCATTGATGAAAAAACACTATGCTTATAAATACTTAATAACTACTATGTGTGTTAAACTATTACAAAATATGTGTTATATTTACTATTCTCTATTAGCTGCATGTGTTACATGTTTAGGTAGTGGTTTTCACATTTTTCCAAAAAATAACTTTTACATAAAAAATTTAAAAATTAAGATATACTCATGCTTATTTTCAGTTTTTAAAAGTATTCTTATAAATACATCAATAAAAAAGAAAAAACAAAATAAATACGTATTGAAGTAAAATTGTAACCGTATGATAAAATTTAGTATATTTAGCATGTGGTTCATGGTCAATGAAGTTCACTTTTTAGAATTTTATTTTGCACCCAACTAACTTTTATTCAAATTATTGTTAATTAAAATGTTTTGAAAATATATACCTACTTAATATAAATATTATACCAAATTATAAATTGAGTTATTTATTATTTAGACAATTATTTATAGTAGGTAGTTTATTATAATATATCATATTATAATATATTATTATATATATAATATATAATATAAGTAGTGTAACATTCCATTATATAAATTATAATAATTATATAAATGGACAATGAATAATTATAAACATTGTTGATCACTATCAGTGGCGCAACCAGGATTTATTTTCGGAGAAGGTCTTATGAATTTGAAAAAAAAATCAACTTCAGATGGTGTTTGGCGGGATGGAGGGAGTAAAATCTTTAAATTGTTAATAAATCATATTAATTATGTACTTAAAATATATACTTTAATCATAAGTACATAGTGGGCCATTTAAACCTTCGGGATGTTTTTTGATAAAAATTTAAAGAAAAAAACAAATTATTAATTTTGAATAATGTTTTGATTATTTTAAACATGGAACCTGTTAATACTCTATATTTATCGATACGGCTGCTCTCACGTCTCCTTCGAAAAAGACCGGTCCAATGATTATTTTTGCAAAAATTCTTGCCCAAAAAATCACACGTTAATTGTTAAAAAGTTGTTCGTGGATTAATTGAGGGTTTTCATTGCGTAGAACTAACAATTTTGTTTATTTATGGCCCCATTCAATCTTAAACACTTCTAAAAGTGATAGAAAATGCCGAAAAACTATCACATTATGCCATTCGCTCTGAAGGCGATCATTTAGGCAATATTATTTTTAAAAAGTAATCAGAAAAAATTTCCAAAATAAACGAAAAATTATTCAAAATTATTAGTTTGTGTTTTTTTTATAAAATTATTACAAAAAACATCCCGAAGGTTTAAACGGTCTACCCCGTATAATAATACTAATAATTTACAGTCTAAGATTAGTTCTTCGAGTATAGTGCCTCGACATTAAACATTGAATCTAGTTTAACTTAAATGTCTATATATATGTTTAAAGTGGCCATTCCATTTAGTTTCTGCTGTCCTGTAATGTTTCTGAAATACGTTTTTAACCTCCTAAGTGTATAAAATGATCTTTATGATAACAGTTATTATCATTTATTCATACACGATATTACAACATTATGTTTCAAATTTGTATCAAAATCATGCAACTAAAATTACGTACAATTCGTAAAAAACTAACAAACATATTAAGGGCGGGTTTACAACCCCCAACCCTCCCCCCTCTAGTTGCGCCAATGATCACTGATTCCGGTCAAAATATCTCCAGTAAAAATATTTTTGGTAAAAAATATCTCTAATTGAAATATCTCTTATAAAAAAAAATGTATCTAAGATTTATATGAATATTTTTTATTTTAATTTCAGATTGTGAGCAATCTCTCTTAAAAAAAAATAAAATAAAATTTCCATTAAACAAAAAATTAAATAAATTTAAAAAAAAAAATTAAGTTTAAGATTATGGGCAATCCCTCTTAAATACTCCAATGTAGATTCATTTTCGTCGTATTGACTGACAAGTTTGAATAGCCGTACATCGCAGTCATTGTAATTTTTTCTTTTTTTTTGAAATAGGTTCGCCCGACAAAGATTGTTCCATTTTAACACAAACGTAAGGTAATTTAGTAATATATTTTAAATACATAAATATTATATTAAATACATTTTGTAATGACTGTTTTCTTTTTAAAAAAGTTATACATTTCTAAATTGTAATATGATTTGCTAAAAGTGAACCATTAAACACATGATGCTAACCCTCAATCGCATTATTGGTCTATGGTTCATATTTGAGTACTGAGTCGTAACAGTTCCAAATACAATAATATAATTGTGGAAGCGCCTCCGATAGTTACGATTTGGTCGGCCAATCTATGTATCTTTAAAATTATTGACTATCGGAAATAAAAATTGATTATTTTCCACAAAATACTTGAATCTATAAGTTCTTCGAAAGTCCGAATAACATTAATTGTTGAAATAAACGCCAAAGCGTTTAACAATCGTACTTGCAAAGAAAATTCAACGTCATCACCATACATTTTTTGTAAATCAAAATTTTGAATTTTAAGCCACAAACATCGTTAAAAATGAAAAAATAACCTTTAATGTAGGTTATAGTGAATTCGTCTTTAAATGCCGATTTAATGTTATTTCATGTCGATTAACATGGTTGTATAACATGTTATACATTTATATTTTTTGTATTTAGTACAACACCAAATGTATTTGACTACACTTTTTTTGTTAAACGAATGAGTGTACCTTTTGCCTTTTTGGCTTATAATAAACTCTAAAGGTATTATTGATTCTTATAGCCGTTCAAATTAAGTATGAAACTGGAACTGACGACTTGTAGTCGATACAGTTATACCAATACAAACGATACGTCGATAAAATCGTTTATCATGTTATTATTACTTGCAGGAAAATTTATTTCTATTTTTGTAAAGACTCGTAGGGTATAACTCGTATTCACTCGTAATCGTGAAAATTTTTCAAATAATACTATACAATAGGTACTAATATGATGGTTCGCTATTATTTTCTGTGTAATATTTCCTTTAGAGATATTTTATAGGAGATATTGTTAACTAAAGATATTTTTTTACTACAGATATTCTTAACTAGAGATATTTTGTCGGAGATATTATGCCCGGAAATATTTGGACCAATCACAATCAATACTCAGTAAAAGAACAGACAAGGCTCTCCCAGTATTTGTAATTTGTAAACGATGTATTAATGCAAAAGAATTTTGCCTGTGCATTTTTAAGTTAAATTTATCAGTGACAAATTTCTATGGATATCCATGATTGTAAATATACACTTTCAAGTAACTACTTACATAATATATTCCAATAGGTATATAATTAAATTGTATATTTTAAATATTCGAATATTATAGGATTTAATTATATATGCTTGAAACAAAAAAGTAAATTACCCTCATAAGTCATGACAATGTTTACATGAACGAGCTAGTAAATTATAAGATTTTAAAGTTTCAAACCCCATTTAGCAAAATATTAAATATTTATAAGAATATTATTAAATTTTAATAATCTTTTTATTTTCATATAATTTTATAGTGCTTAGATATCGGTTAATAAGTCACATTTTGAGATACATATCTAGTATAATATATATATATATATTATATTGTGAGTTTTTATGCGTCGATAATATACCTACTATGTATCTTATCAGAAATGTGTTCGATTTATCGGAATTATTTTCATAGATCACGATCATTGTTTGATGCGCGTTAAGTTAAACGCGTTGTCTGTGTGTCCAGCCATATTCGCGAAAATAATTAGCAGTAAACGTGACTACCCATAAATTATAATTGATAAGTTTAAATTTTGAGAAACGTATAAAGGAGTAAATAAAGTACATTGGAAGTGTATTAATAAATCGTGTAATGCAAAAGTATTTACAAATTTTAATATTGAACACGGGAAATGAACACAATCATGATCTTGTAAATGAAAATACCATTAACCGGCAAATTGTTAATACCTATTACATGCAAAAAACAAGCAATTAACAATGTAAGTACAAGACCAAACAAAATCATTTTACAAGAATTAATATATAAAAAGTGTGCTAAAGAAATAACAGTAAACGACATTAAAAGAACAAGAAAATCTACAGATGAAAACAGACGCAAAACCCTGTCATCTAATCCAAAATCTATGGCTGAAATACACCAAAGCTTTAAATGTTATAACTGTTGAAACAAAACCAAAAGACAATTTCTTATTACTGATCAATGAAAATGAAAATATAATTATTTTTTCGTGTTACACAAATTTAAAATTTTTATCATCTGTGTAGATGTTTAAATGGATGAAATATATGATTATTGGACTCGCTTTTTTATGCAAATGTTTACAATATATGGATTCCAAAACGGTCAATATATTCCACTCGTATTTTATTTATTACCAAATAAATTAACATATACTTATGATTTGACACCTCATTATATTTGTCGAAAATGCAAAGATATTAATTTGATTTTTTTCTTTGGTAAATGTGACTGTTAATTATGAAAAATCTATTATAAATGAGCAAGATTTAGTGGTGAAGAAGAAGATGCAGCAGTAAGAGATTTCCACTTAATAATTCTCTACTTTGAAAACCACTAAATCTATTTTATGATTTTTTTTTTTTCTTACTTAGTATTTATTATTATTAATACGCGATTACACATACCTAGTAAATGTGCTGGAATCGGTCCATCGACTCGTACCCTGCGTTTACCATAATATGAAACCAATTTTCTTCGTACGTACGAATGGAGATGTTTATAAAGCGGCTCAATGGATATCCACAAGTTTTCTAATTTGCTTTTGAAATTCACATCTTCGTACAGCGCTATCTGTTGTTGGCTCGCATCTTCGAATCCTAAAAACGGGATAATATATAATATTCACTATCTGTATTTGTCATTTGTTCACCTACACAGAAAAGTTTGAAATTCTGACAAAATTACTTCAATATTAAATAGGTCAACATATAAATTTATGCACTATATCTATGTATAATATTGTAATATTATAATTTATGATTTGTAAAACTAATATTGACTAGTAACTACTAATTTACAAGAATTATACAAGCCGAATTGAATCTTTTATGAACTAATAGCAAACTTTTTACATGGAGTTTATCAACCAAAAACAACAATAAATAGGTATGTAAGCTGTTTTAGTTTATTTAATGTTTATAATATTTAAATAAATATATTTTAAAATAATAAATTAGCAGTAATTTTCTTGCCACGGAACTTTTTCATTAGTCATGAAATACCCCGTAAATGTCTTTCTAATATCTTAGGCCTCAATTGCTGAACATCTTGGTATTTTTCTGATAGGTAACATATATGTCACGTTATTTTCTTGACGCCATGACCCTTGTATTTGTCTACCCTCATCATCATTATCAAATGACTCTCGAGAAGCATATTTTGATGATGACGTTTTACTTTCGTAAAAAATTATGAAGTAAAACACAATTCATTACTATTACCGAAACTTTTTCTGACTGTAGCAACATTGGTTTTCTCAGTATACGAAATACAGAAGCCATTATTCCAAATACGTTGTCCACAATTCTGCACGCACGAGAAAGACGATAATTAAAAATTCGTTCCGAACTACCTTTATATGGTTTCAAAATATGACGACTTAGAGCAAAAGCATCATCAGCTAAAAATACGTAAGATGTTGGCAATTCCTTTCCAGGTAGTGGGTAATCGGAGGGAAGTTTCAGTTGATGATTTTCCATTTTTTTAAAAAAAATGTAGTGTTGCGAAAAACTCTGCCATCGTTTATCCTCCCCTGACATCCCACGTCAGCAAAAGTGAAGCAATAATCGGCATCTACTAAAGCCATCAAAACAACACTAAATGTTCCCTTATAATTTATAAATTCTGAACCACTGTTCATGGGTAATTGAATAATTATGTGTTTTGCATCTATGGCGCCTTCACAATTGGGAAAATTCCATTTAGAACTGAATTAATTTGAAATATTCTGCCAATTTTGTGAAGTCGTAAGCAACTGTAAAAAAAAAAAAATAAATAAAAAAAATAAAAATAAAAATAGATTAACAGATTAAAACATAATGTCCTATTTAACTATTTATACTATAATATATAATTTATATCACTCTTGCATTATACATATGTTAACAATGTATACAATTTTATGATTTAATCAGGAACCAGATCCAGATGATACAATGAGTTTAGCTGACGACAATTCTACACTAAATGAGGACGTTATAAATGAATCAGATTCATCATCTCTCAATTCAGAAGTCGTTTTTAAACCCCCTACAGCCAAAGTATTGTAATGATATATACAATATGGTATATATCATAATATAATATTATATAACATTAATATTATCTACACTACATTTTATTATAGTGGACACCACTTTATTTTATCAGTTTATAAGTCAATTTAGATTAATACAAAATAATATGTATAACAGTTGAATATTTCAATATAATAAAACATGATAATAAGAGCCGGACAACACCACTCCAATATTTTCCACTTTCTTTCTCATAAGAGACTCCTCTATTCATTCGGCCACCGGATCCTGCCTTAGCGACTAAATTAAAAATTGCATGGTAAATGTTTGCAAAATATTGAAAAGTGTAACAGAAAAACCACTTAAAGATGATTGTTCTGTTTATGCTGACCTACTAGCTAGGAAACTCAGAAAATTTGATGAACAAACCCGTGAAATTCTTATGCACGATATTGATAACTTGATTTTCCGTTCGAAAAGGGGATTTCTTAACAGAACACAATCATATTCATCTGGTTTGTATCACCAAAATCCACCTGTGGCCTCTGTTCCTCATAACTATGGTATGCCACCATATACTCTTCATGCAAATATTCTTCAAACATCAACACATTTTAAAGATTCTCCACCAGAACCTTCAAATTCTAATTCTTCAGAAAATTCATATTCATCTCATCTATCTTCAGATCAAAATTCAACTTCTAACTTTCAAATATTAAACGCTTTTATTGAATCTCAAGACAATGTTCCTTAAAACCTAAACTGAAGATAATCATTATTCATAAAGTATTATTATTATTGAAATCGTATGTACCAATAATCACAAAAGTTGTCACAGAAAATACATTTTTTTTTTATTACTATTTAATTTCTAATGCGAAACATACAAGTATAACTTTAAATTTTAATGTATAAATTTAACAAAATTAATAAATAAATTCATGTTACCTTTACGTAATTTCTTAAAGCATAACAAACTTCGTGTACAATGTTTAATATCACTTGATTTGAGCACTTGAATAGGTAAGATAAACTAGTAAAACTATCACCAGATGCCAAAAAGTGAGTGTAATTGCCAATCTCTTTTGAACGGGTATTGCTTTTCTCATGTTTGTATCTTCTTTCATAATAATTGGTCCTATTTTACTGAGGTGTTCGAAATCCGTTGCCGACATCCGACAGAAATTATGGAATTTTTCCGATGGCTCTCGATTCATATCTTCCAACATATTGGAAACATTGTATCTTAAAACATAATATATACACTTATTATTGATATTTATCTAAAAAAAATACCTACTTATCTTGACTTCTATTTAAAGATAAAGTCCACCACCATCTTTTGATTTTCTTTTTAGTCATAATTTTTAAATCATGTGCAGCAGCAGCAGCACACACTACCGCAAATGTGGCACAAACAGTCTTTTCGTCGTCACTTTCCATTTTGGACTGAGGTAAATTTCGTATTTCATTATTTCGAATAAATATTTGGCAATTACGAGCCGTGTGACAACATTGTGTCCTACACGTGTAGGAGCATTGACGATGACGAGCAAAATACATACGATTGACAAATAATCGGCAAGCACACGAGTCGTGTAGGAGCAACATAATTACAAACATCGTACATTGTACAAACTTGGCAAGTACACTCGCCGAGTATACGCTCTCAAAGCACACGAGTCGTGTGGGACCGGCTTTAGAAACGATGGTTTTACACGCCTTTTGATAAAATATTGTAAATATGATTTTAGTTGCTAACGGTTCCACCGGTGGCCTTGAAATTGTAGTGGTATATTATCCATATGACCGTTTTCATGCGTTATAATATTATTATCACAATACATTTTTGTAAAATATAAAATTTGTACACCGCGTCACCGTGGTTGTCGCCTGCGCTCGCTCTCCGAACGTTCAGTATCAGTATGTTTATTTTATTAACTATTCTATTTTTAGTTGGGGATTTTTAATTTTGTGAGTGAATTGAATGGCGGTCATAAACAATAAACTGTCGTCGCCAAATAGCTAGATTGCCAAGGCGGTGGCGATTTTCAGTATGTGTAGCCCAAACTAGTCGCGGTGTGTTTTGGCCACGCGGGGTGTCTCACCAAATATATTTAAATTTTTATTTTTTGTTTTAAAAAGTCAAACCAAATATTTGTTATTAAATTGTCAACATAAAATTAGTGTTAAAATGTTTTGTGACAAATGTTGATTTGTTGATGTATTCGGTAATCACATCTAAATGCAGAGAACCCCTGGTTTTCCATTTTCGTGCCGCTGCGCCAATCTAGTATCTATGTACCAAACTACCAACGACTATTTTTTTTTTCTGGTGCGCACCACGCGGGTTGTGCACTTGTGCTGTTGTGGCGTAAATGTGTTTATGTGTTTATGTGAACTGTTTATGTAACAAAGAATTGTATACATCATTTTAGGTAGGTAACAACTTTACATTTGTACTGCTCATACAGTGGCGTAATTATGGTGAGGGATATAGGGATATATTCCCCCCCACCTATTCAGAGCCTTTTTTTTTTAAAAAAAAAATAACCATAAATAAATTCCTGTAAGATTATGTATTTAATTTCAATTGTTAACTTTATTGTCTTAGAAAACCATTATATCATTTAATTCATTTAATTTATAATAATAAATTAATATAATATTATGATCTATAAAATTGATTGACAAAGGTGGGTGTGGGGGAGCATAGCATCCCACTATAACGGTAGTATAAACATATATCCCATCATCCCATCCTTTTTAGTGTACAGTATCTATTTTATAGTAATAATAATTATTATAAATTGGTACGTTTGCTTTATTTTAACATCTACAGACATCTACGTAACATCTATGTACATCGTGTAATAGTCAATTAGTTATGTAATCGAGTAAGAATGTAATATCTATGCATTTAAAGCATTACGTAGTTTTGATTCTAAACATTTTGTTTTTTTTTTCAGTCTAAGGCTGAAATATGCTATTTCGTCAACAAAACTTTAATTTGAGCATTTGGTTCAAAAGAAGACGCGTAGCAGAAAAATTAATAAATAGTGTTCAAACAAATTTTAATAACGATATGTTTTCAACATCCAGTACATTGGATAATGTTACTATTATTTCAAATTTAGAAAAAATATTATTTTCGCCATCCAACCAACCTACCCAAAATTCTAGTTGATCAATTAAATCATACAAGCCACATTCATCATGATAATCAAATTATACCGACTAATTTTAACCAGAATTTTCAACTTTTATCATTCTTCATCTGAAAAACCAAATAATTCTAATTTAATAGATGAAAATATAAATTTTAAACCCATAGATGATATTCAATTTTTAATTAAGAAATGGGCTACAGAATTTAATATACCTCAAACTGCGTTAAATAGGTTATTAAGTGTTTTAAAACAACATAAATGTTTTAATTCCTTACCTGTTGACTCCAGAACTTTAATGCAAAATAAATAATTGGATATTTTTAGATTAAAAATTATTTAACCGGGTTTATACTATAATTTTGGTATTGAGAAGGGTATAAAATTAAATATGATCAATAATGTTGAAAATGCATTTATTATTGAAATCACTGTAGGGATTGATGGTTTACCACACTTAGATTTTATACTAAATAGATAAGCCATCATAATATTAATATTGACAGCAGCTAATTGGACCCCACCGTTAGGCGTTGTTTCAGTCATTTGAATGCACAAGATACTACCCGCATCATAGTAATATGAACGGGTACGTACAGCCCGTAAATAGGTACCTACCTGCATCGGGTAGAACCCGATATTTCAGATACTTCAGATACTTTAGTATTTCAGATGAATATGTAGAGCTTAATTTAATTAAATACGTACACATTTGAATATAAGTTTCTTTGCATTTATCAATTAAAAGAAAAATGCCAAAGGCAAATAATAACCATTTTTTAATCCATGTATCATATAGAGTTGCATAAAGTACTTGGGTGCGTATTCAAACGTACCATCTACAAATATATCTTCACACTGTAACAATATATCAATATTTGTCTTCGTTGTAATGCAAATAAATTGCAAATCGTCTGGCGCGTGAACAAATTTTTCATTTTTGAATTTAAGACAATCATTGTCTTCAATTTGTCTCAATTGAGATATGGCACAGGTCAATGAATCTGGGAAAGGAGGATAATTTTTCCGCCTTTTATCGTACATTGCTTTCCTTATCGATTTTATATTTGAATGTTGCATTTCAAAATCTGTTACCAACAGCTCGGATCTGATTATTTTCGACGGCCTAATTGAAATTGATTCATTTGATTTGCGTTTGCAATTTTCTCTTAAAATCTGGCGTTCGATTTTCTCCGTTGTATTTAATACATGATTGTGCTCACCCAACTTTAATATCACTTTTGAACGACCACTGTCTGTCAATATACTGGCGTAACATGTCCTGTATGCGCACAACCATTTAATCTGTCCGTCTTTTCGTTGACGTATAAAACGATATTTGTTCGTGCCAACTAATGCCAAATCTTTTCCGCGTTCCGACGTAATTATTCTAACTGTTTCATTCTCCATATTAAAATTACGCTTTGTCATTTTTACAAAAACTACACAATTCAACGCAAACTACACTCGATCTGAACGGTCGTCGGTCAACTAATCTATAGTTTATATCTCCTTTAATCTACTTGATAATAAGTAATGTGAACTTTTATTTTAAATTTAATATCGTTTCCAGTTTCGTCTGTGATTTCCCAGCCTGAAAACGTTGCATAAAAATAACGTACGCAATCGTGTTAGGGAAAAGGTTGAAAAAGGTACCTCCGATATATCTTAGATCCCAGAGAGAGACAATTTGTATAATTTTTTTTGATGCAATTTTCTTCCTTTTATTTTTTAGTATAAATTACCTAAGTGTACGTATTTTCAAAATAAGTGTGTGTAGTGTTATGCCTGGTTTACACGGCGCGTATACTTGTCATTAGTACTTGTCACTCACTTTAGGATTCCTAAGCCCTTCACAAATTATTAGGTTATGTCGGTAGTAAATAGTAATAATAGTATAATATAATTGATAATAAGTAGGAAATGGATTAGTATGCATTTAAAATTCACAAAAAAGCACTTAAAATCTTTTTAAAAAAAACCAAGAAAAATCACTTAAAAATATAGAAAAATAAAAAGTGGCTAGAGAGGATTAATAGTCTCCTATTTAATAGTTGTAACCTTATTAAATTATTTTGTAACATTTTAAAATAGTACTTAAAAAGTTAAAGCTATTAGAGGAGACGGGTGGTTAATGATATAGAAATGGATGTGTGTAACCGCCCGTGGGGTGGTTTGGTGCGGCGAGTACCTACGTTTTTGCGTATCGCCCGTCCTGGACCGGCGGGGGCAACCCCAAAAAATCTCAACTATTTGAAGAAGATTTAAAATCCTTGTACCATTTTCCCTTTTTGACGGATTTTAAGTGTTAAAAGTTCCGACAACTGTTTATAAGTTATATAATGTTACATATTACTTATAATTATTACCAGGGTTCAGGGCTTATAGCACTTATAATCATTAAAATAAGCGCTGGAGAAAGCACTTAAATACTTCATTATAAGCACTTAAAATATTGAAACAATCAAAAAAGCATGACCAATTTATTTTTTAAATATCATATTCAAAATCGTATCATGATATGAGTTCCCAAGCATTCTACTGGATTTTATGTTAGGCCAAACAAATAAGCGAATGCCATAAGCCCCAAACCCTGGTTATTACCGATTTTTTTTTTTAAACTCGTGTATACAAAATATATACCTATGTTTAAATAAGGGATATTTAAGCATTTATCGGGGTAACATTTTGAATTAAAAAACATTTTCGAATACGTAATATGGGAAATTGGCTTAAAAAGAGCTACCTTAATTATAAGAAAAATAGAAGTTCTCTAAATTATTGTATTTTTATGTGTTCATTTCATCAATTAATTAATATTACAAAGATTAATATTCTTTATTTGATTTCAGAGAGTATCTTAAAGTAAGTAATAAAAAAAAAAAAATAATAATAATAGTAATGTTATGTTTTTATAATACCAATTGTTTTCGCAGCTTCGTTAACTAATTCCGTGTACTGAATATACTTGGGTCGAATTTCGTGTCCAATATTATCTCTCCATGAACGCCAAGTGTATAACAGTTCTTCGAAATCTCTCGAATTGGCCATAACTTTAACTAAATCTTTTTTTTTAAATACATAATATATAATATTATATAGTCGTATTATTATTAGACAAACAATATTAATATAATGCAATTTTGTATATAATATTAACGGATCGATACCTGGTTCAAGACTTAGTTCGCAATATGATGTCATCCTATTACTGAACGGACATATTTTTGCTTTAGCGTAAATGTCTTTCATTTCGCTTAAAATTGTATGCATCTGTAAAATAAAAATAAAAATAGTAATAATATCTTAAAAAAACATTAAAATGTATGAAAATAATATTTTAAATATATTTATAAAAAGTTCGAAGAATGTGAGGAAAGAAATTCATGTAACTGTGAGCAAAAAGTATAATATAATTATACTCTTTACGTGTATTATTTAATATATCTTTGATCCCGGGCAGAAGAGCTTAAGTCAGTTTCGTATAGTATTCAATATAAGGAAATTATATTGTTCAAAATATAGGCCTAAACTAATACAATAATGCTTAGTTTACACAATGCGTAGTACTTGTTACTCGTACTTTACACCTTTCATGTACACGGTAAAAATAGTGCGAATGCGAGTGGAAGTGGCAAGTGCAAGTGAATAAAACTGAGTTATCTTTACTAACGTCAAGTATCTACCCCCTCTACGACTATATTCTACTCGTGACTACACTCACAACGTATTAACTTATTATTAAGAATCAGATTTATATACATTTAAAATCCACATAAAAGGGGCTTAAAAGCGTCAAAAAACTCAATCAAAAGATTTTTTAAAAAGAAAAAACGGTAGAAAGATTTTAATGTTTAAAAGTCTCCCCCCAGTTTAATTTTCTAACAATACAAAAATGATTAACAAAAAGTAATTTTTTTCATATAAAATTGTACATACATATTATAAAAAAGAATATTTTGTGTAATCATTTTCTAGTGTCAAATAATTTTATTTTAATTTTCTTTAAGGTCGTAACTGTTAGAGAGGAGACTGTTAAACCCTTCTAGCCACTTTTTCTTTTCCTATATTTTTAAGTGATTTTTCTGGGCTTTTGTTTTTTAACGATTTTAAGTGAATTTTTGTGAATTTTAAATACATATTAATCCATTTCCTACTCATTATCAATTATATTATACTATTATTACTATTTACTACCGACATAACCTAATAATTTATGGAAGGCCGTAGAGTCCTATTGCGAGTGACAAGTACTAATAACAAGTATACGCGCCGTGTAAACTAGGCATAACACACTACACTTACTCATTTTGAAAATAGGTGCACTTATGCAATTTATACTAAAAGTAAAGTAAAGAAAATTGCATAAAACAAAATTATACAAATTACCTTAAACGCTTCTTCTCTGGGATCCAAGATATATTATTTGTTAATCAAAGACAAATTAATTGTGATTAAAAATATATCCAATACCATACTTTTTTTTCTGGTATTTACCGTAATAATTGTAACACTATTTTTACTATAAACATCAGTGCTCGAATTGATGGGGTGCGCAGGGGGACATAGTTCCTCTACTATATTTTTTTTATTTTTCGCGTACCCCTTCTAATTTATCATACTGTAACGGGAAGGGGGGTGAATGTATTATAACATTGACACATCATAAGTTGTTTTATTCATTATAGTTATTTATAGTTACTCAAGATTTTGATAACAAGCGCATTTGCGTTCACGTTAAACGGTTACCGCCATAACGTTTATAGCGATTACTGTTCTTAGGTTTATATATATAGTGTCATATGAGTGGAATATTGATTGGTGACCCTGTGGCCTTTTTTTTTGTTGTTGATGTAGATGAACTATTATTTTTGTCGGAACGCTATTTTTTTAAGGTTAACAGAGCCCTTTTACTTTAATTTTCCCAATTCGAGCACTGATAAACAGCATCTATAATCAATGATAATAAGTACAATAGTTTATCTACCAGATTTAGTTTTGAATCCGGAACATTGGACTGGCCTTTAAGTGTCAATATTTTGAATTGTCTTTGTATTATAGGATCTGGTATACGAGTCCACATGAAATCCGAAGCTTTCTTCCAAGACACTCTGTTGAACTTTGATTGCAATTTTTGTTCGTCTATCTTTTTAAATACATGTTGGTATATAAACAGTAGAAATAGGTATGCAAATTGCATTATATTATACATATAACACGAATTATCTTATTCTATTTTAAGTTATCATTTTATCGTCTGTTTTAGTTTTTTAAAAAAAATTAACTCGATGATCGCGGAAGATGTATTATTGTATTTAACGTCATCATGTTATAATAATATAACTATTATCATTATCGTGTACCTGAACGGTCACACATCCGGGTGGTAACGTTAGGCGTTGCTAAACATGAAAAATATGTCTTTGTTAAATTTTAAGAAAATACAAAAATACAAAACACATTATTTATAAAATTGTATGCATAATCCAGTCATTAAAACATGTCGGTCCAGATTCGCATACTCTGTAGAGTGTGCCTTAAAATACCACTAAAGCTTTGAAGCGTGACTATTAAATTTGTCAATAGTTTACGTATATTAATTAATATCAATGGTGGACTCAGGGGGAAGCGATGGGGCGATCTTCCTTCGATATATTCTTAGCTTTTTTTTCATCATAGATTTGTGTCTTAAATGCATTCTTAAAATTATCCGCTCCCCCGTTATATTATCCTGGATCTACCTCTGAGTAAATGTTATTGTATTAAGCGTGACGACATATTTTTTTTTTGTTCGTTAGTTATCCGTTTTTTGAATCTCAATTAACTTAAAAAAAAAAAAACACGCATCGTTCAGAGGGTTATTGACACGATTTTTCTAGTCCGAAAAATAGGGTAGCTGGACTGGAAAGCATTGTTCTAAAAAACCAATCATTGTTTTACCGGGTTTGAACTCGAATCTCTTACATGATGAGCGATTGCTTTACATAAGGCTTGAATTCCAACACTATTTTCGTTTGACTGAACAGTCTAACACCGTAAGTTTGATGTTGTGGCCCGTAGGTACATTCAAGAAAGGGGGTGAGCCCCTAGTTTTTAAACATATTTTATCATATTAAAATTAATTTTCAGGACCATTTACTTATGTAGGTGCTGAATGAAATGTATAATTAATAAGCAGAACTATAACACACAGGAAAATAATATTCTAAAATGTTATTGCATGGTATGATAAAAATCAATTGTTCTCAGTCTAACATGTGGCTCGCTGTAACCGTAAACACGAGTGTGAACTTATGTTGGACTTTTAATCGAAAAATAATCCGATTTGTTCTGAAAAACTACATCGGGTAGATAATTGGATAAAAGTGTAATATGAAAACGTCTATCAATGATTATTATTATTATTTTCTCGGTTATGACGCTCGTATATTTAATGCGGTCCATCAATGATAATTGGTAATTGGATTGTTATATTTTTTGTTATCATCATATTTCATCATATTTCATTATCTATGTGTTAAAATAATAAACTCAATTAAATATTTTATAAATAATATCGTTGTCATATTATGGAGGTAAAATTAGGCGTTAACGCCATTCACTTCAAAAAATATAACAGCAGTCTTCGTTTACTCCATACTACTAACACTTATAATTTATAAGTTATAACCCTGGTATGCGCGGTGGTAAACTATTTTAAAAATGTAAGATAGTTATTTTATAGAGTTTTTTCGTCTGAAAATTTTAGCGTTGCAACTTTTAATTTTCAATAAATTCATGATTTTTAATAATTTGTTAAAGTTTAGGAAAAAAGTGTATAGCCAACATCAACTTTAATAATAATAATAGTCAATTAGTAAATGTGATTACAACTTGCTGGGGAGATATAGAGGATACATCTCCTTCCTGCTTTTTTTTTTAGTAAGACTAGGTAAAAATACAGCGGTGGATTCAAGGTGGGTGAGACAGTTATTTTATATTTATAGTTATATTAATTTAAATAATTGTCGTTAAAATTGTAGTTAGATCAATTATTACAATAATCGATAATGTTGATTGATTGACAGATAAGTCTGTATTTTATAATTAGTATTCATTATTCAAAATTAATATGGAAAATATTGAGTCCAACTTATCCTATGTCCGCTACTGCATAAACAGAACAGATTCTGTATTCTGTAATGTGTAAGGTGACATATCATATTAACGTTGTATTTAGATATTTTATTTTTAACAGTTGAATATACATTATTTATACTAACATTTCACTTTGTTATCCTGTGAGTGACTTTCCACAATAAAAACAGTAAAATAAAAATATGAATTAAAACTGTTTATAAATATTGTGTGTTGTTTATGATTATAGACTGATTAGCTTTACTGTCTTGCCACAGCGAAGTAGTGGTCAAAACAAATGAATTTCTCTAATCAGTTGTGTATAATAAACAGAAAACTTAATTTTTTTAAAAAATTAATATCGGAATTTTAATATTATTATGTGCATTTTTATTAAATCTCCACACGAGAGAAACGGAAATCAAACACTTGCAAAAGTTAAACTAAATTATGATGCAAGATTATTTTTGGGTGTGATATGAACATTCAGAGCATTTACATATTTTTAGGGAACTATTATTAGGTTTGGAGTACCCTTCGGCCCTATTATTTAAATAATTAAATTTTTAAATTTTTAAAAAATGTATTCATTACATAAAAATGTAATTAAAATATAAATATCTGTAGTCATTCCTGTAATATATAAATAATAATATAAAGAGAATTCAATTATCTTTATTACCTCACAAGATATTATAATGAATATTTCTTCGTGTGGTACCCTGTATTTTAAGTATTTAAAGGGATATCGTTAATTTAATCGATACAAAACTGATAGTTGATAATTTTACAAACGTAGATCGGCGTTGTTATTGAAAGAAGTTAGTAATATATTGTAATATTTTGAGGAAACCAAGTAGTATCTTTTTTATATTGTTTGTAATATTGTTAATGTGTAGGGGGTACAAGAGCTAAGTTACTGTGGGTCTGTGTCACATTCAAAAAATATGCGACCCCCAGTTTTAGACCTCTAGTTGCATCTATGGAATGGTTATGTAGTAGACTGTTCGATATTTAAATTATTAGGTACCATAGGATTTACCATTTGTTTCTTATTATGTTCAGTGATGTTAGTCGCGTACGTCCACTGCGCGGTTGCTACTCGGTTGCACAAGGTCAGCGCTTCGTTTTCCCATTCGCGAATGAATTGTGCAGCTTCTCCCAAGTTCGTATTGAATCCCTAAAAACAACCAACAGATAGAGTATAGTAGTGCAATAATATACTTCTTATATATGATCAATTTAATGTATACTTGTAAGCAACGATAAACTATTGCTTACGAAAAAACGATTCTGAGCGAAATTCAGTTGATAATGATGCTTTGTCAACAATATATACGCCATACTAAAGTAAAATAATTAAATGGGCTTTATGTATTTTCTGTAATATTTCTATATATTTCTATATATTCTGAATATTTGTTTGTTGTACCGATTCTCCCGGTTTTCTAACGTTTTTATCGGTTTTCCCGTGTTTTTTCTCAATTTTTTACATTTGCTAAGAAAACTCCCGAAAAATTATTTCTTTAAAAGACTTCCCCAGTGAAATTTCTTTAAAAAAAAATAGCTGTCATTATAAGTTGGAGCAAAATTGCTGTTAGAAAAGTTGTCCATAAAAAAAAAAAATCTTAATATCATACAAATATATTACTTAAATTTTTCCATTTTTCCTCTGGGTTTTTTCGGTTTTTTAAATTTGATAAGAAAACTAAGGAAATTGAAAAATGACCTCCCCACATAGATTTCCTTTCTGGAAAGGTGCTACATTTAGAAATCCGAGCAAGTCTTCTGGTAGAAAAATTGTTAACAGATAAAAAAAAAAAACAAAAAGTAAATATTTTTGTAAAACCATAAGATTATTCGCCCCACCTAGAATCTAATAAATACTATTAGTGACCTTATATGTTCATATGTTTTAACTCCCAAAAATTTAGACATAAGTTTATAACACGCTTAACATATTATAGATTAATCTCATCTATATCAGTCTGTTGTAAAACGTTAATTTATGAATTTCAAACATTCATACATAAAACATATTATAAAGTATAAAAAATTGATTCTGTTGAAAACCGACGGCGATCACCGTACTTGCAAAAAGATTTTTATCCCTATTATTCAGAAAAGTAATTAGGACACTATTTTCTAAGAATGTCAATAACTCTAAACATACTATAAATGAACTACACTTAAAGTATTATCAGTAGATCAGTTAGATTCATCATTCATCAAGTCATTCACCTTATGACTGACAGTCAAAATTAATAGAAGAAAAATCATGATTTTTCTTTTCTTCAGAAAAATCAATCTTAGATAGATATTCATAATGTTAGACAACAAATTAACACATAATATTTTATTAAATGTATTACCATATAGCGATTTTTGAAAGTTGTCAAATTCAGTTGTCAGTTATTAATCAGTTAATTTTGATTATACTTAAAAACGTAAGGTGAAGTGGAACGTGATTTTAAAAAGTCTAACTTGAACTGGTGATTTCTCGCATAATATTTAATTTTAAATTATGATGCCAATTGCAAGCAATATAATGTTATGGAAGTTCTTTATTTATATCCACTGTTAAAATTGAATAAAATTGTTTTTAAACATGTTTACAGTAAAAAATATCAAAAAAAAAAAACACTTGCTCTTTAACAAACGATAAATGCAAAATGGAATACTTAAAAATACTAATATCAGTGTTATTTCATCGTGGGGCAAGTGACTAAAGTTACACATAGTTGTAATTATGTAACTATAATAAAACATTTTCAGAGCAGTATTTGTACAAATAGTTTATATATGATAGCTATTTGAAAGTTCAAATTTGTTTAATACTTTTTTACTATAAATTAAAAATGTTTTAAAAATAATTTAAAACGTTTCCATACTTTTACAAAAATGTAAAACTCGGTTTATTGATACTTAATTATTATGTTATTGCATCATGAAGAAATTAATCACAAAAAGAAAATCATATTTTGTTTCAAAATATATATAACAAATAATACAAATATTATTTAGTTAGTGTAAACAGTTAGTCGAATGATGTTTGATAAAATTCGTACTGAATTTTGGTTGAAATCAATAAAATCTCATTAACTATTGTTCAGTCTTCCTAAACAATCTGCAGTTCACACTTTTAGAAACAGATTTACTATGAAGAAATTAAAAAATTGGTGATTCCATGCATTTTTAGATAAAATACAAAACTAATTTTATGTATATTTATTTTGTATTATAATAAATTATTGAATTTTTTAATTTTTATAAAAAGATATGAACATATTTTGCACGATAGGTGGGCCACTATTGTAGATGAGAAGTTGGGATTAATGACTATTACTGTATATTTATTATCGGTACGTAACAATTAATCGTTGCAAACGAAAAACGATTCTGAGCGGAGTTAGGTTATATATGTTATGATTTATGCAGAAAGGCCGTAATATTATACGATTTGAAAATAACATATTTCGTAAATTTTTCCGTTTTTTCTATGTTTTTTCCATTTATTATAAAAACTCCCGGGAAAATCGAAAAATGACTTGTTTAAAATACCTACTAGGTACCCCAGTCAAATTTTCGTTCAGAAAAAGTGCTACACTTGAAAATCGGAGCAAAATGTCTAGTAGAAAAAAAAATAAACAACATTGTAAAACCAATATATTCCTCGTTCTGCTCAGAATCTAAAGTAGTTAGTAGCAAAGTTAAAGTCACAAAAAAAAAATATGAAAAGATAATATTACAATAATAATAATAGCCAATATGTATAAGAGACGGCGAGACGGAAATGACGAAAAATCAAATTTTTAACCTAACTAAAATAATGACGCAACAGGACGGTTAAAATTAATTTTTAACCATACTAGAATAATAATTATAATATATTTTATTCTGTTAATTCAAAGTCTAAAAAATGTGGGCCGAGAAATTTAATTTTTAGAGCAACGCAATGTTGCAAAATCTATTGATTTGTAATGTTACTGGGCGTAAATATTTTTATTTTATTAAAGGCAAGGTTTAGTGGCCCATTAAAATCATAAAAACCATAAGTTCGACAAAAATACCATTTTTTTTTTTCTGTTTTCTTTGAATACACATTTTTAAATATAGTTTTGCATTAGCTTGAATAATATTTGTATATCTTTTAATAATTTCAAACAACGTACGGTCTCTTTCTCCATGGTCTATTGGCATATTATGAAAAATTTAAAAATCTTAAACATATCGTTTATCCTAAAGTATATTTTGAAATTAGAATTATTTTCATTTACAGGGTTAATTAATATTTCAACATCATTTATTAATATTAAATATCTCGCGTGCCAATAGCCACGGGTCTGTGTTTTTAATTTTCATTTTTTTGATGTCAGATACTAAATTCAAATAACTAGATAAAATAGAACTATTATTTTGCCTTCACGTTTTAGCTTCGTCAAATTGTTGTTTCAAAAGAATATCATTTAATTATTTTAATTATAAATTTTAATTATTTAATTTATTTAATCCATGTAAAACAATTAACAAAACAATTTTTTCCTAATCCAAAAATTAAAACACGTATATAGATGTTATAAATCTTAAATACATACGTTTACGTACAACGATGGTATATTGTAACTGGACGAGAAATAAACATATAACTCGAGTTCTACCACTCGATAAGAAAAATAATAAATTGGTCAGGCTAGGTTTAATCACATATCGCATCTTATCTTAAAGACATCCAACGTACAAACTATAAAATGCATGAATATGGGGATTCATAAAATTAACTAGTTTAATTTTAGATTACATGTTTTATCGGACTGATTTGGTAAGTGTATGAAGTACGTAGGTATTGCATGAAATAACATAATTTAATACTTTAACGTTAATATATAAAATTATTGTATACTCAGTCGCAATCAAACAACATTATTTATAGATACTTTAAATACCTCCGTTTCCTACTAATTTTAACAGTGATATTTTTCATTTTGGTGTATTTAACGAATTCGAAACACTTGATATAAATTGTTATTATGGACCTAATATATATTTTAAGTTTTAATACCAATGTCGTTTCATTTTGTCACCACCACACACCCATTCTTTTTCTGTTTAAATAATATTTGTACACAGGTATATTTCCTATTAGGAAAACTGTCTTTATATAATCATTATTTAAAAAAGGTAAACGTGAAACGAAAGGAACATTTTCATAAATTACTGTCCGATTTAAAAAAAAATCTCGATACTCCATAATAAATATATTTTGAAATTATCAGTTTTAAAATTACACTCATATTAAATGGTTAATTTATGAACAAACAATATGGCTGAAGAGAAAAGCGTTCAACAGTAACTAATTTTGCTTACTTTAAACAAAATATAATATGGCGAGAGCAATAATCTAGGTGCTATCATACCAATATCATCTACACTGACTTTAAAACACTTAGAACGCGTAGACCATAAATTACTTATTATTAAATTAAAACTATAATACATATGATCCGTTTGTATCATGGTTCATTTTTTTTATTCAAAATTGATTTTAAACAGTAAAATATGGTAATTTTTGTTCTGTCCGATCAATGAACTCAGATGTTCCACAAGGTGACTATTTATTATTTATTTTATTTCTTCTTTCTATAAATTAAATAATTAAATACTCAAACATCTTATTATATGACGTTGACACAAAAATTATTAATTCAGAAGTTGATGCTACACAGTTGCAATCGGATTTATATCATTTTCAAAAATGGTATATTACTAATAGAATATAATGGATCCCAATATTACCAAATGTGCTACAATTTCATTTACGTTAAAACAATCGACTATACGTTGAAACTTTTTTTTTTTTAATAAAATATACAACTATACAATTAAGCACAACAAGTAATAATGATGTAGAGGATTACATAACATGAAAATGGCACGATGTAGGAGGGCTCCCAATGGAGCTACTTACTTGGGTATTTATTAATGGAGGAGGTTTCTAACCCATTTTCGTTTAAGTCTTCGTGGGGGGTTGTCCGGGATGTGTTGTGAAGCAAGTTAACTAATGTTAGGGTTACTATGGAAGCTAAATTTTATGTGGAGTTTTTGGTAAGCAGTTTTAGTGACTTGGTTTATATAATTTATTCTCAGGTCAGAGTGAAGGGTTTTGTTACTTACATACCAGGGGGATTTTGTAATAGTGAGAAGGCAGATGGATTGAAATAATTGGATTTTTTATATGTTACTTGGGGCGGCATTACCCCAAATTTGAATACCATAATACCATAGCGGAAAGATCAACATTTTGTAAATAAGAATTTTGAGTTTAAAGTTTAAATTTGATCGTAAGAGAGGACGTAGTAGATGTAATCTGGAATTTAGTTTCTTTCTTTTGTCAAATATGTGGTCTTTCCAAGTTAATCGTTTGTCGAAAATGAGCAAGTAGAAGAGTTTGCATACTTGGGAAGCATAATAAGTAAAGATGGTAGAAGTAAAAAAGAAACAGTTAAGTGAATATGCCAAGNAGTTTAAAGTTTAAGTTTGATCGTAAGAGAGGAAGTAGTAGATGTAATCTGGAGTTTAGTTTCTTTCTTTTGTCAAATATGTGGTCTTTCCAAGTTAATCGTTTGTCGAAAATAAGCCCTAAGTATTTAACTTGGTTGGTTTGAGGTAATAATTGGTTGCAAAGTTTGACTGGAGGACAATTGTTTGGGCGAAGGGAGAAAGTAATGTGGCTAGATTTGTTTGTATTAATTTTTATTTTCCATAGTGTGAACTAGTTTTCGAGTATGTTAAGGTGGTGTTGGAGTTTGAAGCTTGTTATTGTGGGATCAAAATCGGAGGCTAAGATACAAGTGTCGTCGGCAAAAGTATTGAGAATGGTGAAAGAGGATGTAGGTATATCTGCAGTGTAANGCATCGGTGAGGCGATGTAGAGGATGAATAGTAGAATGGTTAGCTCGGAAGCCGTACTGTGAGTTAGGAATGATTTTATTTATTTCTGAGATATTTTGAAGGTGTTTTAATAGAAGTTTTTCAAATAATTTTCCCAGGGAAGGGAGGAGGCTGATTGGACGGTAAGAAGATGTTATATTTTTGGGTTTGCCAGGTTTATGTAATAATATGATTGTTGAAATTTTCCAGAGTGGTGGGAAATAAGAAAGTCTAAGCATTGCATTGAAGATGTGAGTATATTGTTTGTAATGAGATCGTGTCCAGGGGCTTTTCCATTTTTTAGTTTGTTGATTTTATATTTTATTTCATTTGGAGTGAAGTATTTGGGAGGTTTGCTTTTTCCATACATCGTAAAATTTTCGAAACATTTTTGCCATTTTTAAGCTTTATATAACAATTTTATATATTTTATATTTTTACATATTTTTGTTAAAATTTAGTTAAAAATATTTGTATCAACTCTATTGACTTAAAATTTGGACAGAACATTAATATTTGAATTGTCTAGATGTGGTAAAATTTTCAAAAAATTTAAGTTATTTTTGAGCTGTTTATAAACATTTTAATTTTGCGAGTTTTGTGCGTAATGTTTATTCGGTAGGTACTCTGTGGTAAAATTGTTAGACTTAACAGAAATGTTTGACAATTTAACAGGAGGTTCATTTAGAGTCTTACTTTGTGGTCAAAAAAAGAAAATTTGAGTTAATTTTTTTTTTTTTGAACATATGTATACTGCTGATTTAAGAACGATGGTGAAGTCAGAATTGAGCGGACTAAGTGTTTCGAAATTATAGCTGATGATATGGTATTATGTGGACATCATATGTTATACTAAATATTGTCAACGCAATAGTATATGTTTTTCGTTGCCGAATGGTTATATATACCTAGTTTCATCCTAAAGTCCGCAAGTTCCGAACCCATGCTACAAAAAAAAATCGTTTGCTTTTTTTTTTCTTTTACCTAAACAAGGAAAAAATAAATGCATTTTAGGAGTACCTAAAGATCCAAGCCTACGCTCACTCGGACTATTTTAATCGTAAAATACCCCTCAATTTGTTGTGCAAACTTTTCTATTAGAAATCCTCCTCCAATGTATTAACTGTAGCTTAGTTTATGAAAAAAAATTTAATCTCCATGTTAATTTAACGAGGTTATTTTTAGAATTTCTTAGGAGTTTTCCCAATAAATGGGAAAAATCGTGAAAAACGTAGAAAAAACAGAAAAATGTACGAAATGCAGGTATTAGTATTAAAATATTTTAGCCTTCATTCTTTCCGTGAACAACTTTTCTACTAGCAATTTTGCTCCGATTTACAATGATAGAATTTTTTCTAAAAGGAAATCTGACGGGGGAGATACTTTAGAGAGATAAAAATCCTTCAAAATTTGTACAACTTAATCGAAAAAATTATACCCCAGAAAAACACTCATCCTATAGTACTAAATTAAATAGTTTTTTTAATTACACTTATAATATAAAAATATAATACATAAAAATTACCTGTATTTTCGAATAATCCAATCCTGAAGAATATTTTATCATCGTCGTAAATACGATAAATAATATTATAACGGTCTTTGTTGACGTCGCGTTAGCGTTAGCGGATGAGGATTTCATCTTAATAATACTCTACGTACGATTCGATGCTCTCTTATTATTACAAAAAAAAAAAAAATAGAAACGAATAGTAGTTTCTTATCACAGATCGATTACAATACTTAAACGACTTTTCACGTTCGTCTTAAATGCAATTCTAATATTATTTTGTGAAAAGTCTTTCTGTTAATTCACAATATTTTATACGGTGCTGAACAACTTGTTCTCTATTCGGTTAACGAATGGCAACTGTCAAAAGGAGAAAATATTTTTGGACCAAGCAATTTCTTCGAGTTCTTTTTATATTGTTATAGTATCGTAATAACTCGTATTGTGATCATAGTCTGTAACGGAAAACAACACAATTACGTTAGACGCAACCTACACATGCGTAGTATCGTTTGTTGTTTAATTTGCGTTCATAATAATGGTATAATCATTTTTCATAAAGTATTTTTTATGTTTATATCTCATACATACGAATAAAAAAAACTCAAAATATGATCAGACACCGAATAATTATTATCATACAAGTAACAAATATTATAATAATTATTTTATGGCAGTTCCACTTCAAAATAAAAATCTAAAATAATGCTAAATGTTAAAAAAAATAAAAATGAATAACAGTTTTTTTTCCCAAAAGAAACACGATTGATAGATCGCATGTTCGTACTTATATTACATATTATTATTATTATTTTCATAATTAATTTTAAATGACGATGCACTCAATGGTGTTTTATTAGTTGTTCATAGATCATTAGGTACAATGCATTTAAACTGGGAGTACTTACACTATTACATATTACATACATCGGCTAGGATACAAAATATCTTAAGGATCAATTTTGATATCAAAATTATACAGTAATTCAATGTACGATAAAACCTTACTTCATACGGTTAGGATTGGGAACTTAACAACTATCTTATGAAATGTCTCAGAAGCTTTGGACATTTCTTATTTTTACAGACTATTGGACCAAAGGTCAGTTTTTTATGTGCGTAGTTCCTGTTTTTTACGGGTGTCAAAAAAGATAGTCAGTTTCAGTGTATGAAATGTGGAGCTCGAAGAAAGCCTCGATTCAAGCTCAATCGTCCTCACCTTCAGTGTTGTTTGGTATATTTTTAACGGTCGAAAAATTATAAAAATAGACAGTTTATTAACCGAAATAATTTCTTCAACCATTTCCCGACAAGTTTTTTTTTTATCCTGGCCGTTTCGCATCCCGTTTTAACTGTAGATAACCACTCCTATTCTTTCCCCGACAAATTTACTACTTCACAACATTTTTACCTACCCTAATTCCCATTAAAAATATTAAACACGTTAAAATGATTCATAGAAAGTAATGATCGTCAATATTTATCATATGTATTTCAACTATCGATTGATAACATCGTTTCTTTTTGATGGTTTATTTATTTATTTTTAGATTAGGAACGTAGCGAGGGATCTATTTGTTATATGATGTGTATTTTTATATTTTGTATATTTATTTTTATTTCTGTGTCTGTGAACAACTTTTTTACCAAAAAATTAGATCTAAAATATAGACTATTCAACCTTTTCTGAAAGGTAATTTTCTCTAGTTGGTACATTGAGGAGGTAATTTTTTAATTTCCAAGAGGTTTTCCAAATAATAGGGGGAAAACTTTTTATTATTATCATTGTGTTATAGCTTTCTACCAATAAAATTACTATAACTAAAAAATGACAAAAATTCGATTTTGTTTCTTTTAACACATAAACACTGACTGGGAAAATCATTTTTTAATATCTATAGCATTTTTCATAATAATTAGGAAAAACCAAAAAAGACAAAATATTTTTTTTTTTAATTATGACACAACGATTTTATTATTTTAATATTTTACGGGTTATGTTTTCTACCATAAATATTGCTACAATGTATAAACAACAAGAGACCTCTTTTGTTGCATTTTTAATCTAGTTCATAAGTAAGTTATTTGTATTTTGATTTTCTTTGTAGGTTTTTTTTTTATAATCGAGCAAAATCGAAGAAAAATACAGAAAGAACGGGAAAATTTACGAAAATAATTCTTTTACTATTTTAAAATGTATTTGTTTAATACAATTAAGTATAAAATATTCATATAGACTAAAATTGACAGAAAACTTATATTTAATTTTTCTAGACGTGGCAATTTAACTAATTTTTGAACTATTTATAGACATTTTAATTTTGTGAGTTTTTACGTAATTTTTATTTGGTATCATATACCTTCTCTGAATGGAGCCATGTCTCGATATTTGGTGTATATATAAAAGACGAGTCTCTTGTTGAGAAACATTATCTCTGCATGCGCGAGTATACTCGTCGCCAAGGTGGATTTAAAGTGTAAAAACTTGGCTCATCAGTTGATTGAAAACATTACTGTAGTTGAAATTGACGTCAGGTTTGCTGTCTACCCGATGGAAGACCAGAAATTGTATGTTTTTTATGTATTTTAATAGGAAAATTACTAAAATTATGGACATTTTCTATTTTTTTTCAATTTTTACAATGTAATTAAAATGATACATGTTTTAAGATAAATCATGCTATATGTATTAATATAAGTAAATACATAATATAATAGTATAAAATATTTATATATGATATTATTCATGAATAATATAATATAGGTACCTACCTGTCTAGTATGTGTCAATAGGTACCTATTGCTTGAACAATTTGATATTTTGATGCTGTTATTATTAGGTGGTGAAAATTCTCGATATCTTGTGTATTATCACGGTTTTTACATAGATAATATAATATTTATAATTATGAATATATATTATTTAAATTTTTACCTATTTTTTTTATCATAAACTAAGTTTTTGCTTTTTAATTACATTTTTGGGTGATTTACATTAAAATTGTTTTCATTTTTAAATTACAAATAAATAAAATAAACAACTATATTATATTTTATTTGAATACTAAATATCGCGTTTATTTATAAAATAAATATGTGATGAGTATATTCGCGCATGTACAAATAACGCATCTCAATGAGAGACTCGTCGCTAATGTATGCTTCAAATTGTTTATACAGGCAAGATAAGCTATGGCTCCAATCATAGTATATGATCTAAGGTTACAGGTATACATTAATTAAAATTTATTTTATTTCTGTATTTTCTGATGGAATCGTTTAATAGCATTATTTTAAATTATAAATTATATAATTTATAATACATTAATGTTATGTATCAACATTTTTAAAAATAAATCTCTATTCTATTCTGCGTTCGAAATGGAGAGGGTTTCCTATTTAAAAATCAAAACTATGTACTTATTTATGGTATATGAAATAGGGGTAAAAAATTAAAAATGTTTTAAAATAAAGCTTAAACAATTCCATAATGATTAGAAAAAACAGAAGTCAAATTCACTTATAATCTTCATATTATGGTAAAATAATTAAATAGACATTATATTTTTTCTTTAATAATATATGTTTATTATTGTACCAATTTTCCTGTTTTTCTTGCGTTTTTCCTGGTTTTTCACATTTGTTAAAAAAACTCACTCCTAGAAAATTCGAAAAATAACCTCGTTAATTTACCATGGAGATTAAATTTCCTTATAAATTATTATAGGGAAAAAATACGATTAAATACGATTTTCTTATTAAATTTTAATATTAAAATTCCACTATAAAAAAAAAAATACTACTTCAAACTCAATTTTTTTAACATTTCTGTTAAGTCTAACAATTTTACCACAGAGTACCGACCGAATAAAAATTACGTACGAAACTCGAAAAATTAAAATTTTTATAAATAGCTCAAAAATGGTTTACATTTTTTAAAAATTTTACCATTTCTAGGAAAGTAAAATATAAATGTTCCGTCCAAATTTTAAGTTCATAGAGTCTATACGAATATTTTTAACTAAATTTTATAAAAAGCTTAAAAATGGTTCAAAACTTTCGAAAATTTTACTACATCTAGAAGAGGCAGTTATAAGTTTTCTGTCGAAATTTCAATTTTCCACACTACATTCTTCTACACTTCAAAACTAAAACATTGTGTCCCGGTTTCCCTAAGTTTTTTTCCAGTTTTTCCCATTTATATGAAAACGGCTGGAGAAACTTCAATTAAGTACAACCTCAGTCAGATTTCCTTTTACAAAAAATATTATACTTGAAAATCGGAGCAAAATTTCTGGTAGAAAAATTGTGCATAGATAAAAAAAAGACATTATTGTAAAATCAATAATACATTCCTCGTTCCACTCAGAATTTAAAATTGCATGTATTTCGGTTATTAAAAATACGCGAATGTGTGAACGAAAACTCACCTAATGATGGTTACTAAAAAGTAAACCACAACAAAAACCATAAATGGTTTAATGAGTCGTCATATATAAAAATATAAAATGTAATAGTATTGTATTGTGCCATAGAACCATAACGTATAAAAAGTAGGACCATCTTAATCTCGGCGTTACAGGCCGATAAACATACGCAGGAAATTACATTTCCCGTTATTAAATTTATTTAAGGCAGGGTACTTTGCATTAATCGTTTAGAAAAAAAAAAATAATAGTAATAATACAAACCGAAATAAACGGTTTTACTTTTTATGTTACACATTATAAACTAAAGTGTCATTGCAGTAAATATTAAATAGATTGTCTGACGTTGCTTGTATTAATGTAATTTCGCTATTTTTGTTAACCGTTAATTAAAAACAGAATCTAAAAAAAAAATCCTCTCAAATAGCATTTAAATTTAGCTTTAAAGTGCACATGGACAGCGTTATAAATTTATTGTTTAAAAATACTACTTTGATTATTAGCGTGAGTGATTTCCGCACCACCATTCACCGCTCATTATATAGCATTATATTGTGCATGCGAGTAGGTACAAGTGGTCGTCAACGACGGCATGGGTCGCTGTTGCTATTTTCTTAATATAATATGAATTCCAAAATATTTAATGTAATTTTTATATTTACGGATTTCTTCATTTTTTTCGATTATTGTCAATAAAATATTTTTTACGATAAAAATATATGAAAACTTAATACAAATTTCTTGATGCATTGTTATTAGTTAACCGAAGTAGATAACCGTGGTTATTACTTAATACAAATTTAATAGTAAATTTACTGAGTATATATATATATATTATTTTTATCATTATGTATATATATATATATATATATATATACAATACTACTTAAATTAATATTTACGTTGTTTTTATTTCTTGTAGTGTAGTGACTTAATATGTTAAGGTGTAAGGTTTTCAAAACTCGATATTACAGGTTTATTGAATATAATATTTAAAGAGGGGGTTCATAATATATATAATCATTAAGCATATAAAATAATTATTTCTATACAGCATGGTTTGGTTAAATTTCAAGGTAAGTATTTAAAAATAATAATTTTAATGTAATGTACTATAATAGTTTAACCGCAGTGTTGTCACCACTCAACTAATTTTTAATATACACCTTACACAGGTTAAACATGATCAAATATTTTTTTTAAATTATTTAAATTATTTTTAATCATTTTAGTTAAGATTAAAAATTGTTTTCAATGAAATTATGACAACTGCAATAGCAATCAAGTCGGTTTTCAGTATTCATACTTTCAATAAAAAAATTCAACCTTTGGTTTTTTAATTGATAGACGAATTTCGGTTGTTATTTTACTCGAGTGTATTTCAAGTAAACAATCAATTCATTTGGATTTAATCAAATGGCAATATTTTTTTAACGAAGATTAATTCGATATATTGCTAAGTTAATTATATATGAATGCAAAACGAGTTATAGTATGTGACAACTTTTATTATTCAAACAACCCAAAAGACGAAACGATAACCTTACCATACTGGTACAGGTCATATTACATTAACTTGCTATAATATATTTCGGTTTAAAGAAGTACAACCTTGTATCGATTCATATATTTTAAAAGAACAGATTAACCATATTTTAAATATTTGAAGTAGCAAATGAATACTTTTCTATTACCATCTCGAGATTTTAAAAAAATAGTGAAACTTCAGTTTTGTTAAAAACTGTTATACGGCTAATACTGGTTGCTTCTAATTTTCTAATAGTTATTGATGGATTACGTCTAGCAAAATTATAAAACCAGTTAAGACCCGCAAGTTTAAGACTATTATTAAAACTGTGTAGAATTATGTTTTCTTCTACAAAATTATAAGCAGCATATGGAGTAATTCCATAAAACAGTTTAGCCAAATTTTCTATGTGTTCAGTCATATCATTTTCAAAATCAAAACAAAACACAGGTTTACTGATGCGTTTTACATAACAATTATTATTATTATTATTATTATTTTTTTTTTTTCGGAATTACTGATCTTGATATTACATATGAAAAAATTATTTTGAACTAATTAAAATAATGCATTATTAAAAAACAAATTGAAAATTAAAAAATTTTTTCCTAAAATAGTAAAGGTAATACAATAGAATAATGATACAATTTTTAGTGCAATTATACAATAATGATTTATTTATTAATCGTTTTTTATTATTTAATTTGATTATAATGTAAATATTATTAATTAAGTATTTACGTGATCCCGTTTTTAGTTCCATTATTGTCGTAAAAGAAACCACTGTATTCAAATATTCTAAATTACTAATATTAAAAAGAACAAAATTATTACTATATATAAATTAAAATTGTTAAACAAATTCAATAATTAACAAAGGTATAAAAGGTACTTATGTAATAAATGATGACAAATCTATTTCGTGGATAGTGAATATTAATGTGTTACCCAAACGCTATTTATAGTTCCGAACGTCCTAAAAGTATCGGAATACTCAGTACTATTCGATAAATTGTTGTCGGATCAAACCTTGAAAAGTTTCCAATATATTTTAAACACTTTCGATTTTTTATCTAGTATATATCAGCTATATTTAATCAGATTTGATTTATCTTTACCACAAAGAAGTTACAATATCAATTAAACCCGTTCTTTAGTTACTATGGAATGTAATTTAATGCAATGAATATCAATAAAAACAAAATAAATTAAAAAGTAAAAATTTGGGAATCAAAGGGATAAATCGGATATTATTTGTCCAATTGTGACACATGGAATATTAAATTTAGTGTTGGTAGAAAAAAAAATTTTAAATGAACAATCATACAAAAACTGATTCTTGTGGGTACTTTTAAGTTAAATAAATTAAATACAGTAGTCACTCGATAATTCGAACTGCGATAATTCGAAAAACTACATAAAGCGAAACCTCTATAATTCGAAGAAAATATATAAATGTATAGCGGTTAGGTTATAACTATACTCAAACAAAAATACCATCTTACACAATTAACACGTTACTCATTGGAAATCAGACAGAGAAAATGTGTGTACCCTAATCTAATGGAAATGATGCACAAAGCATGGGAAAATATTAGTGCAAAAACTATCGCGAATTGCTTCAGAACTTGTGGTTATATTAAGGACGAACAGACAATTGGTAAAGGTTCTAATCAAGGTGAGGAAGTTAAAGTCTGCTTAACTCATGGAATAGACTTGAAGTTAGTGTATAATTTGAAGAATTTGTTCCTGTTATATCGTTGAAAGAAGCAACATTTTTTATGTCAGGATTGCATACATTTTTTGGGCAGTCTGAAATGGACGGAAAAAAAAGCAATACAATTTGCATTGCTATCAATCAGTTAGATAACACTATGGACCAGATTGTGGCCAAAAATTTATCGCTAAAAAAAAAACTGATTTTTTTAAGATATAAAATATAATATTTCAATTTAATTTTGTTAAGTAAATAAATAACAATTAATAAACGTAAAATATAATAATATGTATAATAAATAAATATCAAAATAAATGTGGTACATACAATTTTTCACCTTTATTTTATTCGAATTATTTTTTTTCCCACGATTATTCGAATACTCGGTAAATCGAAAACCATATTGGCGAATACGATGGAGAACGATATTGGAGAATTTTCACTATAACGTTTGTTAGTTTATTCTTCTATTTTAAAAACCGTATTCTTAAATATTATAAAACTATTCTGTGAGTCTTTTATAGAAAATTTGATTTGATTGCTTCTTTCGGAGTGATCTTTGATAATTTTCTTTGATGTTGGTATAAAAATAGCATATAATAAGTAAAATATAATTGTGTTCTTTCCATCTAAAAATTTAAAAATGTTTATACACATAGAAAAATATTATACTTGAACCAGTTTGATGCAAAATATATGGTGATATTTTTATAAAATAATTATATGTACTGTAAAATTAATAATAAACAAATTTAACAAAATATAATCATCATCATTCTTGATTTTTCTCTAATAATAAATACATTTTGTGTACGTACTTTGACTTATATTTTCAGTTCCCAATTAAATAATTATCTGCTTGAATATTCTTTAACTTTGTTCCCTATTTAGTTAATTTATATTTGCTCCAGTTACTAATAATATAATCTATAGACGTTGAAGTTTGAATGTCGTTTAAATGGAACTTTGTAGTTGATTTCCAGTTTTTTTCTATTTCAGGGAATGGACAGTTTTTATTATGTTTGATTTGTTCAACAATATACTCTACATCATTTTCTGGTTCTGTAACATAAAGTAGGATACTAATATAATAAAAATGAAAATAGTATCTATGATGTGAATACTTGTGGGCTTTAGGTATAGATACCTTCTTATCAATGTTTTTTCAATATATTGGTATGATCTATATATAAAATATTAGGAAAAGAAGTTTGTAATTTTGAAATACCCCCTAAATGCAATTGTAAATATGTTACTGATAAGTATAACCTACATTATTTTTAACTTTTACAGTTGAACAATATTTTTAATTTCATCTAAAAATCAAAAACATAAAAATTATTATGAGAGTTTAATATTATACCAAAATGCAAATCATATTGGTAATTACGATTTTTATCTGGTAATTTTGAATGAGTATTCATTGGTATTAAACAACTAGTTATCAGAGTTCTCATACTGTTGTGATATTTTGCATACAGCTTCCCCTTTGGATTTTTATTTGTATCCTAAAAAGTGATAGCATATATATATATATATATATATATACTAAATAGAACAATTATAATAATTAATAAATATACTAACTTTTACTTCAGTTGGGAACATATTAACAATCTGATTTGCAATAGTATCGGTTAGACTAACAGACATGGATGTTTTCTTAGTTATGATGTAACTTATTATGGATCTCCTAATAACGTTCTAATACTGTTATTAAATTTACATTTATGATTTAGGATTGATGTTTTATGATATAGGTATATCATTGTATATCAATCCAGTAGGAGACTGATTGAAAATTTCTCCAATATTTATATCAATAATAGTTGCTAAAGATTTTGCAGAAATATTTTTTTTGTTTAAAGTTTGTGAATTCAGTAAAGTTGAAGGAAATCTATGTTGATTTTTTGCCATTTTTCTAAACGATAAGATAATAATATTTGAATACCTAGTGGGTAATTTTTTAGTAATTTATTTGTATAGTCTACTTTCATAATTTGATAAAGTTTTCAAATCAATTAACTCATCTATAATAAATAAATAACTAAAAGAAGCATATATTTGTTTTTAAATTGTTAAGTGTAATTTAGTACAGTATAGAATAATGGTGTATTATATGTACTATTACATTAATTGATAATAATATATTATTACCAATTAAAGTTTTATACATGCATTCTGAATTACACTCTTTCATTAAATCATGCAAGGATTGCAAGTCTTCAATTAGAGAATTATATCCTTCCAAAAAAGACATGATTAATGTGTTAAGCTGTAAAATTAAAATTTTGTTCAAAAGTTAGTTAAAAATGTATATATAATAACAATTTGTTGTTATTTTATTTTGAAATTATGTAGGTTTAAATAATACTTACAGCAGTAACAATATTATTAGCATGATTCAAAGCACTAGATACATCATTTGAAATACTAAGAGAATTATTTAAATTGTCAGAATAATTATTTAAAGCATCAGGAAAATTCAGTGTATCCTCCATATTATTGCTAAAGCTGTTCCTAGGCTTTTTATATAATACAAAATAATAAATAAAAAATGTTTTGCTAAAGTATTAATGCTTAATGAAAAAATAAATAATATAAGTATACATACACAACAGTCTATAGATATCATTATACAAGTATATATAATATATAGAAAAAAACACAAGTCAAACAATAAATAAATGTAATAAAAAAATATAAAAATGAGTATTATTTAAGTTGCGTTTAAGTATTACATCGTAATATTAATTATTAGCGACCTAAATGTTAAATAATACTCCAGGCATTGTTGTTTTTGCTTATTTTTTTACTACAAAGTACGATTTTTAATGGATTTCCTGTCAAATTTTCAAGTATTTCTGTTTAATCTAACAATTTTATCCATAGAAAACCCAACACATCAAAATTATGTAAAAAAAACCTTGCAAAATTAGAATGCCTATTAATAGCTCAAAATTATCTCAATTTTTTTTATAATTTTACCACATCTAGAAAAAGCAAACATAAATTGTCTGTACATTTTTCTAGTCTCTACGAATATTTTCAATTATTTATTGTAATTCAAGAATTACATTAAAAAAAAAATGAAATTTTAAATAATAAAAAAATAATGTTCGCAAATATTCCCGTATTTTTCGGTTTTGCTCAATTTTTAAAGAAACTTTAAAGAAAATCAAAAAGTGACTTTCTTACTCGTCAACTAAAGATTAAAAATGTAACAATAAAGGTCCCTTGTTGTTTTCTATTGGAGCAATATTTATGTTAGAAAACATAAGCCATCAAAATTTAAAATAATGAAAGTTAAATAATGTTAAATGAAAGTTAATGTGCTGGTCTTAAAATCTTGTGAGGAGATATATTGAAAAAGTCTTGAAACTGTTTGAATTGCCTTACTCTTTTACAAACTTGATTTAAAGTAAATATAAATGTCCTTGACAAGGTCTTTACTACAAGTTTATAGTAAAGCTTTGTATCTGGCTCAAATTCATAAATTTATAAATTCTGGAGGGAATTCATACCTGGTTCTTTTAAAATAAAATTAAACCTAAAAACTTTTTTTTAATATTATCGAAATAAAATCGTATTGAAAAATGCATATGTATAATTTTCATTTGTTAAAATTTAATTTTCAATGAATTTATAAATTAACGAAAAAAGTTCAAAATGTATTCATGAAAAATGAACGAAATTATAAACCTAGTTCACTTTTTTGATTATGAACTAGTTCATATTTTAAATGAACTTTCAAAGATCTGAAAAAACCTTATGACGATTGGATGAGTAGTTTCGGAGCCAACCTGTAACAAAAATTTCCATTTTTGCTCTTATATAGGTTTATTATATTAAATAGAAGAGAGAGATGTATTAGATGTATCACTATAATAATGTCAGTGCCTCAAAATTAAAAATTAAAATTAAAGGGTTTATATAGGCAACCTACTATAATATTTAGCGCTACAGTGCTCCCTAAAAAATCTACCAACTTCATGTATTCTAATTTTTTATTTTTAGTACCAATTTGATTATAAACAGTCGGTTCCTATGGTCGAGTATACTGTTCTGTGAAAATCACTGCATTTCACGTATTTTCCGACTTATATGTGGATAATACTTGTGTAGTTAGAGATACGAGTTACCCATATAGTAAATATATGCAAAAACTAACGACGATATTCAAATATTTTAATATCATAAGTCATAACGTACGATGTTATATTATAATACGATATTTTCCGGGTAAATAATTCAATTAGAGAGCGGTGTGTAAACTGTTTAACTATATTATTATGCAAACGCAGTGTTGCAGTAAGTAACACAGCAGCAGCGTGAGGGTGAAAACGAAGATGCGAAGAGCAAATGATACCGCCGCCGCCGTAGTTTTCATCAAAACGGCCAGTCGGCGTGGTGGCGGTGGATGATACGGTTTTATTCCTCTCTCGTCGATCATTAATCACGAGTTTTTACGCCCGTTTTTCCCCTCGGCCCACCGCCACACACGTTTGGACGGGCCGGAAAACAGTTTTAATTAACAGCTAAATGTCTCTAATAGCTCCCCCGACATTACTTTAATCTGTGGAGCTAATTAGAGCTGCGGCGAAAACTCTCCTCCTTGTCGGCCACCCATCCCCGGACACAGCACCTCTACCGCCACCACCGCCGTTCACGTGCATTGGCACATTGCGTCGGTGGACCACCGCGCGCTAACTCCGCCTAACTGAAAACCACTTTTTAATCTCCGCAGAGGAAATTGTAAACTCGCCTCCGCCCCCCTGAGCCGGATCGCATTTGTTTTCTTTAACGTCCTTTCCCTCCTCCCACTCGTTCGTGTTATACTTCATAGGATCAACGTCACCTTACCTCGCCTACCCTAACCTATCGAATTAAATAGTTATACCAACCCGCGGGAAAATTTAATCTCGCACGAAACAATTGTACAATACTAACATTTATAATTTTCTTACGATAATAATTATTATAAAACCAGTTATAATTATATTATTATTATTCTGTAAATCAATAATTTTTAATGAACATTTTTGTCTATGCAAATAGGAGACACGTGGATTTTAATATCTCTAAAATGTATTCAAAAAATATTATTATTGAAACATTTTCATTTTTCGAAAATATTGAGAATTCCACTGTTAATATCATATAAGTGAACAAACTAAGCTTTATCACGTGTATTATTAACTGATAACTGGAATGCAAATATCAAGGCTATATATATATGCACATACAAATTTAGACGTTGAATTGAGATTTACAATTTGGTTTTTGAATGTTCATATTCAACTTCAGTGTAATACCATATAGTTAATTTCATTGACATTTTATTTTAATAAAATAACGTTAATCTAAATCGCAATCAAAAATAAGTGTTATTTTATTTAAATTAAAATACTTAATAATTTACTCTAAAATTGGCGTGCCCAGGAGAAGAAGGTTAGGGGTTATATCCCCCCATTGGCTTAAAATACAAACAAAATATAAGTAATCTAATTTCGAAATGAATATGATATATTTCAAGTAATGAGGCAAAACTTGACATATGGATTAAAAATTGAGCCTTTTTAGGATCCGGCTTTTAAATTACCACAGTCAATTGGGTAAAGAAGAATAATGTATTATTTATTAATGATTCTTATTTGTTACATCCTCTCCTATTGATAATTCCTGGACACGCCACTAAATATGGGAGTCGAATACAATATTAAGAATAAGTATTTCAGTTCATAGAGTTCAGTTAATACTTTGTCAACAATATATATCATTTTATAGTAAAACATTTAAATAGGCCTTATATATATTTTTTAATAATATTTGTTTAATGTTGTACCGATTTTCCCAGTTTCTCCCAGTTTTCCCATGTTTATCCTGGTTTTACACATTTTCCTGGAAAACTTGGGAAAATTAAAAATGACCTCCCTAAAGTACCTCCCAAGTGAAATTTTCTTTTAGAAACTTTGCTATCATTAATAGTTGGCGCCAAAATTGCTGGTGGAAAAGTTGTCCACAGGAAAAAAAAGGCCGTTTATTTTTAATTAATACCTACATTTCTTACATTTTTCTATTTTTTCGGTTTTCACATTTGTTGAGAAAATTCCAAAGAAAATCGGAAAACTACTTCTTTAAAGTATCTCCCCAGTGAAATTTCCTTTTAAAAAAATCGCTTTCATTAAAAGTTGGAACTAAATTGTTAGTAAGAAAAAAAATCATAATATTATACAAATATATTTCATACATTTTGCCGGGTTTTTTTTTGATTTTTCGCATTTTATGAGAAAAATCTTAAGAAAATCGAGAAATGACCCTTTTTAAGGTACCTCCTCACACCAATTTCCTTTCAGAAAAGTGTCTACATGTAAAAATCGGAGCAAGTCCTCTGATAGAAAAGTTGTCCACAGAAAAAAAAAATAAACATTTTTGTAAAACCATAATCTTCACTCCACTCAGAATCTAAAATGCAGTTGACACTTTTTATTTTATTAAAATATAATTATATTAAATAATTTTGGAATATCTACTTATAATTGTCAGGATCTCCCTCCCCCCACAGAGAAAAATGTTTAAAATTCGTTACCAGTGGCGGCTCGTTTATATGTGCACAAGTGCACGTGCACTACCTACCCAAACTCAAGAAAAATTGAAAACATAAATCATAATAATACAACTAACTACTAAGTACCTGTAGTATTATTAAAAGTATTTTTCAAAATATAAAAATATAAATTCAGAATATTATGAAAATAATATATTTGGTTTGCGTTATTTCGATTGCCAAACAGCCGGGGACTGTTGTCCGCGACGGAACAGTATTGGTGTGTATTATAATGGTGGGAGTTGTGCACATTTCGTGTATTTGTTTTCAATTTTTAAAATGAATTCAATTCAGATACTGCAATGCAATTTTTCAACAATCTCGTTGGAGAAAAAGATGGAAATAAAAAATAAAGGTAGGCCTACTCCAGACTTAAATATTAAACAAATTACTAAATGTAAAACGAGAAAATATGTAAGAAAATTTAATAATAATATATATAAAACCTATGACTGGATTTGTGGTTGTTCAGAAACTAATCGTTTGTATTGTTTTCCCTGTTTACTTTTTGGTCAAAAATTTAATGATGTCGCTTGGGTAAAGAATGGAATAAACGATTTAATTAATTTAACTTCTAAAATCAAAACACACGAAAAATCAATGCACACATAAATTCTCAATTAAATTTAAAACTATTAGGAAAACAAGACATAAGACAACAACTTTCTAGTGCGTATCGGTTAAATATCAAACAATACAATGAAAAAATAAGTCATAATCGTTATATATTGAATATAATAATAAATTGTATTAAATTTTGTGGAGCATTTGAACTTGCACTCAGAGGTCACGATGAAAAATCAAATTCAGAAAATCCCGGCGTATTTCGAGGTCTTATAAACTTTAGTTCAGAGTTAGATTCGGTACTAAAATGTCATATTGAGAACTCTTCGGTATTTAAAGGTTTATCCAAATCAATCCAAAATGATTTACTAGAATATTGTTTAGCTGTATGTCAACAAACAATTAAAAATTAAATAAAACAAGCAGAATATATTTCTGTAATGGCTAATGAAACAACTGACGTATCTGTTCAGTTTCAATTGTCAATAATATTTAGATATTTACTATCGGATGGAACACCAGTAGAAAGGTTTTGGGGATTTTTCAATCCTACTGGACACGATGCGAAATCGTTGTCTGAATGTATAATATTCAACTTGGAAAAAGTCCTAGAATCACCAAATATGTTGATTTGTCAGAGTTACGATGGCGCAAATGTGATGAGTGGACGTCTCAATGGTGTACAAAAAATAATAAATAATAGTTATAAAAATGCACATTTCATACATTGCTATGCTCATCAGCTTAATTTAATTTTAATTCAAGCAACTTCACAAAATCGTGAGATAAGGATATTTTTTTCAAACTTAACTGATATAAAAAATTGTTTTTCAAACAGTCCACAGCGGGTTACGGTTTTAGATAAAATTGTTAAATACAGAGTTCCTCGATCATCTAATACTAGATGGAATTTTAAAAGTCGAATAGTAAATACTGTGTATGAGAATCTTGAGCCGTTAATTGAATGTATGAAAGAAATTGAATCAACATTTAATCAAACCATAGCAATTAATCAAGCTGGAGCTTTGAATCGGATGTTAAATGATGATAAATTTATATTTTGGTTAAGAGTGTTTCATTCTTTAATGCCTCATGTTGATATTTTATATAATCAACTACAAAAACAAACTATGGATCCTGTAGAACTTTCAAAGGCAATTTTTCGGTTCGAAGAAAATATATTAAAAGAAAGACAGAATATTGATAACATCGTTGAAACCTCTCAAAATCATCCAACGAAAAAACGAAGACAAGATGATACTATTGAAACAAGAAAAATCGCTGCAAAAGAAGTATGTGATATTTTTATTGTCAACGTTAAAGAACGTTTTGATTATAAAAAACCACTTAAATGCTTCGCACCTATTTTTATCCACCAAATTTCCTATGTACGAAAATAACTTCCCAAATGACCATTTTAGTAAAACCGTTGAAGCATATCCTTTTTTGGATGTTATTAAACTTAAAACTGAACTACAACTGTTCTACAAAAGAACCGATTTTCGTGATATGAATTCATCAGTTCATTTATTGAAATTTATAATTGAAAATAATTTAACACTGGTATTTTCTGAAAGCTACAAACTTTTAAAAATAATTTCAACTGTTCCAATGACTACAGCTGAAGCCGAAAGATCGTTTTCTACATTGAAACGTATTAAAACATTTTTGAGAAATTCAATGACGGAAGATCGACTTACAGCACTAGCAATGTTATCGATCGAAAAACGGATGATCAACAATATTTCAAACTTCAACGAAGAAGTAATAAACAGGTTTGCAGAAAAAAAAGATAGAAGAATCGATTTAACATATAAACATGTACCTGAAATATAATAATTTAATACAAATAATTATAGAATTTTTACTTGTAAATGTATTATGTATCATTATTTGTATTAGTATTATTTATTTTTATTATTATTATGTATTTACTATTATTATTGCGGGTAAAAATATAAACAAAATAAAAGGTAATTGGTAAATAACTAAAGTTTGTAAACAATTATTTAATAAAATTTATAATATATTATGTTTAATATTGGTTATATTTTTTTTTTTTTTTGGGTGTGCGCTACTTCATTAAAAACCCACGAACCGCCACTGTTCGTTACCATGACTGTTAATCCTGTACCTATAGTATGAAATTAATCCTGCACTCTATATATTTATGCAATACAAAAATAATGGGGTCTATTAAATGGCCCGTGAAAACACGCAAAAACAAAACAAGCTTTGGTTTGTATACATTTATTTTTATTATATAATATTATAATTAAACATTTTATAAATATTAGGTACAATAATGCACGTTACAAACAAAACGTACAACGTCCATACGATTTTCATATGTAAATTAAACATAACTCTACATACGACATTTATTCGTTACACATTTTCGTATCTGTATAATATTATTATTCTGTTGGCTACACACTATGCGCGTATTTATGATGACTGTCCGTGATTCGTACATATTCGTCGGTTTTTAATATTTTCGAACAAAACTCTATTTACACAACCTATTCGTGTATATTCGAGATTTGTGCTTATTGATCACTTTGATATTTTACTTTAATTGAATTTCAATGAATATCGAACCACTAACTACAAATACAGCGTATACATGCATAGTGTGTATCAATATTCATAATATGATTTTTAAATTAATTATAATTAATATTAATGTTATTTTTAATAATAAATAGGTAGGTATACGAGTAAAAACAGTCACACGCAAACGTTTCACCGAATTATTATTTTTTTCGATGTGTTTTATATTGAAGTTATCTCTCCACGTAAAACTATAATAAATCATTTTCACAATAATATTTTTGGGTTGAAAAACATAATCTTTTAATGTATAGGGCAGCGGTTCCCAAACTGTGCGGCGCGCCACCCAAAGGAGGCGCGAGCACTAAACAAGGGAGGCGCAGCGCGCGGTTTGAATTTCGTACACGTATAGTTATGTTTAGATCAATTATTATCTTATCTTATCCATCCGATTCATCACTACGAATGCAATTTTCTTCATATTCACTTATGGAATTTCGGAACAGTATTAAAGACGAATATCCTGATGTCAGCAACAAAGCTTTAGGTATAATAATATAAACGAAAAACAAGCGCATTGTTCGAATTAATTATTTTGTATAAAATAAAATAGTAAGTTTACTGTTAACTAATAAATATTAAATAATTGTTAACCTATTTTATTAAACATTCATTGCGGGAGGCGTGAACAATTTTTTATTATTATTAGGGAGGCTTGAATTAAAAAAGTTTGGGAACCGCTGGTATAGGGTATAGGTTACATAAATGGTTGGTAGCTAAATAATACTATTTTACTATGTATTTTCCAATTCCATAAATAGCAAAAAATGGTTTACTAGTAAACCACTTTTTTTAATATAAGTTCTTATTTTGTAGATAGGTACACAAAATTAAAATTAATGTTTAATCTATTTTATTTGTATTCCGGTTTTTTGTAAATTATTTTTTTATTAAAGAATAAAAAAAAATGTATATTCTATTATTTTTTACTATCGTTAAAACGGGCGATACTTTTATTGGATGTTTCGATATTTCTGTACTAGAGCCGGATATCGATAATGGATATTGATTTTATAAACTATAAATGTGACTTATTTTTACGATGGTGAGTTAATTATGTTGTCATTATATACTGCAGGGCAAGGACATATGTGTGTTGACGTTACATTATTATAATTTGGCTAAATACGTTAATAATTATTAGTTGATACTAATACCATAAATAACGGTAATAATTGTCTGGTACCAATGTCCCAATTAAAAAATCAATACGTCGTTCAATTCCAACAGAAAAGATATTTCTAAGAAATTCACCTGCGCAAACCTATATTAACAACTGATTCAAAAAAATTGATCGGTATCATTATCAACCTTCCCGGTTCATTTATAGTTTACATCGGTTTAGCTAGAAATTCGAGATATTTAAACCGACTTTCCACTACAAGATATTTTAACTTATCAGATATTTTATTTATTCCCGCCTAAATTAATAACACACACTCTAATTATACCATAGTTGATAGATTATACAGATAGACAGGTTTATAATGGGGACAAATCTATGCAATTTATTATTCGTCTATCATTTTGTAAAATGGATCTTAATCATAATTGTTTTCAAAAACGATACTTTACAAAGGTGCAAAAAAAAGTGCAAACAATTAGTTAATTTTGTAATTATAGTAGTAATTATTGTCCGAAAATTATTACACCTATGACCAAAACATGGCTACATCGAATCTATTGTCAATATTAAAATTTTAGTATTTAGCTCTAAAAATGGTTGGTTCAGTTGCTTTAAAAAATAATATTTATATGGAAATTTTTATATTTAATGTCTAGCAACGCTTTTTGATTTTCAAACTTTTATTAGTCGTCAGTTTTTTATCAAAGTCGAAATTTGTGAAAATACGTTAATATCAATAGAAAATTTTATTGACATATATACATCAATGCAGTGTTGTTAAAAGGAATGCGGGGTTTTTTTTATAGTAACGAATGAAGGAATAACTTCCATTATTTTTTTTAAAGAAATAGAAACGTGAATGAATTCCTTATTTTTAGAAATAGGAACGTAAATATTGTAATTCTTTTGTTATTCCTTGAAATGTGTCCGAAAATACTTTTAGAGAGAACAATTTTCGCTTATCAATTTTTGAATCTAATAGATGAGACACTTCCAACCAATTTTTTATTTACATTCGACTTGGTGTCCAAAAGCAAAACCGGTGATATTTTCAAATTAAGAACATAAAAAAAAATGATATGGACTGCATTAGGTATTCATATAGGAACGCTTAAGGAACGAATTATTTTTTTTAAGAATCAAGGAATAGGAACAAGTTCCTTTTTTACAATAGGAACGAGGAATGAAAACGAATTTCCTTTAAAAAAAAACATTAATATCACTGCCTTAATGTGTTAAAATTATTAAATATTATCGCTTCTCTGCCTATTGATATTGTTCCTGCTAAACGTAGCTTTTCGGCGCTTAGATTTGATGCATGTGTAAAATAATTACTGCATAGATAATAGTAATTAGATTAATTTATGTAATTCTAAATCAATTTAAAAAATAGAATAATAGTTATCTTACTTTATTTATTTTAATAAGTACTAGGGCTGCAAATTTAGTAGGTGACTTGAGTATGAAATTAATAAGTGATTATGATCATTAAAAATAAATAATTTGTCTATTCAAAATAATATATTAGTTTTTATGTTTTCAAAATGTTGTATTTTTGTGTTTTTTATTTATTTTTTTAAAACTGTAAAGCATAAACTGGTACATTTTTTAAATTTTAAGTTCATTTTGAGTTGCTTATAAGAATTTAAAAATCTTTTTTAAGTGGTTTCAATACATTGAAACATTTTTTACATTATTAGTAATTAAACATCAAACTTTCCTAATATCTAACTGTTTCTTAAATTTTCAAGTAAATCAATCGTATCTCTATAGATGTAAATGTATAGGTTTTTTTATTATTATTTAGATTAAAAATGTGTTTAAGATCTCAAATTGAACAAGATTGCTAATCAGGCATAGCTTATCTAAATATTCGTAAGTCAATAAATATTTCAGTTGATGATATATAAATAAATTAGATGCAACAAAAAAAAAAAAAAACATACATTTTGCATAATAAAAACTGTTATTTTTAACTCTTATGTATACCTATATAATTATTTAACGAGTACCTACTATATACTTGTTATTAAATTAAATTACCATTTTCATAACATTTTTCTATCTTTTGTTTTAAAAATCGAGGACTTCTAGAGGACCCCAATTTATGACTGATATGTATATATCGCCTCTCTCTAGAAAAATATATTATAGCCGGGTACACACCGGAGCATTTAAGTGTAATGTAACAGAGTTCGTGCTCGCTTGATTGTTACATGTTACATGTTACAAACGACCGGTATGTACGTTTAGGGTCGAGCACTACTCTGTACCGGTTGTTGGCCGGTTTATCCACCAGTTATTTCCTTGGTCAACTCTTCCCAAGTTTCGAATTTTGCAAATTTAAAATCTAACACGTTTTCATTATTCCACTCCATTTTTTAAATTAAAATTAAATTAATACAATTATATTAAACTAGTTTACGAGTATATCACCAGGTGATTCGCTGTGAGCAACTGTTTTACTGTCCACACTAACGTCGAGTCGTAATGTAACATTCCTTTAATGTTCATCAAAATACCGACACACGGGTGGATCGATAGCGTCGCGAGCCGAACACGCGCGAATGATACAGTAACACCGTACACACCTGAGCATTACAGTTACATTATTCCTAAATGCTCCGCTGTGTACCCGGCTTTATAGGTACTTCCATGTTAACATATTAGAGACAGCTGATTGCGTCAGGTTAATACATACACACAAAATAACAATAAATCAGAAATTAATACCTATCAATAAAACGCGATCTAAGATAAATCGCAGTCGCCGATTCACCTGTTTAATATAATTGAGTTTGAATATTTTGCAACCTTTCTTTCGGTCAGTAATCATAAAAATCAGAGTTAAATAGATTATATAGTATATTATATATAATATGAGTTGGAAAATATTTATTATTAGATTTCTCTACTTAGTTAACTTACCTTCTTGTTTCTTCTTTTTTTTTCGGTCTTCCTATTATTCATTAACTAATATCACGTGTATATATTAATAATATAATGATGCTATGAAGTTGATTGTTTACCACGCAAGTGATATCTTTACTATGATAACAATTTTTTATCGCAACCATTTATGTCGGGGGTTTTCAGTACGTGCAACAATAAAACAGTAATTTGGATTTTCGTTTGTTTACAAAACAGAATATAAGATAAAAATTATATTTTCCTGGTTTTACCGTTTTAATATAGAATATTAATTAATGAAGTAGTTATTAAAGATACAACGGAACATGATAACAATGATAATTTGTGGAAAATCCAAAATATTGTTGAAAAATATCGCTTTTTATGTATAATTTGAAACTATTGCCTGTATTCATAATCAGTTCTTAATTCCCTTCTTATATGACACTTTTAAAAGCAATGCTTATTATTAAGTATTCATAAAGATCAATAAGCAGAACTTTAACAAGTCACAAGTTTAAAAAAAGGGTAAGTTTTTTTTTTTAAATTGAAGTCTGGTAACTGTGGTTATATTATACTATCACATTATTTTTATGAAACGATAATAATGATAACACGTTTTATTATTTACTTTCTAGGCTGTGTTTGGCATATTTACTAATTTTTTTTTTATTTTTATAACTTTGTTCTATAAATCTATAACTATCATTATGGGTAAAGGACTAGCTTATTCTGAGCCAGAAAAAACTTTAATAACTGAACTTGTACAACAAAATAATGTGGTAGAAAATAAAAAAACAGATTCGACAACAATTCATCAAAAAAAATAAAGATTGGGAAAAAATAATTGTAGAATTGAATGCATCTGATAGTCATCCAAACGTAAGTTTAAACTAATAATTATTATCATATTACTATTCTATTATTTTATTTTACAGAGAACATTCCTTCAAGTAAAACAATGTTAGAACAATATAAAAAGAAAATGTAAATCAGAAATAACTACTCACAAACAAGCATTTTTAAAAACAAGAAATGGTTCATAAGTACTAAAATTGTTAGACAATGCAGCTATTAATAAGTTCGTGAACAAAGCAATTGAAATACCATATGCCATCGCAAGTCAAAATATTGGTCGTTCAATTTCAACAAATGGACAATTATTGTTTAATGAGTTTAATGTTCTTGACTGTAGTGACTAGTGATAATAATTTATTCGGTTCATATTAAATAGATATTTATAAATTATCATTGAATAATATAAAATTATTATCATACTTCAATTATTTTTTTTATTAGATACAAATGACAATTATGATGTAAATAAATTATGATTATAAAAATGTATGCCAAATAAATCCAAATTAATTTGTGTTAAACTTTGAGATATCAATACACAGAGCAATCTATCTAAACTATCTTACTGACAGGTCAAATATGGAGATAGGATTTTGATTTGGGCCAAGATTTAGTACCATACAATTTAAAGCTTTTGTTTTGCATAATAATTTAGTATTGGAAATGATAAATTAGGAAAGTGGCTGGTAAATATTCTAGTTTACCGTTTCTTAATCCAATAGAAGTTGGAAATTGAGAGAAAGTCTGGGGTTAATACCAAAATTTAACTTTACCACGTGACTTTGAACATGAATTTAAGATTAAAATATTGTAATATATGAATTGCTATGAACGATATAAGGTCTAGCAGAAACAGGCTTAGGTAAACATGTCTAATAACAATTAGGGCTATGAGCAACGGTCAGAGACGTATTTATAAGGGGAGAGCTGAGGAGGCTGCAGGAAATATTTTTTAAGTCTTATATATAAATCGTAAAAGTTAAATATAATGTTTTAATAACAATATATTCATGTAATGTATACATGTTACTAATGTGTCCGACGATTTTGATCGTAACAATCATAACTTTCAGCCCGCTACATAGTACTATTGATTTATGTATTTACGTAATTTTGACGTGTGGTATTGTAATTTTAATTTGTTTTATGGAGAATCGATTGACTGATACACGTGCGTCTCCGCATAGTCATCGTGCGAGCTAAAATTAATTCCGAAAAGTTTACTTTATTATCGCTGAAAAGTTGCGACGGCGACGACCGATAACACGATGGTCGGTTTTTGTCGTGTAGATTTTATCGTTTTTATAGTTTATTATTAAGTACTTTTTGTTGTCCTGTAAATACGTGGGCTAATTACCTGGAATAAATGACATGATATAGAAACAGAGTATGAGATTTGGAAAGCTAAAAGGAAAAATATTGAAGTAAACTAAAGGTCTGCAACTGCTATAGAGACTTTAAGTGTCTGTGATAATTTAATGTGCCCAAACATGTATGAGTTATTAAAAATACTAGCTATAATACCAGTATCCACTGCTACAGCTGATCGCGGCTTTTCGACGTTGAGAAGAATATATCTAAGAAATACAACCTCAGAATCTAGGCTAGTGGGACTAACACTTAGCAATTCGTCGAAACATTGACATACACGACGAAATGTTATTAGACAAATTTGACAACAGTGGCAAAGAAAGAAATTTAAATTTAATATAATTTGTTACATTAGCATTAATATTATTTTTATTATTTCATTATTAGTTTTGTGAAAACAGTAAGACTATAATAAAAATTAAAGGACCATCCAATTCGAAAAAATCAATAATTTTTTTATCACCATAATAAATCGAATAGAGTGTAATTAGGACAATGACTTAAATTCGTACGTGATTATTCGTTCGATAGTCACGGTGATTTTTGACATTTCGCGTGACGTTACGGATTCGTTTGCCGCGACGGCGGTCATAATATATTATACACAGCAATATTTATCTATTTTTGGTTTAACATAAAATATATCTAAATACGTCCCTGGCTACGGTGGCCGAGTGTGCATTGATCGGTTCAGAGCGACCAACGAAGCATATTAATAATTTGTATCTATTATTAATTTATTAATTAATTATTAATTTTACTTCTAATGGCCGTTATTTTTATGTGTGCTAATAATTTCGGGATACATAATTAACTAAAGTTTTTAAAAAATTAATATTAAATACACTCAGAGAAAGAACAGTTATCAAACTATTAAGATATAATAAACCATTTTGGATTCAGAAAAGCTAGAAAGATCAAAGATTTATAGTTGACACTTAAAATCTCAAAATATTAAATTATACCTTGCGCAGGCATTATTTCCACCAATGAATTAGTAATTTATGGAGCTAATTTTTAGAAAATGTTTACGGGAAAAAAATTATTCTTGGATCTACATGATAAATATTTTATTTCAACCGAGAAAATGAGTTCATGGATAACAATTTAAGAAATAATTCCTAGTAAATATTATTTCAGATAAGTTTTTATAAAAAGAGAATAATTATTAGTTGTTCACAGTTTTAGAGTATCATATCGCTAACATCAAGTATGAAGTATCGAAATCAAATTTATTAGTATCGCCCATCTCTAAATATTATAATTTATAATGTATTATTATGATAGGTATTTAAAATATATAAAGATTGAATTTATCTTATCAAATAACCAAAACCAACAATTATAACCAAAAAGAAAAATGTTTATTACAACCCGATCATAGTTTTAATTATTATGCACGATCTACACGATATAAAATAATACATAATATATAAATATTATTTTTTTATTTTATATATAAATATATAAAATAAAACGTGTTATTTTACTCGGTAGGCACATTATGTGTTTGTTATGATACGTACGGTCTATATAGAGACTCACAGTTTCCGTCTTGCTCATGCGATATTATATTATTAATTGTGCGGTAATTATGGTTTAATTGAGCAGTAGATTTGTTGTGATGAGATTGATTTTGTATCGTAGTAGAAGCAGAAGACGTTGGACAATCTATTTTTGTATTCGTTTCTTCGGGAGACCTGATATTCGAATTGTTCTGTAAATCGTTACTACCGGTACCACACGTTCGAATACTTATCGCTCCTCGTTTTTCCATCGTTGCATCGTTGTCCCTTGATGATATCTTTGCTTCTTGTTGAGCTTTTTTACTACGTTTCCATTTCATTCGACGGTTTTGAAACCAAATTTTAACCTACAACATTGAATATAAAATACGATTAAATTATGATAATTTTATTATAAGCTAAGAAGTTGTAGACGATAGCCATTTACAATTTAACCAGTAATCACAATATTAGGATTTTCAATAAAAAGTACCTTCCAAACTTTCCAATTACATCAGTAGCCTACCCATGGTGCGAAGTGTATACGGCTATACATGATTTTATATGAATATTAAACTAATACAAGCCTTTTGGATTCTAAATGGTGAGTATAACGAAGAAGTGACTACTTTCACGAGTTTTCTGAATAAATGTGAAAAACCGAAAAAAAGAAGGGAAACGGAAAAATGTACGAAATTTAAATATAAGTTTAAAAATTTTTACAGCTTTTAGATTCTGAGTGTAGCGAAGAATGTATTGATTATACTAAGATGTTAATTTTTTTTTTATTGTTTCTTTTTTATCCTGTGTACAACAATTCTACCAGAAACCTTGCTTGGATTTATACGCTCAGCTCCACTTCTGAAAGGGGATGTTGTCCAGATTCCGGATGGTACTTTTGGGAGATTTTTTTTTGATTTTCCAATCGATTTTCATTATATTTGGGAAAAACCAGAATATAATGTAAGAAAAAAAAAAAATTTACGAAAATAATGCTTTTATTATTTTTCAATTTTGTTTTTTGTTGTAATTCAGTTAAACATATCGTAGAGACATGAAATTTGGACAGACAATTTTTATTGCATTTTCTAGACGTGGTAAAATTTTCAAAAAATTTAAGTCATTTTTAAGCTATTTATAGACATTTTAATTTTGTGAGTTTTGCGCGTAATTTTTCATCTTGCTCCGATGTACCAAGTGTAGTTTATTTTCTGAAAGAAAATTTTATCTCAATAACTTGAGGAGGTAATTTTTCGATTTTCCTAAGAGTTTTCCCAGCAAATCTGAAAAACCGGGAAAAACATGGGAAAACCGGTAAAAACGCAAGAAAACGAGAAAATCGGTACAATTTAAAACAATTATTATTAAAGAAAATAAATAATGTTTATTTAATTATTTTACTATAACATATCAACTGAACTCTGCTCAGAATTGTTTTTTTGTTATTAACGGTTAATCGTTGCTAAGAGATTTACATAAAATTACCTAAAATAGTGGCTGCACCCATTCCTATTATCCTAGGATAGCTTTTTAAATTATAATATTGTTAAATTATATATATATATATATATATATATTATATATTATAATTTAGATCAATATAGTAACAGCTTTCAATTTTGATTTCCAGTGATGAGTCATTCAATTTTGGACCTTGATATCTCAGATTTGTGAAATATTTGGTATACCTATTGTATCTAACAATACTAATAAAACTGATTTTTTTTTCAATTTTTAAAATTTGTTTAAAAAAAAATTCTAAAAAAATGTTCTTGAAAATTCTAAAATATGACCCCTTCGATTTTTCTCAGAACAATATATGTTTTTTAGATACTAGTTTTCAACTTATATGCAACATTTCAGAATAGGATGACAATGGATTCTTGTATAAAAAAGTATTTAAATTATGTAAAATTACATTTTTTGGTTTCGAAAACTATGTTTTTGACAATAATTAATCCCAACAAAAACCCTCCTTAAACTACGTATAAAAACCTCATAAAGAAAAAATAAATCAAATTAGAAAAGTTGTGATACCTAAAAGGGCCTAAGTAATTTCTTAAATTCATTAGTATAAAAATTGTTTATAATTAGTTGTATTTGATGAAATAAATAATAACTAAATTCAAATAATTTTACTTAGCTTGGCGGCTATTAATATTTACGACTACAAATAAGTATACAATGCCGACATGAATTCTAGCATCCCCATTTTATAATTTATTAATATTATCATAATACTATTTAAGTACATTCTTTAAATAACCACTAAGTTAAGTTAAATTATTTATATTAAATTATTGCATTTCATCAAATACAAACAATTATAAACAATTTCTATAGTTATGAATTTAAAAAATTACTCAGCCCCTTTTTGATATCACCACTTTTTTAACTTGAGCGTTTTTGTTCTTAGCGACGTTTTTACACGTAATTGATGGAAGGTTTTTATTGGGATATCACTTATTTTTTTTATTAAAATGTTGGATATAGTATCCTGTTTTATTTTTATCGAGTGAAAAATTATGAGGGCAAAATATCTTTATTGTTTTATGGATTGAGTAAATGAATATATGATACATAGCTATGAATATAACTTATGGATATTGCTGGAAAACGATACTATAGTATAACAGCGATAAAATAAATAAACAAAATTGTTTTTTATTCACCGCAAACGGCCACCGTCGCAAACAGTTGGTAACATTAAGTACAACCTATACATTGTTGAATTGTTGAAAAAAAATAACGTTGAAAAATAATGTTAAAAATAACTCGTGATTAGATATTCGATTTTCCCATTGTCCAATCGCTTTTCATAGATCAGTATGGTTTTTAGGTGTAGAAAAAAATATCAAAATATCGAAAACCACTAGAAATTTTTTGTTTGTATAGCGTCCATAAAAAATAAACAGTGGTCAGTTTTTTAATTTTCCCATTTTCGCTTTTCACGCTACTAACCTATGAAAAAAAAAAAGGATATTCAATATCAGGTGTTTGACAATTATCGTGTGATATTATGATTGTTGATTTATGATCAACAAATTGTAAAATTTCATGAACAAATAATTTTGACTAGATATGTAGATATTTTGAAACATAGTGCGGAAGTTCGAGTGGATAATATTGAACTTAAGACCAGAATTTCTATCCAAGAAACCGAAAATTGTAATTTCCACATTATGAACTAAATAAGACGATTACGATTATCAAAGTAGATACTTTGTGGTCTGGTCACATTCTCCGTTATCGGCTGAGATGAGAAAATTTCGTTCGTCTATTCTACAGCAATTTTAAACTCATTCGTTTTGCAAAATTTTCTATACCATAGAGTTAATCCTCCAGGATGACTGTGACTTTTACAAAATACCAATAGATCAAAAATATCAACTAAAAGTGTAAAAGTCTTTGGCGGACCACTAGTAGTCAAATGTATTAATTATCTGTTTTTGTTATTGTTTTTTCTTTCTTATAAATAATCCGTGAAAATATCTTCAAAAAATACTTTTGATGTATCTATTATGAAGTTAAACATTACGAACTTAAAATGTATGTTAGGCAAAATTGTATTTTTCATTGATTAGTCAGCAACTATAGTACACATTTACTATATTATTTATTATTATTATTATTATTATTATTATTTAGTAGTATTTGTGTATACATTTAGTAACTTATCCTAACCTAAGTTATCGATAAACGGATCCTTACAGCCTTAAAATAGAAAAATATGACATAGACAATGGAATAGCTATCCATAAAAAAAGCAGTCCGATCACATGTTGTAGCTAACAATTTTGAAAGTATTTTTGATATTGCTAATTTTTGTCTTTTCCACTAAACATTTATATGATTTTTGAAACTGAACTATTATTCATCATGTGTTCGTTTTAAGTACAATTTATTTCAGTTTAGCTATGGCAGTAACCTCTTAGTTTTTCAACGATTAAGAATTTTAACTGCAACACATTATATTACCTACGCGTGTTTTAAGACCAGGTAATACATTATTTAAACAAATGCTTTACGTTATTTTCTACATAACTTTAGACTCATTCAGTCACAATTATTTATTTGTATTAATTAACTAACTTTACGAGTGTAATTTAAATTGGTACCTTCGTAGGTAAAATGAATGCACCATTACATAATATTAAGCTCAAGTAGGTAGAACAAGGTAGTTTATTTATTTTTTGAATTCAAATAAATAATCTCTCCAGCAACAGTGATCAAGGAGATGATATGAGATTTATTTAAAGGAGATAAAAGTAACTTATATGTACATAATAATTTTATTGTGACATCAACAATTATTTGCGTCTGTTTAATTTAAACAAAACAAGCATTTTTATTTTATAATTTTAACTAAAACTTTACATAAATAATATTTTTATTTACTTATAAATTTAATGTATTATTATGATATTAGATATTATACCATGTTATCATGCTAGCTATTGTAAGATCTGACTAAAACTGAATTGTATTTGGACAATAACAGCTAATACAATAAATAGATGCGGATAGAAATTTCGAACGGTTAGGTAGAAACGTGTCAATAAAATGCTAAAAGAGATTTTTAAATATTTCATAACATAAGTTTAAAATCCTTATATTTCTCATCCAATTTTTCAAAATAATATTTCAACATTTTTAAGCCACATAACAAGTACAAAATACGATAGACTATACGATTAGATTCTTCGAGTAATTTAACGTTAAACTATTTACCTACCTATAACTATAAACACAAACTAACTACAGTAATGGTTTTCATATTTTATTATTCTGTTCTTATATATTAAATTACGATAACGAATAATATAAATATGTAAATTTAAATATCATACTTGGGTTTCAGTAAGCATTAAATTTGTAGCCACCTCGAATCTCTTGGGTCTGGACAAATATTTGTTTTGTCTGAATTGTTTTTCTAACTCTAGGAGCTGTTGGCTAGTGAACGCAGTTCTTGGTCTTCTTGTCTTTCCTAATAATGCGTGTGGGTGTGGACCTGGAAACATAATCAGTTGCTTAATTATATGTGAACTTACAAATAAATTAATATATATATTTGTTTATATACACACGTATTTAAGTATTGATTCGCTTATTTTATTATTTTACGTGTTCGTTACGCTTATTACTACTTGTACGTATTGAATGAAAAAAATAAATGTGTCTCCCCGTACGCATCTCAGGTAACCACCGTTGTTTTCAAGTAATTTATTTTTAAATAGGGTACTTTCTTGCAAGTGATAACTAAATTAACTAATAATAACAACTTTTCTTCATCCTTGTCGCTAAGGTAGCCCATAAATCAACAAAGACAAATTCAATTTCTGTTCCGAAAATACCAAAAACCCCGTGTGTTTGGCTGACTTCTTTAGGGGTTGAATTTCGAAAATCTGGTTTTTAGGTATCTCGTCTACACCCATTGCACTCCACTGTTTTAATGTTATGATACGACCCCGTGCAGTATTCTTTTTTATAATTTTCTCATTATGTCAAATGAATTATTAATCACTAATCAGTTAACGTCAGTGGCACATTTAAGGGGGGGGGGCAACTAGGACAAAGGCCCCAGGCGGGAAAATTTGTATAGTTTACCACTACATATAATTGAAATCTTTCTTTATTGTCTGATATAATAATTATACAAAATACAAATAAAGATTATAAAATAAACATGATTATTGATTATAAACGATTTTCATACAAATCTATAAGCGGCACGGGATTGCGAAAATCACAGATATAAATATCTATGATTTATATAAATATATAATATATATGACCTGTAACGGCAATTTCATTTTATTGGCTAATACAAGTTAAAAATAACATAATATCCATAAATATTTTCAGGATCACCGACCGCCGGACGTCACGAACCACTTTTATTTTATTTTTGTCAATCTACTAGTTACTTATATGAGTGTTATGTGTAATGTATTGACTATGCATACGGTCATTTGACGCTTACTATTAATATTTTATTTACTCTTTAGTGTTTTTGTTTATAATTCGTTCTACTTTTAAAACTAGTATTTGGTTTTCCAATATCCCTTTTATGAACTACAACTTTAGATCTAACTGGTATTTGTTAAGTACAATATTATACATTTATCTATGGTTCTATGCACTGTACGTGATTAAATATTATAAATTATATTTATATTATAGTATATAATATATATATATATATATTTTTATTATATATAGTAATCTATATTCTGTAATAGATTATACATGGATTTTCAATATGGAAAAAAAGCTTAGTGGTTTAGGATATAGAATGCATGCAAAAATTAAAAAATTAAAATCTGTTGCATTAATTAAGAATTGTAGAAAACTAGATGGTATGTTCAAGCCATCAACTAATGCAAGTAAGTTGTTTTTATTAAATTACAAATAACAACTTAGTATTTCAAATTTTCAAATTTAAATTTGTTTTATAATGCATCTTACTTTGTATCTAATTAATTAGTTGAAGTTATTTAGTTAATAAAAACTAGTGAACTTTTAGACTAATATTTTGAATTTGTATTAGTATAATAAATTTTGATAATAATATTAAATTGAATCTCGAAGAATTAGAGATATTAAACCTACCAACATAAATAAATATGAACCTGAATTATTCAAATATAAACAGTTCTGAACAGTACGAACCTACGAAAATTAGTGAAAATATTGAGACAGAAAGTAAATTAAAAATGTAACTATTTTATTTTTGCAATTAAATAATTGTATTTTATTGTTTAATAGATAGTGTTTCTGAGATAAATGCTGATATATTGTCATCTAAGTACAATTAAACTGCTGATGTCTTGTTTGAGCCTAATGATGTCATGGGTAAATTATTTTATATTAATATTTGAATAGTTACTTGTAAGATACCTAAATTATTTTAATCTAAATAATAACACAAATACTATTCTAATATTTGTGTGTACAAATTTGGTAGGTGTAATGAAATAGTTATAAAGGAATTAAGTGATTAAATAAAAATTATATAATTATTAGTTTTATTTTAGAATAACCATGTTCAGTGCCTTTCGTGTCTTCATAATGCTCATACCAGTCACTTAATTTTAGTATTTATATAGTAAAGTATTATAGTTGTTATTTTTTATAGACGTGATACTGCTTTATGAAAAATAAACGGATTTTCTCAAGATAAAAATGATTTAAATTTTACCAAGTTTAAACGAGCAAACTACCACACAATGGAAATTCTTTAAAATATCGTTAAAATATTCTTGCAATGAAAAACTGAGGACAAACACTTAAATAATAATAGTGTACAACAAATAATACAACAAATTTAAAATGAACGTATGTACTGGACCAATGTTTTAAAAAGAGTAGTTGCAATTATTAAAACATTGGCATCAAGAGGTTTAACATTCAGAAGACATACTTCAAAAATTGGACGTCAACTTAATGGAAACTTTATGATGGCACTTGAGTTATTAACTGAATGTAACTATTTTGTTTCAAACCATATTTCCATAAACGGTAATATTGGTAAAGGTCATACTTTTCTTAGGATAAGGTTTGGGAATACCTTACGAAGTTGTAATAAATCCTGGTATTTAAATTTTAAATGGTTAGAATATAGATCCAAATTTGATCGTGAATATTGTTCTGAATATATTGATATAGCATTTACATAAACGGGTTTTAAAAATTGGAATAAAACTAGATAGGGCACCTTTTTTCCTTTTTGAAATGGGTATTTTGTTTGTTTCTTATAGAAAGCTTGAGGAACCGTTTAACCAAATGTGTCTGATTTAATGAGCATCGCCGTTAGTGGCCCTCCAATTGAAGATATAAATTTAAGATCAATAACCGTGAAAATTCTAAGTAGACAGACACTGCTGAATTTTAAAATCCACTGATTTTAATTTACTGAGTTTAAAATATAATCTCTTAGTTGAATTCATTACACAGACGAGTAAAAAATGAAATATCAGTGTCAGGTAAATAATATCTCATACCGAAGTGACATAGGTCGGTATAATTAACATTATTTTCCAAATGGCAACTTATCGTAGTAATTCGCCACCCACGAATACATGACGATTACGCGGCGGCATTATCACGGTAATGCATTATTTCGAACGTACAAACGACGGTCACATTAATTTCGAACCTTCCCGCGCATTATCATAGAACAATAATAATTCAAGGGGGCGAAAAAGGTCCTGTGCTTCACAAAGAGTCCCGTATATTATACAATTTCACTTGTAAATATAAGTAACTATATACCTAGTATAGTAGTATTATTTGTATAGGTCTAAAATGTAATTGCATTACATTACATAATATATACGACACGGAAACCTTTTTGAACCGTCCGACGACTATCTCGTTAAGTCAAATAATTAAGTCGGAAACGTCATTATACACAAGTATGGACTCCGTGGAAACTGCAGGCAATTTACCGGGAATTTCCGATCGTGGCGAAAATTCGAGCAGGCTACATCAAGTTTCCACCAAAATTTAAAAGTGTAGGTTAGTTTTATTTTAAACATCATTAAATTTATAATACCTCTATCAGGAGGGCGGTCCTTAGTTAAATAAATAATATTTTTTGAGAGTCGTTTAACATGTTCTTATAACATGTTCTTTTTCAAAAATTTCCCTGTGACAAGGAATCATAGTATCATGTCAGGTCAACGTCAGTGAAATATTTTCATAAAGTATATATGAGGAGTTCTAAACAAAACCTTTGCCTCTGTGCTACAGTTACAGTTAGAAAATATTTGGTGGTTGAATCTTTTGATTGTCCTATATTTTCTACAGTTGTTTGAAGTTTTTACAAATGTAAATATTATAATAAATTATAAAACAAAATAATGTTTACATTTGTAAAAACTTTAAAACATTTTAGAAAATAAAAGTTTTTACCACCTACAATTTTCTAAAATCTATTATACAAAATAGCCATAAGGGAGGAGTTTAAATAATAATAAACAAATTTTCATTTTCATTATTTTTATTTATTTCGTAAAATAAATGTGTTAATAAAAAAATGTTTTTTATTTTTTCCATAAGCGTAAGAGGAGACAATGATTTTTAAAACTAAACCTTTCATAAAAATCGCAAGCAAAAAAAATGCTTATATTTTTGAAGATAGCATGAGTCCCAACAATATTGATAGGTTCATTGTAGTACTTTTTCTGAATGGAAATCTGACTTTGGAAGTACTGTAGGGGGGTTTGATTTGCTTAGAAATTTTCCCAATAAATGAAAAAAACACGGAGAAACTCGGAATAAAGGAAAATAAATACAATATGTATTACATAACAGCAATACATTGTGCATCAATTATTTTGCTAGTTTCCATAAAAAATATACTTACGCATAATAAATTGCCTAACGATCGAATAAATAATTATTTGTATTATTTTAAACTTGAATAACTATTAACTACTATACAATAACATTTAATTAAAAAATGAATAAATATTTCAAAATAATATAAGATAAGTATTCTTCTTTTAAGTCGTCGCCTTTTATGTATCGAACATAGACAAGTAGCTGGGAACAAGATGCAACGTCGGTTGACTCATGTAACTGTAATGTGAAGAAATGACTTGACCTTATTTCATTGAGCACCGTGTCCAAAATATTCTTGCTTATATCCTCGATACGATTTTTGATAATGTTGTAAGAAAGTGATATCTTATTTATCTTTCCAAAATGTTGCTCTCCAAGAACGAGCTTAACTGTATCTAGTATAGAAGGTTTGATGAGGTTTCTTGTTTTTTGCAATCCGAAGAACGATGCAATACTAAGCTTCAAGACCAATTTCAGTTGACTGAAAAAAGTAGCCAGATGAATCTACATGCACATTTTTTAACGCAGCTTCTTTACGTTTGAAAAATGCAATATCTTTTTCTACAAACTGGGAATGACTTCTCTTAAAATGTTCTTTTAATTTGCTCAGTTTCATAATTTCTGCTGTAATCACTTTATTGCACAGAATACATTGGGACTTATCAACACTTTTATCAACAAACTTAGTAAAACCCCATTGTAGAAAAGATATTTTGTAAGATCATTTATTCTCCTGTGACGTGGTTCCTGATTTAAAGGAAAATTGTCAAAAACCAACATAATAAGGAATAAAATTATTTCACTCACATGTTCTTGCTTCACGTCAAAATAATCAGAAAATCAACAAAACTGGTCGTTAGTGGATAGCGTATACAAGTACAGTGTACACTAATAAATGAACGATGAACGACGAACAACTAGTTAAAATTATTAAATTAAATATTGATAAAATTGTATATTAATGCGATATAAAATGTGTAATTATTATAATACAAATAATTCCAAGAAATTCTAGATAATAGAATATTATAAATATTATTTGAAGGTAATACAATTATCAGTGTCATTTGGACATAAGATAAAGTAATCCCTAAAACTATTAACAACAATTATATTATTACAAAATTACTTTTGCAACCGTAATACACATGATTGATGAAGATATAATAATAATAGATATAAAGTACATAAAACAAAAAAAATAGTTTAATTTATATCCCTCAAAAAATCGTGTTTTACCCCTTGGGGGGTAATTATCTCCAGGTTGGGAATCGCTGATCTAGTAGGACAAAATGGAAGTAGATTTTGTTTTATAGTAACTAATTCAGAGGAATTGTAACATGGCAATGTTGTTCATATACTGCAGTTAGTAGTACAAAACTATGGAATAGCAGTTGATTTATATTGATAATTTATATATTACTAATATTAATATTCATAACAATTTATTTTACTGGGCACCTGCCAATTTTGGTTGTAATTAATCTTAATTACAACTAATAAAACAAATTTATTTGAAACTTGAACGTATATCTTAAACTTACTTCGTTGGGTATAAGTTCTTGAATTTCCCCTGGTGTTTTCGGTTTGAGAAGACTGATATTTGTTTGGGGATTGGGAACAGCCATCGCAGGTGCGTGTAACGTGTTTAAACAATTAAACTTAGTAAATATTACAATATGAATATATTATATTATATTATATCAATGTTACTGTGAACTGTTACAAATTAATAATTATACACTTATACTGTATTACGCGACAGTGTACTCATTAAAATAGTCGTAATCAGTAATCATTAATCGCCATTCGGAACCTAATCGTAAACGACGTAAACTACAAAAACCTATAAATAGTCTAATGATATTGGAATAATAAACAATATGGTATGTTGTGAGAACACTCCCCGGGACTGGAGGAATTTCCCAATATAATTTGATAAAGCAAAAGCACTCCGACAGAAAATGTCGATCAAAATTACTCAATATGTTTATATGCATTAATGTTAAAATAATAAATAATAAAACGATAATAATAATTATAATACGCACATTCATGAAAATGAGACCAATTTTGAGTACGTAAACTTATAAATCAAACGTTATTTACGTTTGTATACCCTTTAATTTTAATGCGGTAGGGAGGTAGTGGGGGCAAATTATACTTTTTTTTAAAAAAACCACGTTGGGTTGGTAACAGAGAAAAACCAAATGCATTTTAGATGCATCTAGAGACCCAAGCAATATAACATAAATAATATTGAAAAAGCAATACTATTCGCAGAGTTCTATTCAAAATCGTTTTTCATTAATAATAAATCTTCGCTTACAAATATGCATTTTTTCCAGATATTATGGAACCAGCTTGAAATATAAAAAATTACCTCCCCAAAAGTTTGCCCAACAAATCAGGGGGGGGAGTATATTTCGATTACAAACGTCTGAGCGAGCGATAGCTAGGTCTTTAGGTACACTTAAAATGCATTTGTTTTTTTCATTTTTGTGTAAAAGGGAAAAAATAAGTACAACAAATGTTTTCGAAACATGAATATGAACCAGCCATCCCTAGAATGACAATGTGTATGTATAATCATTTGGCTACGAAAATCGTACTCTGGAGAAGATAATACATTATAGTTATTTAACATAACATATAATATCCACATACTATCAGAACTTCAAAAACCTATAATTTCAAAACTTAATCCGCTCAATTCTGTCTTCACCATCGTTCGTAAATAGGAAATAGAATACTACTTTAAACTCAATTTTTTTTTTTTTTACCACAAATTAGACTCTAAAGGCCATTTTATCAATCTCCAATTAAGAGAATTTATACTCCATTTAATGTTAATCACTAGTTAAACTAAAAATGTGATTTTATTATCACCCGGTTAACATTTTAACCGTACTTTAATAGTAGATTAGTTAAATCGAGATAATGGCCCGATTAAGGAGTTTAACTAGAGATCAGGTACAATATTATCAGTAAATATCATGTGATAACTGTTTATGTGATTTTATTAATTTCAAATGATTTGATTTTTTTTTTTTTTTGACTTTCATTGACTCTTTTTAATTAACTGAATGTAAGTATCTACCAATTTAATTTAAAAATTATCTAATTTGTTTTATTATTTTCCTACCTATTTGATATTTTCACAACATTACATAAAATCAACGACTCAATTCTAGATGGATTATAGCAGCAGTAGTGACAGTAGTAGTGATAAGGAAATTTAATTTTTGAACCAATATTTTAACAATGTTGAGATTTTCGATTTATAAAAAGTACATTTAAAATTGTACTAGAAATGGTCCAACAAGAAGTGAGATTTGTTACACAAAGGTAAAATAATATTTATTTAACCGACTAATAATTAGTATTAATAATTCAGAATCTATACAATTGGCGGATCGCTCTCGTTTTGTTTTGAAACTTTTTATGTATAATATATAAAATGTGTAAAGAATAATATACCAAAATTATTATTTTAAATTTATTAAAATTATTATACAGTATTATTTTGTGATAGCAAATAATAACTCACTGATTGGAGTAAGCAACATATTTAACTAACGTCTATTAATGTTTTTCTGTAGTGAATTAATCTTCAGTTTGTTGAACCTAGATTAGTTAATCTGAGAATAAAAATAATTTATAAAATTATAATTTGTTCAATCTACCTACAGTCAGTTTTAATCTGAGTTTTGTTAGTTAGACATTTAACTGACGATTGATAAAATGGCCCTTAATGAACCTTCTGTTAAATTTTCAAGCATTTCTGTTAAGATAACAATTTTATCACAGTGTACCTACCGAATAAAAATTACGTACAAAACTGGCCGTATTAAAATGTTTATAAATAGCTCAAAAATGGCTTGAATTTTTTGAAAATTTTACCACTTTTAGAAAATGTTAATATATATTTTTTTCCCAATTTTAATTCCATAGAGTCATATAAATATTTTTAACTGAACTACAACAAATAACAAAATTGAAAAATAATAAAAGCGTTATTTTCGTGAATTTTTCATTTTTCTTATGGTTTTTCCCAGATAGTATGAAAACCACTTAGAAAATCAAAAAATGACCCCCCGAAAGTACCATCTGCACAATATTTCCTTTTAGAAATGGTGTATATATCGGATAAAACTTTCAGGTATAATATTTGTACACAGTATAAAAAATAAAAAAAATAAACATCTTAGTAAAACTAACATATTTTTCGGTACACTCAGAATCTAAAATAATATATTATTTTTATAAAAAAAGAGCGGGAAAAATAAGTACAAATATTAAACAAATATTAATATAGAAAATGTTTACTGCATATGTAATTATTTTACAATAATATAATTTATATATATTGGTGGCGAAGCAACACTATCCGCTAACAACACTGCTCAGAATCGTTTTTCCTTAACATTAAATTCCTGTTTGTGTCCATTTCCCATCTACAACATTAGCTGCACCCACGTGCGAAGTATGTCCGTTTTTTTATTATAGTTATGTAGTAATATTGTAATATTTTAGTTAACTTTCTTTTTATTAGGGACGTAATTGGTATGTACTTTTTTTTCACTCAGGATGGAATTGGTATAATAAAATGTTATTAGGACGAAACTCAGATGAAGCCCAAAATTCAATAAAAAAGGTCTCTTTTAATGTTTATTATCACCAGAGGTTTTCATAATAAATGGAAAAAACGTAAGAATAACGAGAAACTATATATGAAATGTATTTTTGTCAAATCGTAAATATTACGGCTTTTCAAAATATGTATAATCAAACTTCGTTCAAAATCTTTTTTCGTCAACGTTGATTAATCTTAACGTACATTAAATTTCTCCTCTACCTTCCCAACTTGTCACCTATACAACAGTGGCTCACCCATCGTCCGTTTTTTTTTTAATGTCTTTGTTAACCACATTTTTACCAGAAATCTTGCTCCAATCATAAACTTTATTTTCATAAACCATTTTTGATGACTGAGGAGGTAATTTGTTGATAAATGGGAAAAACTGGTACACGATTTGTTTATTTCCGGGTTACCAGGTTTTTCGTTAAAAATGGTTTATCGTGCTGCACAAAATATGTATGTAGATTTAATTGTGCTATCCTCCCTTCACACTTCCTTCTAAAACAGTGACACACCCATCAGCAGTGTCAGCATTTTGTTTATCACGAACGCTATCTATAGAAATCGTTATACATTTCTTACGTTGCGTTATTTTCGATTAAATCGCCCCTTGATTTAAAGGGGCGCTGGGAGGATGAAGTCCCGCTTCTTTTTTTTTTTTAGTGTACCCATTCTATTTTTTTTGAAACGGAACGCTAGGAACGCAACATTTATTAATGAACTTGTAAATCGTTAGTTTTTCTGATACAAAATAGCTATAATATTTGAGCGTACTTTGTACAAAAAACAATGATATAAAATACATACATTTCTTCATAAAAAATTGTATTATGTAAACGATTAAAGATATAACTTTTTATCTTTAATCGTAACCATGTATCACAAAATAAAAACGATAGTTAGAATTTATGACCACAGACCATTAAGGCCAATTTTCATAATACCGCTCATAGGCTTCTGAAAATGTATAATGTAATGAATAATATAATAATATACTTGTAAAACAAATTTAATATTGTTCTGATGTGATAGGTGACTGGACGGGGGTGTGGGGGGCGAAGCCCCCTCAGTAATGTGAGTGTTAATTTTGTCTGGAACGCTTGTTCATACAACATCCACTCAGTCCTTCTTCTAGGTTTTTTCCAAATCAAGCACTTATTATTATTATTTTCTCTGTTTTACCATTATAGAAGCGCATTTTTGCAAGCAGCTAGCAAAATTTGAAATGGCGACATTTTGGTAATACGTGTATCTTAAAATATGGCGGCAAAACTGGGAAAGGAAAAATTTGGAATTTGTAATTCATTCACTTTATAGACGTATATAATGTACACTATGTCCAAGTATTGACTTTTCAAGTTGTACCGCGTTCCTATTTTTCCTTGTTCGCGGTTTTTCGAGTTTTTGAATAATTATAATATACCAATTTCGTATTATTTCGTGTTAGTTTAAAACTCGCCAAAACGAATTTTTAGCGGGCATGTATAATATTACAATATAGCCGTCCTCCACCTAACGGAGATTTTCGAACGCAATAATAGCCGCAGTTATAGTTTATGCTCGACATGAGGCGACGGTGCAATCGATAACGACGCGCGGTGTGCAGTTGCCGGAGAGGTGGGGGGGTCAGTGTGTTTATATTATTACTGCTATTATCATACACGTAATATATATATATATATATATATATTATAAATATATTTATATATGTGTATATATATACCGCGTGCTGCAAGTGACCGGGACCGACGGCGACACCGCGACGAACAACCACATGCCGCGAGTAAACATCGCGCGCACAGGATCGGGCCAGATGACGTCCCATTGTGACCCCGGCGGCGGCGTTGATGGCGCGGAGCGAGAGGAGGATAATAATATGCGTGCGCGACGACGCCGCCGCCGCTCGTTATTATTGCTGTCACCACCGCCGCCGCTCGTAACACGCCTTGAGGTGCCCGGGCTTTCTAATCGCGGCACCCTATTTTTATTATTATTATCGTTTTATACATTATATGATTTGTGTTTATCCGGGAATTAAATTATCATAACAATGGCAACTCCACCGCCGCCGGTCGCGAACAAATGGTTAAACGTTTAGTCAATGTTGTCGTTATCTATTAAACACCCGCCTACCACCAACCCACGACCCCACGGTTACCGGTTTTCGTCTCGGGACCTCGTGTGTTTTAAGCCGCTACTCGCGAGGATCGCAGGCGACTTTACTGACGACGACGACGACCCCTCGGCCAATTAATATATTATAGAACTCGTCGCCTAATTGCGACGCGGACGACAAAAACAACGATGTCATGAGTCAGCGTGAACAACAATAATACGGCACAACGTTCGCGGGACACAAAGAGGCGTGTAATATTATAGTCGGGCTTTAATACGTAATAATTGGAGAGGTCAATGAATATAGGTGTTTTCTTTTTTTTTTTTTTTTCAAAATTGATGTATTTAATAAATCTATTTGTTTTGACGTAATAAAAACTAAGTACGTGAAGTCTTAGAACAAACAAAAACATACATTTATGGACATAATAAATTGATGTGTTAAAAATGGGACGGGTTTGATACTCCCGATTTTGATAAAAGTGAAACGGATAATAGCAAAAAAAAAGGTCATTCCAACTTACAAAATGTATATAAAAACCAAACGTTTCACGTCTTTTTCTATCATATGTGAAATATCGATTTTACACCAATGGCGATTTTACTACAAACGTGTTACCGTAACCGAAACATTTTACTTTGCATAAATTAAAATTTTTTTTTTTTTTTTTTTTTATTAGAAAAGAAATACACAATCTGTAAATATATTTACAATAAGTAATTGTGATGGTTTTTTTTTTTTTTTGACTAACTGATGATAATTGCCTTTAAAGGTTAAGTAGGTCACGTGGCCATTTACGTTTGAGGCAGCGGATAGGGTTATCTGGGAGTGAGAGAGAGGAGAGGTTAGAGATGAGAGGGTTAGGATGATTAATGGTATTTTTATGAAATTTTTAGTAGTGGTTTGACGCTATTTCAGAGATAGTTGGAATTTTTTGATCCTTATGTAGAGTACGATTGCTGACATAGCAGGGAGAATTGGTTAAGAGTCGGAGGTTGATGGATTAAAAGGCTTGGAATTTATTTAAGTTAGAGTTCTTAGAGGTTCCCCAAATTTGAATGCCAAAGGTCATTGCAGATTGAATGATTTGTTTGTATATGAGAAGTTTATTGTTAAGAGAGAGGTTAAAACGCAAGAGCTGCCTGAACTTATGGAGTTTTAGATTGAGAGAAGATCTTTTGTTTTTTATGTGGGCAGCCCAAGTTAGTCTTTTGTCAAGATGAAGACCAAGGTATTTTACGGAGTTTTGTGTTTGAATTGTTTTGTTGTTTAGTATTAATGGTTGACTGTTTTTAAGACCAAGAGTAAATGTAATGAACGTTGATTTATTTTCATTGATTTTTATTCTCCATTTATGGAACCAGTGTTGTAGAATTACTAGGTGTTCTTGGAGGTGGTTTGTAGCAATTTGAAGACATTTGTTGGATGTCAGAATAGCGGTATCGTCGGCAAAGGTTTAGTTATATTTTTATCATTACGAATTAGAATATTTTTAAAACAGTAGCAGTGGAACGCGGTGGTATAGTAAAACGTTTTTGATTTTTTCCAAAAATATATGTTTCTAAGGTTAGCGTAACTGATCATCTGAAACGTTACAAAGGGTTTTTTGAAATAATCGGAAAACACCCGAAAGAAAATTAAGTATAGGTAAAACGGCGAATATTTACGGCGCGCCGCGACATTACTGTTTTCATTGTTTTCACTGTGTTTACACGATATTTTCTACTAGAAATATTGCTCTAATCCAAAAATGACAATCAAACGATTTTGTCCCTATTAATATTTTGCTACTGACAGAGTAAGTCGTTTTTCGATATCCTAAATAGTTTTTGTGATAACTAGGAAAAACCAAAAAATTAAAATTGAATAATACATATTTTCAGCAACGTAGCATCCCGGTTTAAACATTTTAATATATTCACCTAATATTTCCTATCAAAAATATTACTCAAATCGAAAAATAATAAAAGATCGATTTTGTTTCTTATAATATTTTGTTACTGACAGAGCAAATCGTTTTTTGACAATTTAAAGTTTTATAATTAGGAAAAATCAAAAAAGAAGAAATTTACGATTTTTTTTTCAAATAACGACACAACGATTTCATTATTTTAAATTTTAGATTCTCAGTGTAGCGAAAAATATATGTATTGGTTTTACAAAGATGTTTATTTTTTTATTATATTTTCTTTTTTATACCGTGTACAAAATTCTNGATGTAAACTTTATAGACTCTTTTATGAAAGAAAATTTTCTTGGGATGATACTTAAAGAAGTTAATTTTTCGATTAAAGAAAATATATAATGCCTATTTAATTATTTTACACAATATTACATATATAATGTTGACAAAGCATCATTATCACTTGAACTCCACTCAGAATCGCTTTTAGTAAGTAATGGTTTATTGTTGTCTACAGATATACATTAAATTCCCTTCCCTATCCTACCTTTCCAATTTTTTACCAACGATAATACGAAGTATGTCCGTCTCTTTTAATAAAATTTAGTTTGATGTATTCATAAAGACTTAAAATGTTAACAGAAAACTCAATTTGATTTTCCTAGACATGATAACATTTTCAAAACATTTGGATTCATTTTTGAGCTAATTTTAGATAATTTGTGAGATTTGTACGTAATTTTAATTCGGTAGGTGCTGTGTGGATAAAATTGTTAGACTAAACAGAAATAATTGAAAATTTAACAGGGGGTTCCTTAGATGTCGTATTTCGTGATCAAAAAAAAAAAAAAAAATTGAGCTTTGTATCGTATTTTTTTTTATAAAGGAATTTTATTATCAAATTTCGACAAAAATCGTTGGAATAAGAAATTATGTGGAACAAATTTTTTTTTGTTTTGATCTCATGTATCCATATTGCTGATTTAAGAACGATGGTGAAGTCAGATGTAATTGAACTAAATTAGTTTCAAAATCACATTTTTTTGAAGTTCTAATACTATATAGATGTTATATTTGTTATGTTAAATAATTCAAAATTGTTGATTAATTATGTATGTATTTATGTATATATGCATGTTATTATCTAGTGGTGGTATGTAACTGATGTCGTCCCAGGGGTCGCATGTTCAATCACGAATTCTATAAATATTTTTTGCAAAATCACGTGGAGTAGGTTACGGGGAAAATAAAATTGTATGTAATATATTTTTTGTTTTTATAATTTTTAAAATAAAATTTTGATGAAAATCGTAAATATTACGGCGTTTCAAAACATGCATAAATATTTGCCAGTTTATGAATTCAACATACAGCAATTAAATTTCTACGTATCGGAAATTACTACTATAGGAAAATAGTCTCCGAAAATTACAATTATTATCGTAGTTTTTCGTGATTAATATTTATTATTTTACAAAAACTGTTGGGAATCAAGAAAAATAGTTTGAAAATATACTAGTGGGTGAAAAATTCGAGATACTGGAGTTTTGGAGAACTTTTTAAAAATTGTACTAGCCAAAAATGTGGTCACAACACCGATCTGTAAAACCAAAAATAGACAATTCCGCATTTATAGTAATAAAATTTATTATGATTATTTACTACATTATGGTGTAGACGATGCCAACCCTACATTGTACTGAACGTGGCGCCATAACATAAAATGCCGTTGTTGGGCGCGGGCATGTGGTCAAAAAAGTCTGGTGGCCTTTGCGCTACGTTACGGTCCGGTTGTTCGTACCGGGTCCAGTCGTATATCCTGCGCCGCCGGCACTCGCTCTGGACCTTTTTGAACAGGCGCTTGTCGATAGCGTCTCGGAGTGGTTTGAGTGGCTGCGCGGGTGGTGACCTTGTGAACGGTGGCACCAGCTGCCCGGTGCTTAGCAACATCACCAGGCACGTCAGGTACATGGACCGCTCGGACAGCTCGTCTTCGTCCGACGTCATTGTTTCCAGCGTTCCCAGCCACATCATCACCTTCCTGCGGTCCTCGGGTGACATGTATTGCGCCAACGCCTTGGCCGCCTGCCTGTCGCACGCGTAATGTTGTTCCGGTTTTATGCAACCGTTCGGCACACAGCTGGGCGGGTCGCACTGGAACACGTCCGCAAGCCACCGATCGTCCGTCACCGAGCTGAACGCTAATGCCGGTGACCGTTTGACGCATATCCTAGTGGGCTTGGTCGAGCTCGACGATGGCCGCCGTGTCGTATCCGCCACCTCGGCCAAATTCCCGCTGTTGGTCGCCTTCGAGTCAGCTTTTTGATCTTGGGAATTATTTGACTTGCTCATCGAGTGTTTTTTCGGATTATAGTATGTTGTCTAATAACGACGAGTATGCAGATATAAAGGTATAAAGTTGTTAAAAATTATTATCGTATTTATCGTGTCGTGTATGTAATAATATTATTATTATTATTATTATAATTTCGAGGAAATTTTGTCGAGATGGGTGATCGCGATTCGTTGTATTCCAAAAATATACTATGTTACCGAGGCGACGGCGTGCACATTTTTTCACTTATCATTATAACAATCGTATTGGCCAGTCTCGTAAAAATTGCTACTGACTGCAAACCAAAAACATTTGTATACATTTGTATCATAAGTGTGTGCAAATTCTCTTTTCAGAGGAAGCAATGGCCTTTAAATTATAAATAAGCCTTAAACAAAATTACAAAATAATAGACACAAAAAGCACACATATTGTTTGAAGGGGCTAAGCCCACGTAATATTGATTATGTATACATAGTATTTACTTGATATGGACATGATTTTTATGGGAGTTAGGCTGAGATGGTGGTTAGGCTTGGTGGTTTACCAAGCTATCTTTATTTGCGCTAATTCATAGAATCTTAAGAGAAAAATGTTTTCAAAAATTCATATATATAAAATATTTTGCTTTTAATACTTTAGTGGAAAATCTCATATGGGAATCAGCTGCCTCTCCTACCTCTTCAATGTGCACAATTATGATCTGTATACTACTAAATTACTAAGTACGCCCATTTTGATTCTGGGGTTATTATATTATAATAATTCGCTGCCTCTTCAAATTCTGGTCACGCCTATACGATGTTATCTCTATATTATATTGTATTATAAATTTATTACGTAGGTATCCATCATTATCAATATACTATGGTGTTTTCAGACAGGAGTGCACATTGTTGATGTTGACGCCCCGAACGTTTAATTTCGTTTTTCAATAACGACAATAATAAAATATTCTGCACCGTATTACGAGCTATAGCGCACATGTCATCGCCTATATTCTACTATAATTTAATTGTGGTAATTTTATTTCTTGCTTACAGATTAAATAATATTTTATATATATATATGAGAATGATGGCATAATTGATAGGCGGGGGATGTAATTTAGGACGTTTTCCCAAATGTTTACAAAGAGCAAATTGTCCGCATCTGTTGAACGTTTTTTTCTACCGGGTTTCAAAGCGATATAAAAAGGGCGACGGAGAGTAGGAGGATGACGACGTCCGGGAGAGAGAACAAATAAAACTGGTCGCTCTGCACGGAGCAAAAAGCCATTTAGAAGACGAGCGGGGAGGAGCGAATCCGGACAACGGCGGCGGCGGGATTGCCTATTTAATTTAATCACTTAGCCTTTGCCGCTTACGAACAGTCACAACATCAACAGACCCTGAGGGGAAAGGGGAAGAGAGAGATAAAAGAAATTAAAAAATGTCCAATACAACCAGTATTAGACAACGCCGCGTATATTTGAAAATATTATATCACACCTATTACAGGTACTATTATTCTGTAGGGGTGGGAGTGACATTTTCTATTTAAATAAATATGATGCTTTCTTCAAAAATTTAAAAAAAATTTATTTTGATAAAATCCAAAATAATTGAATAAAAATTGAAAACAAATTAACAGACAAACAGTTACCAACAAACCTTGCAAGAATTTTGTTTTATAGCAATGTATAATAAAATTTCTATTAACATACACTACTAATTTGACTAGATACTTATTTTTATGTTCAGAAAAAATGATTAAAATTAGTTCATGGAATAGATGATAACTCATTTGTCAAACAAGTTACGGGAAATATTTTAGATGGTGAAATGTCGTAAATCACTTTTCCCTCATATAGAAAAGCATTCCAAGCTAAGCCTCAAAAATAAACTGTTGCTCTATAAATATCTTCTGACACCTATATGGGAATATTCATAAATCTAGGCATGCCAGTCAATTTCTTTACATGTGATTTCGAGCGAACCCTTTTATATGTCACAACACACGTTCCATACTGACTTAGGTATGCAGATCGTCTTGGAAGTGGTCTTGTCCTTGTACAAGAGCTGGTGTATGTATTTAGTTCTTTAAAAACAAATCTATCTATTAAACTTATGTTCATCGAATGTTGCTGCTGAGTTATCCATTTCATGTATTGTCACGTCTTTCTTTAAAATAATGGTAATGTACTTTATTTAAAATAATTACAGATGTTTAAAAGAAATGAAATATATATGAATTTAAATTACAGTGGAAAAAGGAAAAAATGCGATGTAGTTTAAATTGGTTTTAATAATCTTAACATTTATCAATTTACTATGTGTAAGTTACACATTTAAAATACTTTTTTTTTGACCAAATTATATTTTTACTCGTCATACTTAAAAATAGACAAAAATAACTGGATTTTTATAATTTTTATGAGTACCAATTTTAGTTTTAAAAACACTATATTTTAGATTCCGAACGTAGCGAGGGAGCTATTAGTTTTACTAAGATGTTTATTTTCTTTTTCTTTTTTTCTTCTAGTCTGTGGGTACGTTTTTTCCTTTTAAACTTGCTTCGATTTTTACGTGTAGCAACTTTTCTGATAGCTCAAGTTATCTAGATGGTACTTTAAAGATGTCAATTTTTTTTGATTTTCGATGTCAATTTTTAAATAAAAGCACAAGTGGGAAAAAACACGGAAAAACGTACAATTTCACGATTTTATTATTTTATAAAAACACGGACGTCGTTTTCTACCAGACAAAATTATTTAATCGATAAATTACAAGATACCTTTTTTGTTGCCTTTTTGATTTACTTTCTTACCGTATCATTACCAAAATTTTTGAGCTACTTTTAAACTCTTAAGAAATTTTAATTTGTTATAGTTTTTTTGCTTTAATTTGGTTATAAATACACGTAGAGACTTGATAATTTAGTAATAATACTTCTATTTTACTTATCTATACAAAATTATCGGACTAAGTTTTTTTTTTTTTTTTATAATAAACGTTTTGAAATCAAATTCAAACGAAAATCGCAAAAAGAATTACGGCACTTCAAATTATGTATTACCGAACTGCACTCAGAATCGTCTTTCGTCAAGCAATGATTTATCATCGCTAACAGATATAATTTAAATAACCTTATGTATCCTACAATCCCAACTTCTTACCTACAACAGTGGCCGCTCAAATCCCTATCTTTGTAAAACCAATACATTTTCCTTAGACTCAGAATCTATAAAAATACTACATTAAACTAAATTATTTTGTTTTTCGACTAGGTTCGACTTATAATGAAACTCCTATCAAATTCACAAGCATTTCTGTTTAATCTAACAATTTATCTACAGAGTAAATACCAAATAAAAATTGCGTAAAAACTCACAAAAGTTAAATGTCTATAAATAGCTCAAAAATTACTCAAATGTTCTGAAAATTTTACCACATTTAGAAAAAGTAAATATAAGTTTTTTGTTAACATCTTAATTTTCAATAAATATTTTAAACTGAATTATATTAAAAAAAAAAATTTTAAATAATAAAAAGATTATTATCGTAATTTTTTTTGTTTTTTTATGTATATTTCGGTTTTGATCGATTATTCAAAATACTACAAAGAAAATTAAAAAACAAGTCGTTTTTTAATATTTTTCTGGGTCACCAATTAGAATACAAATTCGAAAAAATAGACTTCTTGGTGTTTTTTTGTTAAAACAAATTTCTGGTGAAAAACATAAGCCGCAAAAATTTAAAATAATGAAATTGTGTCATAATTTGAAAAAAATCATATATTTTGTCTTATTTGGTTTTTCCTAATTATTATGAAAAATTCAATAAATTTCGAAAAACGATTATCTCCGTCAGTGACTACATATTAAAAATAACAAAATTGATTTCTTGTTATTTTTCAATTGAAGTAATATTTCTGGTAGAAAAGTTATAACGCAATGAAAATGGTAACGCCGCGGCGCGCAGTAAAGATTTGCCTATCGTATTTATAATTTTTTTTCGGGTTTCACAAATTATTTCAAAAATAAATATTCCTAGAGACTTGTTGTATTATAAAAAACATAGATTTGCTTATTCTAAACGTGGTAAAATTGTCGAGCTATTTATTGACATTATTATGCTTATTAGGTAGGTTTGTTTACCGTAAACATTAAGAGATATTAACGTCGCAAGAATGATTTTGGATAATACAATATTGTGTCGCATACTGTCCCTGCTAAATAGATTGGTATTATTATTTGTCCACAATAATATTTTGTTCCGGCCATCTGTTACCGTTATTTCATGGATGTGCACACAAATACAAATACACTCATTACCCTATATACAAATACAAGAGAGAGGCATTTAAATTTACTAAACATTATACGTATATATATATTTTATGAATCAATTATGAATCTAACATAATATATATATTATATATTATGTTTGACGACGAAATTCTCAATTCAATTTTTGATATTACTTTGATGTACTATTTTATTTTCTGTTCTCTATAATTTAACGAAATTGTTGGTGATTTATTATTATTATAAGCAATATTATTTTTGGCAGAATAAAATATATTCAAATTAATTTTTTTGTTAATTTTAAAATTTAACATTTGTATTAATCTTTATTTTTTTCATCAGCGTTCTCTAATGCAGATATTATTTCAATGCAACTGCGCAAAACGGTTTTTAATTAAACGTATTAATCATTAGTTGTACAAAAGATATAAAATAATTAGTTTATGAAGTCATAGATTTAAAATTTAAAAATTTCCATAAGACTAAGTAATATTTTAATGTATAATAAGAAATAAATTGATTTGATTTAAATCAATTTAATTCTTGTTTTTATGATGTTTGTATAAAATTAGTTTGGAATAGGTTCATGTAATGAAATGGAAATATATTATCATTAGTTTAAGTATATTAAATATTGATCTAAAGTTATTAATAAATCATTAAATTAATGACACATTGTGAACGAAGTACAATATATTTCTGAGGCATAGGTATATCGATTCAAAATAA